TATTTGATAAATAGTATTAACGTCGGTAGAATTATTATTATCCTTTGTAATAATAATTTAGACGAAGGTAATTACTACGGGTTAATTTTTCTTTACTTTATTTATAATTTCTACCTCTTTTCTAAATTTGTTGAAGTTAACCGGCTTTAATAGTTCTATATAAAAATTAATAAATTATATTTTATTGTTATTTAAAAAAGGGTCAGTATTAACGAATTTAAATTTATTAATACTGGTATCTTTAGGAACCCTTTTATTAAATATATATTATTCGCCGATTTCATAAATAAAATAGAAATAGTTATTGAATAGCCATTTATTTAAAATATAGGGTTTAGTGTAAGTGTGAATAAAATACTATAGGGGTTTATTATTTACAGTAGGCCTCTTTTTACCTTTTTAGTATTTAATATATTTTAAATCTTTTCGATTAGGGAAACGGTTTATTGATAGTAAACTATATTAAATTTTATAATTTCGTTAAAAGGAGTATTTTTTATAATTATCGGGACGGAAATAGTAGGAATAATAAATGTTCGTTTCTTAGTATAATTAGTATAAGGGATAATAATAGTATTAATTTGGGTGGATAGAGGTAGACGGGTAGGAGTATTTATTAAGGAATTTAAAGTTATAATAAAAGCGGTTTCTAGCGTGTTGAGAGGTATTATTTTAATGATAAGTAGTTAATTATAATTGGTATATATTAGTTATATTGGATAGTTAGTTAGAATATCCGAATAGCGAATATTAGTTTTAGGGTAGTATGCAGAAAATATTGGAGTAGAGGTAGGTTATATAAATATTATAAAATTATAAAGTTAAATAATAGGTAGTAAGTAAATGTTTAGGAGAGTAATAAAGGATATAGAAGGGTAGTATTTATTAAGAAGAAATTAGGAAGAGTTTAATTTAATTAGAAATAGTTAGTCTTTCCCTTAAATATTGAAAATTGTTTTGGTAGTAAATGTTATAGTATAGTTTGATGGCTAATTGGGGGTATAAATATGGTACGCCCTTTGGGATAGGTATTAGAAGTATAAATTAAAGATATTATATTAATTTAAATTTATTATAAAAGTAGATTTATTTTGATTAAGTTTTATTATTTATTAAATAAATATAGTTTTATTTACGATTGTTATTCATAAACTTAAAAATAATTTGTAAATTTAGTATATATATTAAATTAATTAGGAGTTTTTTTAAATTAAGAATTAATTTTCGAATTATTTTAAAAACTTCTTTATATTTATAATAATTATATTAAATGTTAATTCGAAAAAATATATAATTATTTAATTATGATTATATTCTTTTATATAAGAAATAATTATTTTATATAAAAGGTTTATTTAATACTTTATATAAATAATTTAATATTTTAAGTGTTTTAAGTTAAATTATTTATATAAATATTAAATATGTATTATATAATTAATAGGTTGTATAAATATTTATATTATTTTGTTATTTAAAAAAATCGAATAAATTGAATTAAATAATTGTCATTCAAATTCTATTAAACGGCTTAAAATAAAACTGTAGTGTATATAATTTAATTAAGGTAAATTAAGACCTTTATTAATAAGGGAACTATTTATTCTTTTAATTTCGAAACCTTGAAAAATTTAAAAATAATCTTTTTATTGATTTTTAATATACGGAATTAAAAGAATTATCTTTATAATTCTTAGAAGACGAAAAACGCAACCTTATAATTATATTATATATAAAATAATTAAATAATTTAAAAAACCTATAAGAAGGAAACTTCTTTAAAAGAAAAAAGGATTTTATAATAATTATATATTAAATATCTTTATTAAATAACCGTTAACCGTTCTTTTTAATTTTAAAGATTTTGATTTTATATTTTTTTATTTACGTTTAATGATTTTTCGAATCAATTTATAATATAAATATTTTTACTACCGGAATTCAATATACCTTTAATTACAATGTTATATAATCCCTTAGGAAAGAAGTATTTAAATATTTATATTAATTATTAAATATAGTTTCTTAATTTTATTATAGAATCCTTCGGATTTTTATGAGGTTTAAATATTTTTAAATTAAAAGTAATTTAAAAACCTAATACTAATAATAATAAAGGTTACCCTCTTTATTAAAACGGTCAAATAAATATATTTTAAGGAAATTAATAATAAGTTTATGAAATATATAATTTTCAAAAGAATAAAACCTTTTAAAGGAAAAATATTTAAATAGCGTTCTATTTCTACCGTTAATATAATTTAGGAATTTAACGGATTTTAGTATTAAAGGGTTTAATTTATAATTATTAAATAAAGTTCTTAAAACTTTTATTATTAATTTAATATTTAAATTAGGTAAGGCCCTAGTTTTTAATTTTAAATTTTCTTTGTATTATTAATATTTTAAATATAATAAATTTAAAAAGTTTTATACGTTTTATAGTATTTAATAGAATATATAAGTCTTTTAAAAGTATTTATTTAAATATATAAAGTACGTTTAAATTTTAATTATGTAATTACTTTTGACTTATTATTTAGCGTTTAACGTATTTTATTTTTACGCTTTATAATTTTAGCGCGAACTTAAATTAAAACCCTTTCTAAATCCTTAATTTTAAAATTACGAATAATATTAGTAGAGAAGGGGACCTTGTCTTGCTTCTTCTTTTCTTCGGCTTTGTCAAAAATTAAAAAGAATATTAGTAAGTAAATATAATATTTGAAAAAAAAAATTATAATATACTTTTATATAAAGAATAATTGTTACCCTTGCCTTTGTAATAATAATTACTATAAGTACCCTTATTAATAAATTTGACGTCGGAAATATAATCGGCGAAAGGACTATAGTTATTAATAGTTATATATTTAGTATAGGGGTTTGTATTGGTTTTAGCGTTGAAAAAACAATAGGCTAGGCTGATAAATTATTCGGGGTAGTCCTACTTTAGAACTGAAGTAATTAATTCTCCTTTTATTTAATATCCTTTAAAATCAAGACGGCGGATAATAATTTATACTTTTTTATTAAATTTAATTACTTTTACTATCGATTAATTAATTTTAATAGGTATTTTTACTTAATTTATAGTTAAAATAATATAAATTTCGTTAATATTATAATTGAGGAATTTTTTAATAGCGAAGCGGAAACGTTTCTCGTTAAGTTAATTATTATTTAATTCTTTTAATATTTTATTATTATTTATATTTTATATAAAGGATTTGTTTTTAAAGGTATAGGAGCGGAGTTTTATAATAATATTACTTTCTTCGTTAATAAATATATTTTCTTTCTTTAACGTTAGTTTAAAATAAATATACGTTGGTCTTGTATGTAGTATGCGCTTATAGATTGATTTTGGTACGTTATAATCATTAATAGGTAATAGGTTATTATTATAGTAAAAATATTTATATATATTAAGGCATACAGAGAAGTAGGGTTATATATAATATAAAATAGACTTAATTGCTAAATTGAATCTACGCTGACGCGCTTGGGCGCGTACCTAGTACTTGTAGCTGATACGGGCTATTTTCTGACTAAATTGTTTCAATTGAATATAGCCAATATTTGGGCTACCGTAATCTTGGTATTTTTTCTTTGGGCTGCGCTTGGCTTGGCATCCGGACCGAACGTCGGGTTCAAATCTCGCGCGAGCAACATCACTCCTTCCTTCCTTCCTCATCAAGCCAACTGGAAAGCCGGAAAAAGTGAACTTCTTTTCTCAACACTTGACGAGCCGCACGACTTCGCACCACAGATTTTCGCAGTCGGAAAGACGAAAGAGAGAATTCCATCCATCTACTCCGGGTTGAGACTTGAGAGACTGAACGCACGATTCTCATGGCTGACTGGAGTTGCTAATGTGTTTCTGGTGAATGCCTGGTATTCGGATCGGAAAGAGGTGAAGCTTATTGGTGTTATGTATTCCTCCCGTCGATTTCAGAGAGAGGAACTCAGTAGTCGTGTTTTGACATTGGCCCTGGTGCATCTTGCTTGGTATCTGCCCTTCCCGCACTTTTCGGAAGACACCAACTCGAACCGCAAAAGTGTTGGTGTTTTGGCGCCGGGCATCATTCTTCATGGGTCTACCGGCATGTTGTCTGGATGCTCTCGACATGCCCGAGCATCTTGGAAACTGAGACCTCGTTGCCAGTTTGTGTATTAGGTTGTAATTACGAGCTTCGCTGGTCTGTGCGCTTCGGTTTTAGACCATCACTTACACATGAAATTACAAGGCCCACATTACAGCCTCAGCATTTGAAGAAACACACCAAGCTGGTCTGAGTTCCTGAGATAACCTCAAGATGCATCACCCCTTTCTTGATCAGGAAAAGAACCTAATAAATCGTAAGTGTTTCATTCTCAATTTCCTTTTTTCTCGGATATTTTTTTGCGAATATTCGGGGATTTTCCTGCTTCAAGAGCAAGTCGACCAAAAATGTCTCCAGCATCAAACCACGATGAGGTTGTTGCCTACGGTGCTGCAGCCGCCCATGCCGCTTGACGTTGTTATACGGATAGGATATAATTTTAAGGCCAAGCATAGTGATAAAAGTAAAAGTTATCGTCGAAGCTTGAAGATCTCACATCACGTGCATGATGTTTGGACAGCTTGACGTTATTTTGAACAATCATAAATGAATTGTCTTCATCAAAATGAAAAGTGATAACCATGGGAATCGTTATTAAATACAAAGCCATGCAAGTGTTTTCGTTTTTGCCCTCCTCCTTCTCCGTCCATTCCATAACACTTTTCCCCTCTTTTGTTCTCTTCATGAGACGGACTGAGACTGCAAAAGAAAAGCAGATCTAGGCCTTGTTACTAAAACCCATACCCGTTTAACTCCGCATAAGTACCTAAGACCACACCATGTGCGATCGATCGTTCCAATCTACTGCGCGTAGTGTGAAATGAAAAATGGAAATAAGAGAGAAAAGGAAAAGGTCGATAAGGATGCATTAGTTCAGGTCGTGGACGAATGCGTTTAGTCGACCTCCTCAACGGTGGGGCCCTCGTTGTCGTTGGAGCCAGGGGCGCCGCCGGGGAAGCCGCCGGGGGCAGCACCGGGCATGCCACCGGGAGCACCACCAGCACCGTAGAACTTCATCATGATGGGGTTGGCAACAGCCTCGAGCTCCTTCTGGTGGTCCTCGTACTCCTCCCGAGTAGCCTGCTGGTTCTCGTCGAGCCAAGCGACGATCTTGTCGATCTCGGACTTGAGCTTCTCCTTGTCGGCAGCGTCAAGCTTCTCATCGACCTTGGAGTCGCTGAGAGTGTTGCGGAGAGAGTAGGCGTACGACTCAAGGCCGTTCTTGGCAGCGACACGCTTGGCCTCGGCCTCATCCTCCTCCTTGAACTTCTCGGCCTCAGCAAGCATGCGCTCGATCTCCTCCTTGGACAAGCGGCCCTTGTCGTTGGTAATGGTGATCTGGTTGGTCTTGCCGGTACCCTTCTCGAGGGCAGAGACGTTCATGATACCGTTGGCATCAACATCGAAGGTAACCTCGATCTGGGGAACACCGCGGGGAGCGGGGGGAATGCCGGTAAGCTCGAACTTGCCGAGGAGGTTGTTGTCCTTGGTGCGCTGACGCTCACCCTCGTAGACCTGGATAAGGACACCGGGCTGGTTGTCGGAGAAGGTGGAGAAGACCTCGGACTTCTTGGTAGGGATGGTGGTGTTGCGGGGGATGAGCTTGGTCATCATACCACCAGCGGTCTCAATACCGAGAGAGAGAGGGGCAACGTCGAGAAGAAGAATCTCGGAAGTGGACTTGGAAGAGGTATCGCCGGAGAGAATGGCGGCCTGGACGGCAGCACCGTAGGCAACGGCCTCGTCGGGGTTGATGCTCTGTAGACATGCGTGTTAGTCGATTTGCTCAAAAAAAGGGGGAAATTCCCAAAATTCGAGAAAAAATATCTCGAGGGAAACGGATCAAAATACCTTATTGGGTTCTTTCCCGCCCTAAAATCAAAGAAAAAAGGTTAGTCTTGTGCTCCTTGCCGCCATGGTTGAAGATGAAGAGAAAACTTACAAAGTAATCGCTGATGAGCTTCTGGATACGGGGGATACGGGTGGAGCCACCGACGAGGACGATCTCGTGGACCTGAGACTTGTCGATCTTGGCATCGGTCAAGACACGGTCAACAGGCTGGATGGTGGAGCGGAAAAGGTCCTGGCAAAGCTCCTCGAAGCGAGCACGGGTGATGGAGGTGTAGAAGTCGATACCCTCGAAGAGGGAGTCGATCTCAATGGAGGTCTGGGCGGAAGAAGAGAGGGTACGCTTGGCACGCTCGCAAGCAGTGCGGAGACGACGGAGGGCACGAGCGTTGGTGGAGAGATCCTTCTTGTGCTGTGAGGGAATTAGCATCTGACACTATGCATTGAATGAAATGTTTGATGCCATGAACCCTATGTTTTAGGCATTGAATTCAATGTCCTAGGCATTAACTGACCTTGCGCTTGAACTCCTGAACAAAGTGGTTGACGAGACGGTTGTCGAAATCCTCACCACCCAAGTGAGTGTCACCGGCAGTAGACTTGACCTCGAAGATACCCTCCTCAATGGTGAGGAGAGAGACATCAAAGGTACCGCCACCAAGATCGAAGATGAGGACGTTGCGCTCGCCCTCAACCTTCTTGTCGAGACCGTAGGCGATGGCAGCGGCGGTGGGCTCGTTGATGATACGGAGGACGTTGAGGCCAGCAATGAGACCGGCGTCCTTGGTAGCCTGACGCTGAGAGTCGTTGAAGTAGGCGGGGACGGTGACGACGGCGTTGTTCACCTGGCCACCGAGGTAGGCCTCAGCGGTCTCCTTCATCTTCTGGAGGATCATGGCGGAAATCTCCTCGGGGGTGAAGACCTTGGTCTCGCCCTTGAACTCAACCTGGATGACGGGCTTGCCGCCACGGTCGATGACCTTGAAGGGGAAGTGCTTCATATCGGCCTGGACCTCGGGATCGGAGAACTTGCGACCGATGAGACGCTTGGCATCGAAGACGGTGTTGGCAGGGTTCATGGCGACCTGGTTCTTGGCGGCATCACCGACGAGACGCTCGGTGTCGGTGAAGGCGACGAACGAGGGGGTGGTGCGGTTACCCTGGTCATTGGCAATGATTTCGCAGCTGGGAGTACATGTTAGTGAACTGCTTGCCTCTTTCCAAGGTGAGCCCATGATGTGATGAAGGTGAACTTACCGGTCCTCACGGAAGACACCGACGCAAGAGTACGTCGTACCGAGATCAATACCGACGGCGGGAGCCATTGTGAATGTGTGTGATGTGCTGAAAAAGGGAAATGGGTATCGTTATGAGAAAAAGAGAAAAAGGTCGTCAAGTTAGTTTGCGTGGATGGGAGTCGCAATTATTTGTTTGAAGAACAGTGGTCTGAGAAGTGGAAGGAAGCCAAGGTGGGCTGTGGAGGGGCAGACGGAGCTCCAGAATTTAAGTTGGTGGTCGAGCTTGGTCGTTCTTGCTTCTACGAGCTTCTGTTAGTTTCCTAACCCCACTACGCCGGGGTACATCAGGGTACTTCTCGATCAAATCGCATGCTGTCGCATCCAGTCGCATTGCCTGGTCGCAATCCGCACCAACCGGTTGCCGCTCGCCGCCTCCAGATGGTAATCGAACCTTCTTTCAGGCGCCAGCGGCATCTTTTTCTGTTAGCAATCTTGCGATCCCATCAGGCCCTGATTATCGCCTTGTGCGATGCAAGCAAATTGATCTGTAAAGTTGGCTGAAATTGAAAAGGTACGTACCACGGTGTTGGCGCGCAAATGGCCCGTTCACTTCCCGCCAAGCCGGATGGAGACAGCCTCTTGAGGTACGTACCTCGAACTCAGGGTCACAATTTGAGGTGGGCGCCAAGACAAGGCTCGAATTGCCCCAGACTTCACCATGATTGCCATGTTCACGACAAAAGGGCCTTCCAGCCCATGGTCGCCCCATAGATCCAGCTAGACCGCTCGCGCATGAAGCTGTTCTGCCCTACGGCCTTGAGGTCAGGGGAAGCCCACTATGGGTGATACTTGGTAGCCGTGGGTGGTGAAGGACTTTGACAGCCATTGGATGTTACCAACCACTTCGTCCTATTGAGTGTTGATGATGATTTCCTCGGGGGGAAGGCTTATGCAGTTTGGGACCCTGCAGCTACCCCTATCTTTTGTTTACATTTGCCCCTTTTATCGTCAGTTACTTTCAGCCGCAACCTCAACACCTTCATGTTGCGTCTTACCATCGGCATTGCAGTTCATATCCAATTAGCAGCTATCTATCTCTACATTGTACATCTCATAATAACTTTTTGGCCGTAAATATCCCTCTTTCAGTTGGTACACGTAGAACAAAGAGGCCCCCAAGCTCTGTCGCAAACCGGTCGCAAAATGCGGCTGTGTGCGCATTGCCGGCCCGTTGGTTTGTATGGCGTTGGCGTTTGCGATCGGGCAGTTCTTAAAGTTGCGACAGGTTTGTACAAGTACCTTGACGTACCTCGCTGCAAACTCACCCTTGAACTCACCCTTGCATCATGGGCGAGCTGGCAGTGGATCCGTAAACAGAAACCTTGAACAGCGAAACAGTCATGACAGTCTCGATGCCTGATTTCTGACCAAGAGATCGAGATTGTCACAGCCGAGTGTCCCCAGGCTGATTATCTCTTTCTTGTCATCGTGCTACAGCTTCATGTTGGAGTTTTTGATGCGGACTTTGGCGGCGTCTTTCATTGAACTCTCCCGTATTTTTCAGCCTAGTTTCTTTCGTTCCTTTCAGCTCCAGAAGTGGAAGATGAGAGAAGCCCGACGGGAAGTCTCCACCAACCTCATTCCAGCATTGCCCGTCGGCCCCACAGCGGCGCATGAAGTCATGGACTGCGATAAGCGGGATAAGGCACTAGCGCGCCCCGCAATTTGACGATGAGCCCGAGGGGCAAAGGAGGGGCAAGAACACTGAGAGCACCAGAGCTGAGAATTGGAAGGAAGGACCTCGAAGAGCTCCCGTTGATACCGAAGCTTGATCCCAGTCCTCCCGTCGTGTTTTTTCGAGTCAAAGCTCCCATCATCTGCTCAACCTATCCAGCATCATCGAGGAGAGACAGGAGCTCCGACCGCATCTCGCCGTTCCGTCGACCATATCGTGGTACATTCCTCCTTATCGCTTAGCTCGTCCCGATACCAGTCGCACCACTTTGCGAAATTCCAGAGCGCGTCGCATTCTTCCAGTCTACAGCCCATCATGTTGATCAAGGAGAGCTACGCCGACGTCAAGACCTCTGCCAATGGCAAGGAGTCGGCGATGAGTTAGTCAATTCACCTCCTTGCCTCGCACGTCCAATGCGCCCAGCCCGTTGCCTCGAAAAAAAACAGTGTCGCAACCATAGTCCAGCTTGTATCTAATGCGCCGAACAATACAACACAGGAATCTTCCTCTTCCACCCAACCATCCCAGGATATCCCAATGCGTGAGCACCATCGTGACATTTAGACATCCATACATGCCTCGTCTCATACCTCTCCGCTTCTAGGCGCTTCCCCGGAGTCGCCCTCTTTAGCGAAATCTACCAAGGTCAGACCGATCCGGATCCGTCTCCTTGAGAGCTCCATGCCCGACCCCATTCCCTACAATGTCTACGTACCCCACGGACCCCGAGGAGAAATGGAGCTGTTCGAGCTCGAGGCTGGAGAATGGACCACGCGGGGGTCTTTGCGGGCAGATGCTCCGGGCCCAAGGGAACCTTGCTGGCTGGTACCGGTGACCACCGATAGCTAACGACGACTTTGCGCCCGAACAGTGACCGGTCCCGTTGCCCGCTTCGCCCGCCAAATCGCCGGTCAAGGCTACATCGTCGCCGCCCCGAGCAGCTATCACGACTTCACCGGCCCCGAGCCTCTCGCCTACGATGTTCCCGGCACCGATCAAGGCAACGAGTGGAAGGTAGTCAAGACCCTGGACTCGTACGATGAAGACTCGCGCCGGACTGTCGACTACCTCCGGTATCTGCCGACCTGCACCGGGCGCATTGGCGCGACGGGCATGTGTTTGGGTGGCCATCTTGCTCTGAGAGCTGCTGTACGTCTCTCTCTCTTTCTGCCCGTTATTTATTTAAGCTCCAGCAACTAACTTTGCCTCATACAGCTCGACCCCCGCATAACAGCCGCCATCCCTTACTTCGGCACCGACATCCACTCGCGCACCCTCGGTCCCAACGACGGCCCCAACACCTCACCCTCCGCTCCCGCTCCTCGTCCTGACCCGACAACCGCGTCCGGCTTCGTCGCCCCTCACACCATCGACCAGTTCGACAAGCTCAAACACTGCGAAGTAGCCATGATTTTCGGTATCAAAGACACGCACGTGCCTGACGCCGGTCGTGATTTGATCCGCGCCAAGCTGAGAGAGGCTGGAGTGACATTCAGCTTCTACGAGTTTGCGTGGGCGCAGCATGCGTTCATCAGGGATGAGTTGAGCAAGGGGCGGTACGATCCAGCGATTACCAAGGTCTGCTTCGAGGTTCTGTTGGAGACCTTTGGGCGGGTTTTGAAGACGGATTTGGGCCAGGGCACGGGGGAGAAAGAGGAGGTGGAGCACGTTTGTTAGGTGGTTGAACGAGAGAGACCAGGAGAGAAGGGAGAAGTGAGTGGTGGATGAGTGTCCAGTATACAATGCACCACTGGAAGCCGGAATTGCAGATCTTCCAGAGGAGATTTCACTTGCCGTCAACAGATTAGGAGATAACTGGCGCCGGAAGCACCCTAGAGTCAGCATCGTTCCGTGACTTCCTTCCAGACGGGAGAATGACAGCCCGAGACCATAACTGCGGAAGACAAGGAAAGCCAAGAAACATAGCATCAATGCTAAGCATCGACAGACGAATAGCGAGCATCAACAGACCCCTTGAATGGAAGCCCTAACATCCCTGGACTCTTGACGGGAATCTCTCTGCTCAGAAGAAATTAAGTATTTCCTGCTTTCCAGCCAACTCGACGAAGGAGTGATGTTCCTCACAAGAGAACTGAACCCCAACATAAACCCATACTTCATGGAGAAAATACCTCTATATGTCTGTACAGGCATATCCACGAATAGACCACGCAGGGGTTTCGTCCGGAATCGAGCAATACTTCCACGCTGTGCCCTCCATTGTAGCACAATATGCTGAACTTTATCTCCGATCGGAGAACACATCCCCTCATAGCTCTGAGTCCAAGGTAAGGAAAGATGGGAAGATCATTATCGTCAAGGAGTCGCGGAAGGGGGTAAGATACCCACGCGGTGATTGTGGATGGAAAGTATACAAGTATGACAATATCAACCCCTGAAAGTGCAACCCCCCCAAAGTGCAAATACATACAAACTAACCCATCAAGTGCAAACTTTTCCGTGGCCCGGATTCCCACTTTTGTATGTAAGTGAGGTGCCAGTAAGTGCAAAAACCCCATGAAGTGCAAATCTTACGAGCTGTCCCCCATAGTGCCCGAATTGTTTGCACTTTCAGGGGTTGATACTTATGATCATGGATAGGGTCGGGGCTGTGGACTCGGAACCTTGAAACTTGGGACTCGGCATGGGGATACCGGATACGAAGATGCGTGTCTGTGACTTGATATGGTGGTAGAGTAACCTTGTCATCTGGTATCTTAATACTTGACTACCTTTGATCTGAGGAGTTTTGGCATGAAGACCGAAAAGGGGTGACGGGAGTCACGACAAGTTGGGGGCTTGGCTGTTGAGGTACTACTCCTGGAGTATCAGGGTTGAAGACGATAGATAGCAGGAAGAATCAGTGAAGCAAAGATTATCATAGCAAGAGTCAGTCGTTCAACAAGGTCGGCATTGCAAGATCCTTCAAGGCGGTACCGCTTCAACGTGGATGGCAGTTTAGACAGAGCCCATTGTAAGTTTGATAATAACGACATCTCGAGAACTGTAACAACACCCAAAACCAACTTCGTATATCAACACCCTCCCTTCCCATTTCCTCTCTCACTTTTCATCCAACCCAAGTTGCTCCCGTATCTGCCTCCTCCTCTCCACCTCCATCCTCTTAAACTCCTCATCACTAACCTGTCCCGGGCCCTCCCACGACTGCCTAAACTCGCTATCCCACTCGACCCTCCTCTCCCTACTCTCCCACACATCCTCACTACTGGGCCGTCCGCCTCCATACTTGGCCTCCTCCTTCTTCCTATAATACTCCTTGACGGCCTCGGCCTTCATCTCCGGACTGAACGATTTCGTGCGCATGCAAAACCAGAAATCGTCCCACAGCTCGCTGCAGTTCTTCATGGTGCCGTACCGGTACACGGCGTTGAACTGCGCACCTGGAGTTTGGCAGTGCCAGGCGTAGTCGAAGGCGTCCCGGCAGGAGAGCGTGGAGGGCAGGGTGTGCTCGGACATGGCGAGGGAGGTCGGGGAGCGCAGCGTCTTTTTGGGCGCTGCTTCGGGCTCCGGGGCCGCCGGGTCGTCTTTGATGAGGAGCGAGGAGAAGGGGATGTACGCTTTGTACTTTGCGAGGACGGAGGGGGAAGCCGCTGCTGCTGCTGGTTCGGAAGAGGTTGGGGATGGTGTTGGTTGTTGGGGTTGGGAGGACTTCTTGGTGGCGTCGTCGCCTTGGAGCATTTCGAGGAACTTTTGGATCTCGGCGTCGCCGGAGGAGGCGCCGGCGGGGGACGGAGACGGTGTTGGTGGTGTTCGTTGTTGCGCTGGGGAAGTAGCTGGTTGTGTGGTGGTGGCAGGGAGAGTCGAGGTCTCGGTGGGCTTGTCGCCTGAAGAGGCTGCCGAGGAGGAGGGGGAGGACCAGAACCAGCCCATTGTGTCTTTCTTTCTCTTTCGAAGGTGAAGTTTGTAGAGTTCGATCGGGTTGCGGTTCGAAAACGGTTGAAGACTCGAGTTTGAAGACTCAATGAGTGGGTAGCGAGGAGTCGTCAATATTCGAGTTGAGCAAAATGAGGGGTAGCGAAGCCTCAATGCGGTAGCTGATGATGTTGACAGGACGGCAAGTCTCGTGATTTTGGCTGTTGTGTTACCAGTCTTTCGTGGGGGAAGCTCGTTGATGTTCGGCGGCGTGTCGAGCTTGCAGCGAGAAAGATGAACAATTCCGGCCAATCAGACTGCCAGCGGAGGAAAATGTCGGGAGCTGCGGCAGGCAACGGCTCCCGTAAAATAAGGGCGTGTTTGTTTCCCCTGAAATGTGGCTCTAAACCGTTCAGAGCCGTTTTTTCAGAGTGCTGTTTGGAAACGCGCTGAAATTTTTAGTACTGGAATCCCCACCAAAAAAGGACTCTGAAATTTCTTTCCCTACATTATTAAAACGGCTAATAAAATCGCGTGCATCAATTGAAATTCAGATTGACTGATTCTAAACTGCTCAAAATCGAAAAAACTACTAAATAGCCTTCTAAGAGCACATTTTTCATACTTTTAACTACTATATAACTACCCTCAACGTCAATAGAAATCAACAAAATCTATCGCTATACCTACTAATACTTTAATATAATACTATTAAATATTATATCGCCGTCGTATACGTATAATATAAGTAATTATAATATTTATTTATACTAACTTAATACTATAGGCCCACTATATCCCTATAAACACTACTAGAAATAATTAGTTAATAATATACGAACTCCTCTATAAATATCCAGGCTACTTCCAATTGTTATTAAAGATAACGCTACGTACCTTCTACGGGTTAGTAACGTAATTTAATAATTATACTACTTTATTCGGCTTAAAAAGGACGACGATATATAAAAAGGTATTAATCTTTCTTTTTATTGTAATATAAGGCTTAACTTTTCGTATAATTATATATACCTTCGGTTTTAATTTAAAAACAATATACTAATTAATAATCTTTACTAATAATTATCGTATAGAATACTTACTTCAAACTTCAATACTAGGATATTTTATAAGGTTTTTAATACCTACTTTATATTAATATAAAGGAAGGTTAAACTCCCTCCCTTAGTTACCCTATACGAAATTAAATCCAATCCTAAATTCTTCCTATACTTTCGTAAAATACTAAGAATTTTCGATAATTCGTACTTCGATATAAAGGTACTATATAAAGAATAAAAATTTTAGTACAACCGTAAGGGGGGTATTTCTATAAACGTTTTATTAATTTGTAATTTCTCTAATAAGATCGTATATATATAACCTAATTAGGAGGGGTCGGCTAATAATATAAGTGGATTAAATTATATATACGCCAACAGCTTTAATATCCCTAAGGGATAGGTCTACTTAGCTAACGTAGGCTATAGCAATAGTTCTAAACTCCTTATACCATACTATAACGTATATTACTACTTAAAGAGATAGAGCATACTAATTTAAAACTAATAATTCATTAAGAGTTATATAATCTTCGTTACTCTTAAAATTCGGATTATTATTAAAAAAAACGTTCGGTTAATTAAAGAGTACATTTAAAATTTATTATATATTACTAGCTTTCGACCCCGCCACGTAAATAAAAATAATATATATAATTAATATATTATTAAATTTAATCTTAGACTAGTAAAAGTATAACCTTAAAGTAGAAAAGATAATATATAATATTATAAACCCCGCGGCCCATAAAATCGTAAAGGAAACAGTAAACTTTTTACCTTTAATAGCAATAATAAATTAAGAAAGGATTGGAGGGATAAATAATCAAATGAATTTTTGTTACGACCGTATTATAAAAGAAATATAGAAAAATTATTATAAGGAATTTACAAAAAAGGGGGAGGTATAAAGTAAAAGGGGAGAGAGGGATAATTAATAAAAAGGAGTAAAAATATACCTCTAGCGTTAATTACCTAAACTACCCTTTAAATTATTTAAATCGAATAGAATTATATTTATCGAATTATAAATTTAAACCGCTTGATTATACTTTAGAATATAGCCTTCTTAAAAGACTAATACTTCGAATGCAAATACAAAATACAAAGTTTAAAAAGTTTAAATTTAAAATATAACGATATATTTCATATATTAATCAATATTAGCACTATCTAACGCTATCTATATACTCTTAGCAACCCGTACCCTCTACTGAAGGCATTTACAAAATTATTTATATTATTAGTAAAAATACTTCAAAATTAATATAAAATAAATGCATCGATTCAGCTTAATTTAGCAATTATAGCGCTACCTCTTTTATATACATTAGATTTTTTTTCTGTATTCGTATTTTAATATATAAGAAAGATAAAAAAAACCAATAAAAATTAAATCCGGGGTAGGTCCTACTTCCCGCTCCCTTCCGTCTATAGGAACCCTATATATAGGAATAAACTATTATAGTATATTATAATATAGTATATTTATAAATCTAGATCGTCTAATTATAAGGCAATTAAGTACAAAGCTAAATTAACTAAATTAGTATTAAAAGAATCCTTTTCTTCTTATAATTATAATATGGGTAAATCTTCCTTCTCCTCCTCCTCCTCTTTATTTTAAATACCCAACTTCTCTTTTAATATGTTAAAGTATATTTACTTTATATTCTTCGAAATAATTATAAAATAATATACGTTCGCCTTAAAATCCTTCTATTCGCATAGGGTATAAACGTTAATAATCGGATAAACTTTATATTCCTAATCCTTTTCGAATATTTTAACTGCCTTCGTAAGCTATAAATGTAATTCGATAAGAACGGGGTCCTCCCTACCCCTAATAATTAAAATATTAATTAAATATTTAAAACTCTTAATAATAGCCTCACTGTTACTCTTCTTCTTGTTTCTTTTAGAATTAAAATTAAAGATAACCCTTTTCTTACTGTTATATATATAAACGGATACTATAAATTCCCCCGCTACGTTCTCGTTAAAAAATTTGTATAGTGTAACTATAGCAACATATTTTTTATAATTAAATAAAGTACTTAATATTAACGCTTTACTCTTATTAATACCATAATCGTTAATGAAAGCCTCTTCTATTAATTCTTTATAAAGTAACTCCTTACTATAGAACTATATACAATCCTTATAATTCTATAAATATAATTAAATAAATTATTAATTAAATTAGGTATAATATAGGAATAAGCACTAATTTTAAGAAAAGCATCCTAAATAGAATCGTTTATAATATATACGCTATTTTCGTACCTGAAACTAGATTATCTTACCGTACTAGCGAAGGCTTAATATAAACGTTATTTACGTTTGAAATAATCTACTTTATTATATACTTATATATTATTAAATTTAACGCTATATTTATTATAAAGAACTTTAATAATCGAATTATATACTACCTCCTTATAACCACCTTAATTAATTAGACCGTTATCGACTATACTCTTCAATATAATAAATATAATAACTTTTTAATTATCGTTCTATTACTCTAACTTCTTCTTTTTACCTTTACTAATCGTAATCGGTTGGTTAGCAATCTAATTAATAGTCTAGTTAGCTATCTAACTAGCTATTTAATTAATTATTATATAGCTAGTAGTCTAACTAATAATTTAATTAAATTATATAAATAGTGGTATTATAGAAGGAAGAGGAAGGTACTAGCCGGTATTACTAACTATTTTAAGTATAATAAATAAGGGTGTAAAAAAAGGTGTTAAAGAGGTATATAGTCTATTGTCATATCAATTTATGGACTTATAAATATGAAATCTAGATTTTTCTGATTCTGGTACGCCAAATTGGACATAGAAAGTCCGCTCTGAATAGAAATAGGGTGGAGCTCAAAATTTCGGCATTTACCGCCAAAATCCGGTTTAGGAGGGTCTGTGCTGTTTCTCTGAAAGCCACTTCAGAAAACCCACTTCAGAAGGCCATTTCAGGCGAAACAAACACGCCCTAACGATAACGGGCTTGGCGATGCCCCTCCCGATGACGTCGCACCTCAATGGTCAGCTCTCAAGGAAGGAAGGTACCTGGATGGGGGGCCGTTTCCAGGGATCAGTTGAGCAGCTCAAAGCCTGGAACGTGTCTGTTTACTCCTAAGGTACCCTGCTGTCGCCATGTTGTGTCAAAAAGTACCACACTCTTTCAACATAATGAAGCTGCAATGATATCAGCACACATTCTCTCACGGCAGGCGACGAGGCCTGGCCACCGAGTTCCTAGCTTCACCACTCACTCTACTGCCCTCCTACTCCAACGTTCACTTGGCCAAGGGCTCCCAGTCTCATACAGGAGAACTACCCGCGCGTGGGAGAGCACCTCATCCTCGACGGCTTCCACCGGTTCTCACAAAGAAAGTGGTCATATCGATACTGCCCCTCATGAGTCTCTCTTATTCTTCAATAGTAAGTCCACCACATCTCAACTTCTCACTCACTCAAGACTAACACGAACAGACCTCTTTCCCCTCAAACTCAGCTCCATCCTTATATGGCGACCATGGACGAGCGAGGACCTCCTCCAACGCTTCGAACAATCCTCCTACAGCTTCATCGACCCCATCAGACTAGTCAAACGAGCCATCAACGCCCACGACCAAGTCCCCATCAAGGTCACCGAGATCATCCCTCGCCTCAAGGACGGCGGCGCATTCGTCAAGTTCACTTACCCAAGTGACATGTCAGCTGCCGAAGTGGAAAGCAAATTGTCCAAACTTCTTCACGACAACCCCATCAAACCATGGTTCAACCCCTTCGGCAGGGTTAAGACCGGCCTCGTCGAGGGCGTTCCCTGGCTAGAAGACCTGTACAGACTTCCTCGCAGCCGTATACGAGTCGAGTTCGTGGCCGCCAAGGACGACGAATCTCCGGCCGAACTGTCGCAAGAAACACTCTACAGCATCTTCCGCAAATACGGCAAGATCAGTGAAATCACGTCCCAACCGACAGACTCCAAAGTCTTGCCCCGCTTTGCCTACGTCGACTTCGTCTTGGTCCGAGATGCCATCATGGCAAGGAATTGCATGCATGGATTCGTCTTGCGCGAACAGGGAAGCAAGAATGCTACAAAATTACGGCTTTCGTACGAGCAACGAGTCAAGGCCCATCACATCTGGGCTTGGTTCACGAGCCACCCTAGGATCGTGATCCCGCTCGTCGCCGCCTTGATAGCGGCCTTCACTGTTGCCGTGTTTGATCCCATTCGGGAGTTCTTTGTCAAGGTATGTGCAAAATGAAAGAAGTCATATCCCTGATCACCAAGTATCCACCACCAAAAAGATAAACAACTCGATCCACCCAGGGGTCGAACCTGGAACCTCCTGATTCGTAGTCAGACGCTCTGCCATTGAGCCAGCGGACCTTGTTGAACCTGCGATCGAGATGTTGTACTTTTCAATGGGATCGCATCTCAGCTGGTGTTGACAACTGCTAACACTTAGTTCCATAGGCACACGTCCAGAAATACTTTGAATTCACAAACTCCCGCCTCTACAAGTGGTTCAAGTCCCAAACCTCCGACATCCTCGCCTTCCGTAGGCGCAAGACCGAAGATGCCGGTCTCAACGCCCTCTTCACCCACCGCAAAGACCTGATCGACTCCATCCAAACCGGCCTTCTCGAGTCTGTCGATACCTTCACCGTCGTCCATGGCCCGCGCGGCTCCGGCAAGAAGGAACTCATCCTCGACCAGGTGCTCAAGGAACGCAGCGATGTGTTGCTCATCGATTGCAAGCCGGTCGTGGAAGCGCGCGGCGAAGCGGGCACCATCCGTCGTCTCGCCTTCGAAGTCGGCTACCGCCCTGTGTTCTCTTGGTCCAACAACATCAGCAGCCTGGTCGACCTCGCCGTGCAGAGTACCACCGGAGTCAAAGCCAACTTCTCCGAGAATCTCGAGTCGCAAGTCGTCAAGATCTTGCAGACGACCGCGTCGGCGCTTAAGCAAGTCGGCTTGTCAGAGCGCAAGAAGGAGGACAAAGACGCGGATCTCTCGGAGGATGCCTACCTAGAAGCCCACCCAGAACGGCGGCCAGTGATTGTCATTGACCACTTCCTCCACAAGAGCGAGGAGAAGGGTGTCATCTACGACCGCATCGCCGACTGGGCAGCGGCGCTGGTACAATCCAACATTGCCCATGTCATTTTCCTGACAGACGACGCTTCCTACTCCAAACCTCTTCAACGATCCCTCCCCGACCGCGTCTTCCGCTCCGTCACCCTCGGCGATCTGTCTCCCAACGTAGCCAAGAAATTTGTCATTTCCCAGCTGCAGACAGACACCAAGTTTGCGCATGACGGGCAGCAGCAGGATTCGGAACCGGACGGCCAGGATAATGACAACAAAAACGAAAAGAAGGACTCCAACACACCCGCCCCCATCGACCCAGCCCTCCTCCACGAACTAGACACCTGCATCACCGCCCTCGGCGGCCGTCTCACCGACCTCCAAGTCCTCGCCCGCCGTCTCAAAATCGGGCAATCCCCCCAAAAGGCCGTGCAAGAAATCATCGACTCGACCGCCTCCGAGATCCTGCGCATGTTCCTGCTTTCCAAGTCCCCCTCTTCCGACAAAAAGTACACGACCGAACAAGCCTGGTACCTAATCTCGCAACTCGCCGCCTCCCCCTCCTCTTCGATCCCCTACAACTCCGTGCTTTTGTCCAACACCTTCGCGTCGTCGCCCGAAACAGCCCTCGAGGCGCTAGCCAACGCCGAACTGATCACTGTCAAATCACAAAACGGCATGCCTTCGGAGATCAAGGCCGGAAAACCAGTCTACCAGGCAGCCTTCCAGAAGCTGGCCAGCGACGAGAAGGTCAAAGCGCGCATGGACCTGCTCGTCTTAACCGAGCTGGCCAAGATTGAAACCCAAAAAATCGAAAAGGTCGAGCAGGAGCTGGTGATGCTGCAGGGCTTGATGGCGAGGCGGCCGGGCGATGTGAGTGAGCGGGTGGAGTACCTGCTGGAGAAGATGAAGGGGGGGCAGGCGAAGTTGAAGGGGTTGGAGGAGGAGATGGGGGTTGTGAAGGGACGGTTGGTCAAGGCTTAGGAACTAAGCGGGAGGTCGGGGAGGTTAAGAGGTAAGTGGTGAGGGATGAGCGTTGTTATTTGATACCTTAGTGTTTGTGTGTCTTTTTTGGTCGTTGGCAGGCGTGTATACTCTTCTCCCATCACTCATGTTTCAACAAGTACTTGATCTTTCTCTATTTGATGGTGCTGCTGTTGTGTTATCGAGGAGTGACTGCTCTGATATCAGAGGGTTCTTGAGAGAAGCGTGTTACGCTTGTTGTCAACTCCAGACCTTTAGTCAACTTGTGAAGGCGTTTCTACAATCAATGTATGTGTTTTCTTCGATGACGCCATGACGGAGGCCTAACATTGGTGTAAATATGCTAATTCAGAAACAGATAATGCCTTTTTTGACTCGAACTTGGGCATCTAACAGTATATGGCATACCTTATTTATATATCTCCTCTAATTAGAAGCATTTGTTTCTTCGTCCAGAGGTAGGGTAGGGACACATGTACACTATGCTTCCCTTATGGCCTTGCTTTATTAACCTCGGCACTGCAAGATGCATCATCGTTTATCTCTTACGGCCCGTTTCTCGAGTTTCTACGGTAGTTGAGACAGATAACTACGGTAAGTACATGTAAGTTGCCCAGTGCAGGAGGACTGCATAAAAACTGCACAGTGGGAAGGGTTGCAGGTTCTCATCAGATAACTAACTCCGAGCGGTGCCTATTATCGGAGGTCCGGTGTCCTTGCTACAATCGAAATTGAACTTGCAGGATGCGTCCGTACATGTTACAATCATGGTATTTAAAGAGTACACTCCTCTCCCTAATTTCAACTTTTCTACTCTTATCTTTTCTATAACTTCCGGTCAAGGATCCTCACCTCCAACTTCTCTGGTCTTACCTTTTACTTCTGGTCAAGCCCACCTCCAACTTCTCTAGTCTTGCCTCTTAGTTTCAACCAAGGATCACCACTATGTTCCAGAAGTTAGTCAATAAGGTTCGGCTCCTTCTCGGGTCCAAACGTGACGGGGACGAGCCTGGAAAGAGTCCACCTCAACAGCCACCACCGCCCTCGTACGAGGCAGCCACTGCTACGGCTACCATCATCCTTTCTTCTCTCGGGCGGCCTGCCGACGCCCTTTTCCGGAAGGCCACTTGCGACCGAACCAACCTCGTTCTCACCAAAGAAGGCAAATCCGTTCTTTTCATGTACTACATCCTGTTAGAACACGCGCTTCTTAACATTACGGGTTCGTACCAATACAAAAAGCTTCCGCAACATCGAGCGGAGGGCACGCCAGCCGCTTCCCGTGCTATGGTCAACGCAGCCGGCAACTACGCATTTCTGCTGGCTCTACTACACGCCAGCAAACAGTATAACATTTCCGAGGCGCGTCTGTCGTTGCCGGTCAGCGAGGCGGTGCACGCCATACGTGAGGATGTGGAAGGCGAGATAGTGAAGGATTTGTTGCAGGGCAACAGGTATAAAGAGGAAAGACACGTGATGCAAGAGCTGGTGGACAAGGTGTCGGGCAATATCGTTACGCATGCGCACGTATTCGACGACAGTGGCGGCCTCTGGGGAACGGGAAGGATACGAGACAGCGTCGACACTGGTGAGCTGGACGTGTCGAAGGTGCAGGAGTGCTGGCGCTTGTTCAAGAGTGTGCTTGCCGAGACTGGTTCGAGACACCACAACTGCGGCGACCTGCTCCCGCCTCCTGGGTTCACCCGCTACAGTGGCCGATCCCAGGCTGCGTTGCGAGGAATCTGTTGATCAGTATGGGACCTGGTATGTTACAGGGGCAGGTGATTACTAGGTCATGGTATGGAAGTAGAACGGAAGGTACTTAGCTCCATGGCCTCATCATTCCGGGAAGGTGCTCGACCATGGCAGTCACCCCGTGCGGGTGCGGGTTTATGGTGCCCTTCGTGACAGATTTTGATTCTGATTTTGATTCTGATCCTGTACAGGTACATCGACTCCCGTCCAAACATGTCTTCCACTTCTTGTACACTTTTTCTTTTGTCTCTCTCTCAAGTCACTGGTAGTAGTGCAATCAAACCACGCCTCCTCCAAGAGACCAAACTTCCTCCAACTGCTCAACTGCTTCATCTTTCTTCGAGTGTCTTTCTCTGCCCAACTCCGTGTCGACGCAGGAAAGCTTGACATCTCCCACACTTCACGGCAACTTCAGCTTGCTGTTGCAACAGCTTGCTTCATGAGGAACAGTCCCAATCAGCGCCATCAAGGTACGTCTCTCATTCCAGGGGCAGTCCCCGCACACCGACTTGGCCCGTTCATCGACTGACCATATACCCGTCTAGTGCCCAGAGACCAAAGCACCTACATCTACCCTTTTCCATCATGATCACACTCGCTATCAGTTCCATCCTCCCTCTGTGTCAGTGTGTGTGTCAGTGTGGTGTGTGCCTTGTCTTCATATCTTCACAAAGACCCCTTTCTACACTCTTCTTTCAAAATTCTCTTTTCGTCTCCATATGGAGCTGTTCTTGTTCGGGTCTCTCGCCCGTTGCTTGCCTTTCCACAATCACCTCGCCGTGTTGGTGATCCTCTTACGCCCGAGCCTCTATGCTCTTCAGCAATCTCCGGCCATCCAAGAAAGATGTAAGTCTACAGTCCAGTCATGACCTGACATCGAAGCATGCCTAACGTCTGTGTCCCAGGAACAAATGTCCTTCGTAAGCCAGTACACCCCCGAAGATGGACGGATCCCTTCAAGCTTCGACACCGTCATGACTCGGAGGCCGTGGTTCTCAGCCAACTACAATCATTGTTACAACATTCTTCAGACTTCAGTGTCAAGGACCATCCACCGCGATGCATTCTGTCCTCGGCCTACAACTCCATTTGTCTTCTTCGAGGGCTTTTGTCATCGCTTCTTGGGCTTCATTTCCACCTTGAATGAATTCACGATCCATTGTCCAGGAGTCTACTTGGCGGTTGGCGTTGCGCTTGGCTTTCACACAACAGAACCTCGACACCACCATCAGTACCAGCATCACTTGCGGAGAAGATGGAAGAGATGGATGTGACCGAAGCCGACCTCCCATTTCCGGGTTTGATTCAACGTTTCGGAAGTTTGGCTTGGAATATTACCACTACCCTCCCAAAGGTTCACCAATTCTTCCTCCGCTCGTTGGCCCAGAACGCCAACTCCAACTCCTCTTTTCTTGGGCAGATCTTGAGTTTGCCGCTGGTCTCGACAAAGTCTTGCATTCACCTACTCCGCCCCCCATCTCCTTCTTTCAGTCCTTTCCCGCAGACTGCCCAACCAATACTTGGGGAGTGTATTGCCTCATCTCCGAGAAGCGTGGAGCTCACCCTCGCCTTTACGTTGGGTCAGGCACCGCCTATATCAACAGTGGCCTCAAAAGTTGCCTTCGGTCCCACATGCTTGCAAGTCGAACTCCAAGCAAGGTCAAGGAGGCGAAGAAGGAGGGTTACCACTTAACCCACCTCACCATTTGGGCTTCTTGTCCTTTCCCTTCGGACGAGAATAAGGCATTTGGTGATCTCACTCCTCTTTTTTTCACCAACCCTTCTCAGTCATTCCATCCTTTCTCACCACAACAACGCTAAGTCGTCGACTTTTTCCCTCACTCGTCTGGTCATTTTTGGGATGAAATCGGCGCTTCGTACCCTCCTTTGGACGATGCATCCCAAAGAGCACCCTAACGGCCTTATACCAATCTGGCCTACCATTGCCGTTGCCTAGTCAACCAACTCCCTTGGTCCGGCTTGTGTAGCCACAACTGCCTGATGGAAATGGTCCGAGGGGCCATGACTTCCCTTACCATCAAACAAAGGACGGAACTCTATGACCGCGGCCAGGCAAATGCTCGAAGACACGAAAAGATCCGCAAACGTTCGGATCGAAACCCGGAGAGTATCAAGGCCTTCACTGCCCGATCAAACGCAAAGTGAAACTCTGTGAGGCACGCCAGACGAAAATTGGCGGAGGAAACTCGTGTTCATTGGTGTGATACTTGCCAACTTAATTGTGTTGATTCACTTCTCTTTTCGTTCTCTTGATATTTTCTATTGTCTTTTTGTCGTGGACTTTATTCCCATCAGCATATATGTTGCTGCTTTGTCTCCTTTGTCTCTTTGGCTTCAGGTTTCCTTCCGTCAAGACACAAGATGACTTTCACGTTCGCATATGATCGCCTGCCTAGAGCCAGAACCACCACCGCCACCCCCCCGGCCGCCACCCCGGGGATGAAAATCTCCGACTGGACTACAATGGCGTACCAAGGAGTGAGCCTCCTTTTGACCTTTGTTGGGACTGTACTTGCTTGGTTGGACCATAAACTGCGCATAAGGGAGGATGCCCGGGCGGTGAGGGCTGAGCAGAGGGCTGAGAAGGCCGAGGAGGAGAAGGAGAAGGAGAGGAAGGGGATGGGTCAAAGCCGGCCTTTTTTGAGACAGCTGTTTTGAAGTCTGCTCCAGGAGGTGCTTTCGGAGGTAAAGGGAACCAATGTCTTGCTAGCATCACAGGCCGCCGACTCTCACAGGTCGCGGAGTAACTAATTGGAGACCATTGCTTCATATACTGAGATTGGCTTTTGCCTCCATGCCGTTGTTTTCATCAAATCTTCATTTTGAACACGTATGATAGAGTTCCACCGTGATCGTGGGTTGAGGGTTGAGGTCGATGATTCCAGGTGGCTGGTATCACCATCTACTTTCTGTTGTTCATGCAATCAACACCATTTCGTCTTTTAACTTCTTGGCCAGCATGTGTTCTACCGTATGTGTGGATCTCACATGATGGCGGTAGCGTTGACTGCCCAGTAGTTTACGAGAAGCAAGGAGAACCCTGATTCTGCCATGCCAATTGGTCAACTAACGATGGGACTTTACTCTTTTCCCCAGTAAAAAGATAGAGTAGTTGTCACCTCTTCCAATCTAAATGGCGTTGCGTTCGTCTCGCGGACATTGAGCCCATGGTAGCCTCCGACTCAGCAGATGACAGTGACTCGTCGTCGCCGGAAATCACCGTCGTTGTTATTCTCTTTGTTGATAACCCGCGGAAAGGGGCAGGGCTTGAGCCACGTTCACTGCTGATTGTAGAGTAACTACAATCCTCGCCATTTGGTACTCCAGTAGGGATGCCGAATATGCGCCCCCCAATATTAGATGAAAGAATATTGATAAGTGGAAGTGTTCAGCTCCTAGTGGACCGTGAGTGACACTCGGTATAATTTCACTGGAAATAAGCCTAAACGTGAAAATGAAAAGGGGAGTATAAGGTACGGAAAGGGAAAAAAGGAGAAAATAAGAAGTAGGGTCCATATTGGATTCGAACCGATATCATATTACCTACAGCACGTACGTGTATGCGAAGCGGAGACGGACATGGGATTTATAACGGATCTCTACCGCTTCCGCCCTCCTCTCTGCCGTCGCCGCTTGCTGCCGCCGGGCTTGACGGATGCCGTACATGAACCAAAGTCCGAGTAGCATCATGATCTTTGTCACTACCCAATGATAAATCTTGAAAAGCTTCATGCCGGTGAGGCCGGTGAGACCGGTGGCGGCGGCGGGGATGGTGCACATGGTGGCCGTGACGGTGGTGTGATAGGGGTGATGGGGGTGGTCATTGTGGTGTTGAGCATTTTGGCTTCTGATGTAGTTGTGATGGTGGTGGTAGTCGTGGTGGTTGTTGTGGCTGTGATGGTTGCTGTGACGACGGTGATCTTTGGTTCTGTGAAATTTTCAATACGTATGTGTCAGCTTGATGGTTATGTTGGAAAAAGAAAAGATGAAGAGAATAAGAAGATCAAGCTTGAAAAGAAATGAACTGTGCGGCACTCAGGTGGAGAAAGGTAACGAACGAGGATCCGTCACCGAAGAAGTTAGTTAGGCATGAACGCAAAGCACTCCGGTGCAGCGAGCAAGACACACGCCAGCCAAGCACTTAAGGGATGAAACGGTGGTGAATTGTATGAACAACAGAAAGCAAATAGAAGATGCCATCTACCTAGAATCATAGACCCGACCCAAACCCTCGACCCTCTCTACTTCCTCTCCATCTCCTTCATCTTCCCCTCAAGCTCCGCAACGCTCTCCCCCATCGCCCTCACCTGCCGCTCAAGTCCTTCAATTCTCTCCATCATTGCCCCCAAGCTCCTGTCCACCCGCTGCCCCATTGCCTCCCGCGCGTCCACCTGCAGGTCTATACGGTCTGAGAGGAGGTTGATTGTGCGGATGACGAAATAGAAGGAGATGGCCTGGGCGAGAGTTTCAACCAACTTAAGGAAGGCCATGATGATTTCCTGGGGTATGTTGGCGGCGGTGTCGTTGTCGTTGTTGTAGTTGTGGTGGTGGTTGTGGTGTCCTGTGAGAAAGTCAGTGTATGTATCAGTGTGATGGTTGCAAGAGAGAAGATCCGAAAAGAGGGCCCAGAATCATGGAATGTGCGGGATGGAGGTCTTTTCATGTGTCCGACGGGAGTCACTGGCTTGGGCACAGCCCACTGTCGTTTCTCCGTCTGCATGTTATGAACTGAATGGGATGTTGCATTGCCGTGCATGCCCCTGGGTAAGAAGACCGAAGGTGTAATGTGCGCCTTCCAACTTTTCCTTTTTGAATGGCCTCAAACTCTGGAAGTCTGGAAGGGGAAAGAGCATAGGGTTGATACTGGAAACCTCCTTTTTTGGTGATGTGGATACCGTCGGCATTGACTGACAGTGTCTGGAAATGTTCCTGCCCTCTTCACCATTGATGCAGTCATTGGGAGGAAAGGTTGGTGTCATCCGCCCTCGCAGCTCCGTCGCTGATGCAACTGGCAGACCTTTGGCCTTGTGTTTCCGGCCCTCCTCGTTTTCGGACGGATCTCGTGCGTAAAACTCTTCGGTACCTCACTTACTAGAGTACCAGGATGTGTGAGAAATGCAACGAACTTCAGTAGTCCTTCGGCGTGTGAGCATTGCACATGGCTTTTCAGCCACGTCAGAAACGTACAGGAAGTTTTCGCCCCCTCTCCCTCCGACGTCCGAATGTCCGATCAAGTTTACGTCACCTCTTCAAATCTCTCCCGCTTCCTTTTTTCTTTCATCACCTTCTCCAATCTCACCAAAACCCCAGTCCACTGATCAGCGCCAGACAAGGACAAGAAAGCTCACTCAGTTGTCTGAAAGGTAATTCCAAATAAGCCACATTCCTTCTCAACATCGGTGTTTTATCTCTAAACCGCTCCTGTCTGCAATTGAGTGTAGTGTTGCTAACTCAGACCCCGCCCCCCGACAGCCTATCGATACCATCACGTCACCGTCAAAATGTCCCCAAGACTGCGCGACACCGTTCTTTCTGGGCTAAGACTCCAGCCCAAGTCCAAGAGTGCTAGGACCGATCCGGATGACTCGGACACCTTGCCAATGTCGGACTTCAACGCGGCTGTCGACCCAGCTGTTGTTGCGGCCTCAACCTCAAGGCCTCTCCTTCCCACAGTGACAACCGACACGACCCAGCCATCAAAATCGGAGACACTTACCGTACCTCCTTCGTACAACGAGGCAATGACAACGTCCCTAAGCGGCAAGGGCAACGCCCCTTCCCAGCTCGTCCAACAGTTTTTCCACGGCGGCGAGGTCAACTGTCTCGGGCTTACCAAGGCTGTCCGGCCCGTCGTCTGCCTCTATTACGAGCTGCTGGAGCAGGCCGTATCCCGTTTCATCCAACCAAGGATGGAGAGGTGCGGGATAACTGACATCGAGACGCCGGCCATGAGGCGCCTGGTGATCCATTCAGTCGCCAACTACGCCTTCATGTTGGCCATCGTCCACGCCAGCAGCCGGTACCAGCTCAAGTGCGGCATTCGCCTCTGTGACGACGATGAGGTCCACGCCATTCGTACCCACGTCAGGGCCGAGATGCTCCAGGGCTTTCTTGATGTGATGCCGCGTCTTTCGGACACGAGTAACCCTGATACTGGGATCCCATACTCTGAGGTGGCGCGGGCCCGCAGGTCCTACTTTGTGAAGTGTTTGGCCGACCGCCTTGAATATGAGCTAGATGACGAGCGTGAGAGACTGATGGGCATCAAGATGACCCTGAACACCGGTGAGCTGGATGGGCCCAAGGTGCAGGAGTGCTGGCGCTTGTTCAAGGCTGCGCTCGCTCAGGCTGGCGGCGGCATGCACGACTTGCTTCTTCCCTTGGGGTACGAGGAGGGGAAGGGGCCCGAGCAGAAGTGCCTGAGACCGCTTTTCTACCAAAAGTGTCACTTGCCTGGCTGCCCCTTGTCCCGGGGAGCGCTTACACGATATCTTTTTGGCACATGTATATAAAAGCCGATGTAGGCGTGGCCTGGTCCCGTCTCTCACTCTCTCTCTAGAGTGGACCTTGATTCCCGTCTCCGTATCCTTCTTCTTTTCCCCTAGTTCTATCATATTCAGGCCCCTCGATGTATTCTTTCCTAGGGGTACACTCAACCTATGTATCTCCTACAGTTAACAGCAAGCCGAGCTCTTCAAGGGTATCTCGATGAAGATAAAGAAGCGCAGAAGAAACGATAGCTCACCGGACATCGTCGCCGACAGGTCGCACCGAGCGATAACTACCTCGAAACCTCTCCCCTGGAGTGCCGCTTGACGGACCCAAGACGGGTGGGCCGCATTCTAATCGGTATATCTTATTCGATCTATTTTTTTCCTTTTCCAAAGTCGCCCTGGGCCTAGGCCAAAAAGCCTTGGTTGCTAGGCCGCCTTTAAAGTTTTGCGCTCTACGAGATGGATTATTATAAGGCACTTGGGCTTTTTCCTTGTATCTAGTAGTAGCGCACGTCTCATGCCATTTGGGAGGCAGAAGTAGACGTTAAATGTAAACCCACACACACACACACACACACACACACACACACACATACACAATCACCAAGGACTAGTGGAATCAGCGCATCGAAGTTACTGGGAAAATACGGTAGGAAAATGGATATAGGGTAAAGAACTAACTGTAATGGCCCAGCTAGGACTGGTTATGATATCTTTCACGCGCGGCTTCCATTCATGCGTGGCTCAGGTTTAGGAATTTGATCTAGGACCTTCTGATGTCGTGCGTACCTCTACCTACCTTTATAAAACCTCGTCCTCCAGCCCCATCTACCTACCTAGCTTTTTTTTTTTTTTTTTTTTTTTTTTTTGTTTGAAACTTACTTCCTTCTTCTTCAACTTACTACGTAGTATCTTCCCTCCAGGTAGCCAAAAGATATCTACGCAGTTATTACAGCACTCTTCGCGTTCGCTTTGCTACGATCGTGACGCTCGTGACACTAGTTGAAGCGCCCTTGCCTTCAACTAGATTCAATCGTGGGCCCAAAGGTGTCATGAAAGGTGTCATAGAAGAACCGCAACTGCGAAATGAACTTGCAATTAATATTGCTTCTCAAAATGACTATGTTCCCCAAATAACCAAATTTGAAGGGTAATGGGGAGGCATTGAAAGCAAAGAGCAATAAGCCGGCCGTACGGAAGCGGACGGTGGCCGGGAAAAGTGGGTCTTCCCGGAGATGTGGATCAAGCTTTTCTCTACCGGGTTGTGGATTCGCGGGCGCTTTTCTGTCTCCCCGGGGATTGGCTCCGTCCCAGGGGAAGAGTATTTTCCATATGGAAATGCAGTCCCCTTCATGTTTTTCTTCCGTGGCCTTAGAGGGTGTTGTACCTGAAGGGAGCACCTGGGGAGTCTTCGGGCGTGTGCCAAGTGTACACGGACCCCTTTAGAATTCAGGGAAGGGAAGGCGTACCCCTTTGGTCTTGACTCACATTGCACAAGCAACATCCTATTTGGATAAACGGACTGACGGAGACAGTAGTACCTTCCACCTAACGTCATGGGCGGGCTCTGCAGGAATGCAGCAATTCAAAAGACGCACAATCCATTTTCCTCCTTGATCCTCTTCTTTTCCAACACAACCAAAACTGCACACACACTGACACATTCACAGGCACTGCACCACCATCACAACCATCACCACAACCACCACCGCAACCATGAGCTTCCACCACCGTTCCCGGCTTCTGCGCTATCTACCAGCATCTCGTCACCACCTGCGCCCCCGCCGCCACCACCACCTACGCCGAGGTCACCGAGACCGTCACCGCCCAGGCCGCGGTCATCGAGACCGTCACCGCCACGGTCACCGAAATGTTCATGGCCATCCCCCTGGACATCCCCGTCGTCGTCGGCGACATCGCCTTCAACGTCCCTTTCACCCCCACCATCATCGTCCCCATCATCCTCCCACCCACCCGCACCGTCACCGTCACCATCACCCCCACTCCCACCCGCACCCCTCTCGGCTACTGGGCCGATTGGCTCAACTGGATTTGAGGAGGGATGGAAGGGGGAAGGGAGGAGATGAATGAATGAATGATGTATTTTAGTTTCATCTTAATCTGAAACGCCTTTTAACACTTGCAAAAGCTTTCTTGATGCTACCATGTGCAAAACCTTTCTTGATACGTGATTCACAGTCCTTGATGTGTATAACATGAATCGTCTGCCCGTTAAACGCTCGCTTCCACTTGGTTCTTCCACTTGATTCTTCCACTTCTAGGTACTTCCAGAGTAACCCTCCGTCCTTCGTCCTCCCTACACTCACCCCAAACCTACCTCTACCTCTACCTCTACCTACACCCAAACTCCGCGCATCCAAGTCCAGAAGACCTCCCTGACTCCCTCCCCCCAAGACTCCTAAGACCCCCAAAACCTCCCAAGGCTTAGGTTCATCTCAAACTTCGCCCAAGTCGGGCACCTCAATAAACCAACACCAAGACCAACCAACTTCCTACCAGGCAGGATTCAGAGCTGAGAGCTCTCCCCGTCTCCAATCCCTTATTCCCTTCGTTGTTGTCGCAACGGACTGACTCCCACTCTCCCTCCAAGAGATGATGCATTGCATGCATGCATGCATGCATGCATGGTACATACCTACCTCTAGGTAAAATATTAAGTAAAGGTACGTTGCAAAGAGTGGGCGTTGCGAAAGAGTGGCTGAGTGGGCGCTGCGACCTAATGCAATACCGAGTCACGGAACTCGGAACTCGGAACTGCAGGACTCCGGAGATAAGATTGATTGCTTCTACAAGTTCATTGCCTAGCTAGGTAGGTATATCAACTCTAGAGTGTGGAGGGTAGAGGGTACCTAGATAACTCCAATACCGAATAATGGGATGGTCATGTTCGTTTTTGGTAGAGATATTGTGGAGTGTCTACTGCCCCTGGGAGACTGGGTCCGGGAAACTCTGGGTGCACAGTGTGGACACAGCGTGTAGGCAAAGAGGTGGGTGCATGCTGGGTGATATGATATGATTTGATGGGGCTCGAGCTTGGTTGTTCTAATCTGTTTTGATAGTCGTACTTCAAATGCTAACGTGGTATGCTCATCTAATGTCATCATTCCGTCTCGGCGCTGCCACAACACAACTAAGCCTTTCTATCATTCAGAGCATTGACATTCCTGCAGTGCCCTCCTCCCATTATGTCTTCTTCTTTGCCTTCTTCTTGTCTTGTCTTGTCTTGTTCCAGTCCCAGTCCCGATTCCAGTTCCAGTTCCAAACTACCAATGGTATCCATCCATCCATCCATGCATCCCATCTTTCTATCGTATCGTACATCAAACATCCATCCCAATCAAGTATAAAATTTTACAAGAAGGAAAACTCTCTAAAACCGCAAATTCTCCCACCGATTCCTCTCCCTCTTACTCCAGGAACTGCCGCTCCTACTCCGACTACTCTGACTCCTCTCCTCATCCCTCTGACTGCGTAGTTGCGGCCAATCGGGAGGATGACTCGCTGATCTCATCCTCGACGCCGGCTTTGGTCTCTCTGGTGGCGCGGGTCTCTAACCAATCGGGGGAACCGGGGGAGCAGGAGGAGCCTGAGGAGCCGAGGGGGCAGGGGCAGCAGGGACGTTGCTACCACGGTTATGCTTCTGATTCTATCTCTGTCCCTGGTTCTGTCCCTGGTTCTGAGAGGTTTGGGTCTGAGTCAAGTCGGAGCCCGTCGCTGCGGCCGCGGCTTGCTGGGCTAAGTTCCCTGGGAGTTGGGGTTGTGGTGGTTGTCCTTGCTGTTGGGCTTGTTGCTGGGCTTGTGCCTGTGGCTGCCCTTGCTGAGCCTGTTGTGTCTGTCCTTGAGGAGGCGCAGTAGTTGTCGTGGGCCTGCTCACTCCCGCTGTGGGGTTAGACATGCTCGCTCCCCTCGGCCTTGCTCCCACCGGCCCTCCTGTCCCGTTTGGACCGCTTGGACCGGCTGCGGGGGTTGGACTGAGCGTCATAGGCGACGGAGCAGGCAAGGTCTGCGGTGGTGGGATCGTCGTAGCAGTTGCTCCAGGGGTGGTGTAGACCGGCTGAGGAGCCTGTGGCTGCTGTGAATGAGGAGACAAAGCCGACTGTCCCGCGTACAATCCTCCACTGGCGATGGGCGAGCTAGGGCTCATCGGTTGTTGATTCTGTTGCGCGGCATAAGCTGCCCCGGCGTATTGCGACATACTCGGCCCTGGCTGTCCTTGCCCAGCGTATCCCTGGCCGTAGTTGTAGGTATCGGGGCTGAAACCCGCTTCGCCTCGCTCTACGTCAAAGGAAAGGTTGGAACGGCGGCCAGTGTTTGGGCTGCGAATGCTGCCGAGGCCACCGCCGACCGAGGGGCGAGTGACGTGCACGCTTAGAGACCTATTCCCTGGCGGCAGTCCGTCGCCTGGCTTTCTGCGTCCGCGCTGGGACTCACGGGGGTACAAGTAATCCCTGCGGGCGATGGAGGAGGAGGCATCGTCACCCGCGCGGCCGACGGGAGAAGCGTCACGCGAGCGCAGGGTGGCCCTGTCGTAGCCCCAATCGTCTAGCGCCTCGGCGACGGGATCGGAGGCGTTGATGTTGGCGACTGCTTGTTGCTCGGCTTCCATCTTGCTGGTTCCTGTTTTGCCGCTGCCGCTGCCCGGAGTGTGGACACTGTCCTGTTGGCGCAGTTTGGTAACCATCTTGGCCGCCTCCTTATCCTTGTCCGCCTTTCCTCTGGCCATAGCAGCGAAATCATCCGTTACAGTAACGGAGTACGCCGGGTTGGTAGGACCGCCCAACGGCTCACCACCACCGCCGGGGCCGTTGATGGGGACCGCCTTGAGGGCCAAAGCCAAAGCGCACATGAACTTGGAGCGACGGGTGCAGCGAACGGCCTCGTTATGCCAGTTGGACTTGTGCTTGATCTGGATCTTAAGCGTCATCTTGTCCAAGTTGCCGACGTCGTTGATCATGATGGTGATATCGGGCTGGAAGTCGCGCGAGTTCTCGGAGGAGCGGACAAACTTTTCGAGCTCGAGGCGGAGAAGCTCGATATCTTCGAACGAGGTATCGTAGGAGACGGCAACGTCGACGGTTTCTTTCATGGCCTTGGATCGCGTGACGTTTTCGATCCAGAGGTTGTTGAGTTGAATGTTGGGGACCTACAGCCGTTAGAACATGGATGGGTAATGGAGGAGAACGAAGAAACATACCTGAACAACCTGCATCTTGTCAATGCGGGTAAACACCGTGTAGAGCAGAGAAATCTTCTCAACAATGAGCTGCTCGGCAGCGGGACCCATAATATCGACACGATCGCCGACATCATACGGATGCTTGACGAACAGGAAAATGCAAGAACCCAGGAATTCCTGTGTGGTAACCGCAAAAACGAAGGACAGCGACAAAAGCGTGGTACCAGCCGTCGCCAGAGTCGTCACAAAGCTGCTCTGAAACACCACCAAGAAGATAATGATCACAATGATCAGCACCACAAACAGCAGGACCTTATCAAACACGGTCAAAGCCTGACTGATGTCCTTCATGCTGTGCGCGATTGCCTTTCTCTCCTTGCCGATATCGACAACCTTGCGGATCATCTCGTCGAGACTGATGTCGCCGTTCTGGTCGGCGTCGATGGCGTTGAAGCACTCCTCGGCCTCTTCGCGGTGGTGGGGGCCCAGCACTTCGATGATATCGTCCAGCAACAGGGACTCCTCGCCTTCGGCCGCGAAAGACATCCAGATACGACGGGCCATGGCCTCGGAGCTGCGGACTTTTTCGAGCGCTTCGATGACGATGGAGTGCGCCGAAGTGGGGTTGAAGACGTTCTTGCCGGTGATTTCGGAGGCAATGTTGCCGAACACAGAGGTGATCTTGTCGCCGATGCGGTGGACGTCGCCGACGATGCGCATGGGGGTGCTGGTGCCTCCGGGGTGCATCTTCTCGGTCCTGTTGTGCATGAGGAGGGCGTTGATGCTATCGTTGATGACGTAGTCCTCGTCGGCAAACTCGGGGCAGTACATGGGGAACAGGGTCCTCGAAGCTTCGTAAAGGAGACCCAGGAGGTAGATGTCGCGCTTGGAGTCTTGGATTCGGTTGGCAAAGGAGCGTTGGTGGTACGAGATACTGATGACCTGGACAATGGCCTTTTCTCCTAGCAAAACGCCAAACGAGATGAAGAGCGACAAAAGGATGCGCTTGATGGTGTGGACCCATTCGATGCTGTCGTCTGTGAAGCGGAACTTGAACACGAGCCAGGAAGCCAGTAACCAGAGAAACAAGGATAAATTGATCTCCAAAGCGGCCAGCACGTTGGCGTACTTGCGAGTTCCAGCGCTGACGACACCGCAAAGGAACATGAAGACGGAGGGAAGGACGTGGGCGACTAGCTTGGCGGTCCATAGCGACAGCCACGAGATTTCGATCCAGAGGAAGAGCCAGAAGAGGGTGTAGTTTTCCTTGTCGCTGTCGCTGGTGCCAAGTTGGATATTATCGACGTTGCCAGTGAATGGCAGAACGAAGAGCGGGATGGCGAGTAGGAAGGCGATGGGGATGATGTAAATGAGATAGCGGGTGACGAAGGGGAAGCTGACGACCTTGCGATAGAAGCGACCCAACGCGTTGAGCTTTTGATCCTCACTCATATTGGTGCCAGGCCGGCTCAGATCTCGGACACGGCGCCGTCCAGAAGGCCCAGCCTGGCGGCGGCTGGACTTGCTGGATTTGTGAAAGAGGCCATGCTTCTCGGTGGGGGAGGAGTCGACGGTGCCTAGAGTGTTGGAGAGGGTCTGGTCGGCCTTTCGAGCACCGGTCGAGGACCTCGAGGCAGTGGACGCGTTGGTGCGAATGGGCCGTAGTGGGATGTCATTAGGTTCCATTTCTTCAACGTCTGAGTCAGGGTTGGATGGGATATGGCAGAAACCCCTGTGTCCTGTTGGCGACTTGGGCTGCCTGGTACTTCTTAAGGACATAGCTGAAGAAGTTCAGGGTCGCCAACCGTCGAGGTGTGTTGGTGTATATACTTGGTATATTGCGTAAGAGGGGTGGGGTCCGGGTCGTCGTCGATGGTTTGGTGGGGACTGGTCCGACTGGATGGACTGACAGGCGGTGATCTCGGTGGTCTGGGCAAAGAGAGAAACAAAGACTGTGTGTGGTTGGTGATGCGCTAACGTAACGGAGGGAACGAATGTGGAGAGTAATGAACGCGATTGGGTGTAGTCTTTCTAGGTTACCTAGGAGACGGTAATACAAAGATGATTGTCGAAGAGAAGAGAAGCGAAAGGGATTGAGGGGGAATTCAAGGGACTTTAATTGTTCACGTTCAAAGTTTTTTCTTCTTCCTTGACTGTATGTAAGTACTGTACCGTGTCAGTTACAGTCCAATACTGTCAGCTCGAGACCTCGGGTCAACTTCCCTAGGCGTTTGCATGCTGTGAATATGCTCTTTCCAAAGTGAAATACACCGTATTGGATCTTGTTGATGCCTTTTGGATCCGTACCTAGCCATTTTCATGCTGTGAATATGCTTTTTCCAAGATAAAATACACCTTTCATTTACGGTTTGGGACAGTGTACCAGGACTGATACTGCACTGTACCGTGTCAGTTGGAAGGAGCCCGTGAATGCGGTTTGCATTTCTGATGTTGTGACAACTGTGGGCCCTGTCCAACTTTGTTCGGGTGTCTGCTTTGGGATTAGCCTCCTTCCTTTTTTCAGGGGTGCAGCTGCATCTTTTCCGTGGGTTCAGCCACTAAAAGCCCCAAACCGGCTAGGGGCATCCTTCCCTGTTTCACAAAAACAGATCGACCCCGATTTGACTAGCCCGGTGTGTGTGATTGGCCATGTGCCTTTTTCTGTGGTTGTTCGGGGTCCACACCTCCATCAGCCTGCTTTTTTCTTCTTTTTCTTTTTGACTTTGTGGCATGCCAGTGTCTTCTGTTGACAGTCTTTTTGCATTCCGTAGTGTCGTGTGTCGTGTGTCTCGTTTCATGGTATCGACTATCGAGTGTTGTCGTGTTTTGGTCGTTTGAAAGGGTGCATATCGGGAACAGGTGGCAGGTGCAGGTTCATCCAGTGTTACTACTTGTATGCACTTCAAATTGGCTTGTGCAGTCCGACCTGACATGACTACATCTCTGACCACGAATGGATACACAACATGTCACAAGCAACTGTTACTGCCTGCCTTGACACTGCCAACAGCTGCCAGCTGGAATTGCGATCATCACTCGGCATCCTGATAAGTCCACCAACTCAACTACCTACCACACCTACGTCACAGCCCGTGCCGGAATCCCGTGCCGGAATCCCGTGCCGGAATCCCGTCCCGTTAGTCAACCCATCGTTCCTTCTGCATCCGAGATTTCGATCTGATCCCAACGACATCTTGGCAACTGCCCTATCACTCACCGGGTGGATCATCCGAAGCCTGTTCCGATCGGGGGACGATACGGCTCCACGCCGTTGTCACGTTTGAGAGATCAAAAGAAAGCGGCGCCGGAACTTGAGGCGGGGGCTTGGATTGGGAAAGGAAGACCCCTGATTTTGACGAGTTGTGGAGGCACGTGCTTTGGGATCTCTCTGGGATCTGGCAACAAGCTTAGACGTGCTGGAGATCTGGATTTGAATACATTTGCACTGGGGAAACATTCTGGCCGTCTTGGCGTGGATCATAAGGGTTCTGATATACAATTGCTTGCTGAGGTGATGGCATTCAAGAGGTTGTCGTTGAAGCCGTGTTCTGCCGTCCCGTCCCGTGTTAAGGCTGAAGAATGACACTGCGCTACTAAAGAGACTAATTGAGGTCGACAACATTGAACATGACGTCAGAGTAGCCATCGTGAAGTGGTCCAATCAATGCCCTGGGGCTATCGTGGTCGGGTGCGCTATCGTCGCTTCAGTTCGCTTGAATCGATGAAGAGGCACGGACCATTTGACGCGGCTGACGACGGCCGACCGGATTACAATCCGGGACGTTCCATCAAGGTCTCGATTCGATGTTTTATGATTGTTACACGTACTGTTACCGTAACTGTTACCGTTACAACCGCACACACAAATGATGGAAGCTGCTGGTCATAGCTCCCGTCTCTCCACTTAATTTTCCCCGCGATAAGGTGTCACGATAACCTCGATAACGACCATTTGTCGGTTCCGTTCCCTTGTCTCGTCAACCACTCCTCCAGCTCTTAGTATCCCTAGCCCAGCGAGTCTGTGGACTCCTACCTAATAACATCCACATCAACAACTCAAACGCCCACAATGAGACCGTCGCGACTGGCCATGCGGCCCTACACCTGTCTCCAATGCCTCACCCGAACACGCCCCGTCTTCCCCCGACCTACACAAACACCGCGGATAGCCTCCCTCCATAACAGCTCCCGCTTCCTCCAACAACAATCCTCAGACTCCCCCGCTGCTTCTCGACCAAGCATAGCCCCCAAGCCCGTCGTCGATATCAAGCACATCCGCCAAAACCCAGACCTTTACGCCCACAACTGCATCGAGCGCAACTACCATCAACAAGCCACCTACCCACAACGTATCAACGACCTCCACGCCCAATGGCAAGCCAAACAGCGCGAGGCTCGTTCCCTGCGTGAGCGCTCCAATATCCTGCGCCGCCAGCTCACCGACCCCGGTTCCATCCGTGACGAAAATGCCGACGCCATCGCCGCGGGCACCCAGCTCCTAACGAGGGACGAACTCATCGCCGAAGCGCGCAACCTCAAGTCCCTCCTCTCGACCATCGAAGCCGAAGAAACCCGCATTCTCTCCGAGATCGAGTCCCTCGCCCTGTCCATCCCCAACCTCACTTCCGAAGAATCTCCCCGGGGCCCCGAACCCAAACTTCTGTCGTTGATCAACGAACACCCCGAACCCGTGCCCTCGGCCTCCGACCGCGTCTGGCGCTCCCACGTCCACATTGGCAACGAGCTAGGTCTTCTCGACTTTGCCTCCGCCGGCACCACCTCCGGCTGGGGCTGGTACTTCCTCCTGGACGAAGCCGCCCAGCTCGAGCAAGCACTCATCGCCTACGCCCTCGACCTCGCCGTGCGCTCCGGCTGGCGCCAAGTCAGCCCGCCCTCCATCGTCTACTCCCACATCGCCTCGGCCTGCGGCTTCCAGCCGCGCGACCAGAACGGCGAAACCCAGATCTACACCCTCGCCCAATCCGCCGACGACGCCGCCCGCGGCAAGCCCGAGCTCTCTATGGCCGGCACCTCCGAGATTCCGCTAGCGGGCATGCACGCCTCCAAAATGCTTCTCTGCCCCGGCGACATCTCCGAGTTCTCTCCGCTCAAATACGTCGCCGTCTCGCGCTGCTACCGCGCCGAAGCCGGCTCCCGCGGCCTCGAAACCAAGGGCTTGTACCGCGTGCACGAGTTCACCAAGGTCGAGCTCTTCGGGTGGACGTACCCCTCTCTCGACTCGGCGAGCGACGTGTTCAACGAGATCGTCGACCTGCAAACCGACCTCTTGTCTTCCCTCGGTCTGCACTGCCGTGTGCTGGAGATGCCCACGCACGACCTCGGCGCTTCGGCCGCGCGCAAGATCGACATCGAGGCCTTTTTCCCGAGCAGGAGGGAACGTAATGAAGGGTGGGGCGAGGTGACGAGCGCGAGCATATGCACTGATTATCAGGCTAGGAGGCTGGCGACGAGGCTAAAGGGGGAGGATGGCAAGATGATTGAGGGCGGGTATCCGTTTACGGTGAACGGGACGGCCATGGCGGTGCCGAGAGTGGTGGCGGCGTTGTTGGAGAATGGATGGGATGAGGAGACGGGGACGGTGGTCATTCCGGAGGTGTTGAGGGGGTGGATGGGTGGGAAGGAGAGGGTTGGGCCGAAGCCCCCCACTAAGAAGGGGTTGGGGGTTGGTGTTTAGTAGAGGCTAGGTAGATATGGTCTGGGACATGGGAAGGGGATAAAAAGGAGTTGGTCGGTGTTGGTGGGAGTGGTGTATGATACAGAGGTATGGTTGTTGTATTATCTTGGCAGGAAAAGCATGTTAATGGAGTATGGTTACTTGTTCGTACCGACCAGCTCGCTTACTATCTACTGCCGTGATGCCTCCGGCGGCCCCATCCGGGGAGGGGGCCTCGCTTCGCTCGATGGACTGGACTACGAACGTTTAACTGTTGTCTGTCACAGGAAGAAAGCTAGGTCAACAACGGTACCGTTCAGAAATTCCTATCTAACGCACTTTCCAGGAGTACGGTATATCCCTTTCGGAGTGTACGGCCTGCTAGTTTACGATATTTCCCATCTGACAGGCATCTTTTCTCCAAGCGTATGCCCTTCCTCTACCAGCAAATACTTCTTCTCTCTATAAACATGTCTATACCTCTCGATCAAGGCGTCCACGACACTCCGGTAAACTCAGCCGAGTGAAAGTGCTCCAAATTACATCTGGCTTAGTACTATAGCGCCATCCGGATTCACCAACCAGAACAAACCCATTACCACGGCACCCCCCCCCCCCCCCTTTCTTCCCCCCCCCCCCGACGATGAACCAACAACAAACCAACAAAGCCTGATCGCAGAACTCAAGTCCTCAGGAGCATTCTCCATCCTTGAGAAACACCCCTGGGGCCTTCGGAACCCAGAACATCACCCACCCTATCACATTCACTTTTTCTCTATGGATCGAATAGTCTCCGCTTTAAGCAGCAGCTCTCTAAACAGCAGAATCTGGGACGCCGTTCTTCTCGATGTGGGCGCGGACCAGATGGAGGAGGGCACGACTCTGTTCGTAGGTATCCGGCAAGATTCGTTTGAGCGCTAGGTATCCATCGAGCGTTTTCTCTCTGGTCTCGATGGCCGCGAGAATTTGCTGAGCTGACCCGCCGACGACGACAAAGTCGTCGTGCTCCTCTTTAGGGTGACCGCCGCCGCGAGGGTGGTGCACGTCTTGCGCAAGAAGCTGCTTGTTACACAGCGCTTCCCATGTGCACACCTGTACGAAACGGTTCAAGGTTACGCCCGTGCCTGATTCTTTCAGGCAGAAGTGCAGACGGTCAAGGACCGGGGTCGGAGGTTTAGCATCGCCGTCCTTCCAGCCCTTCAGTCCCTCCAACTCCCGCTGGATGTAGACCTGTTCGCGCTCTGGGCCTCCCAGGTCGAACCACGACCAATCTGTGTCCCTTCTTGCATCCTCTTCACACTTGTCGTCGTTTGCGGGCAAACCTTTGTCTTTCAAATAACGCTGGTGCGCCTCTTTGCGCTCGTTCTTGTGGGCTTCTTTGGCTTTTTCTTCGTGCTCTCTACCAAAGGCAAAATTCTTGATATAAGACGCCCATTTGCCGTTTTCCTGGATAAATTTCGCGTGGAAATCACGTTTCTTGGTCGAAACTTCAAGGAAGATGTTGTGGGCGAGTCTAGCCAATATTCTATCCTGCTGGCCCATAGGCAACTCACGGTTGATTCCTGGGCGCTGGGCTTCTTTTGCGAATAAGTTCCAAGTCGACGATTAATTCGGGCTCATCCCAGTTCTTGATCATCTGGATGAGTCGGTCCGATTCGTCGACAATTTCGCCCGCAGGCCTGGATTTCCACGTGGCCGCCGCTTCGTTGGACATCGTTATCGCTTTGTTGTCGTAGTAATATGGTGGTGTATTCGGAGTTGGTAGGGGAAACGGGTGAAGAGAATGGGTGAAGAGAACGGGGGAAAAGTCTGAGATCGAAGGTGTTATTGCTTCGTTGTCGTAGTAATGTGGTGGTGTGTTCGGAGTTGGTAGGGGAACGGGTGAAGAGAACGGGTGAAGAGAATGGGGGGAAGATTCTGAGATCGAAGGTGGGCATTGGGGGACATTTTATATGTGGCCGGGGCTGTTTGAATGCGCTGCAGAAGGTGTCCGTCGGGTCGGGGTGGGCGTACACCGACGTATAACCGAATTTTCGGCCACGTTCATATTTTGGGTGTTTTGTACAGGTCCGTACGGGCATAAAGAAAATGTACGATTTTCTGGTCATACATAACCCTAACGCGGGCGAGGCTATGCGAGGCTATTATGAGGGGGTCGCACATTGCATTCCAGGTAGGTTGTTGGTGGCGTTGGTCTGTTTTGCGTTTGCGACATGCCGTAGAAACTCGGGGCGTTCGTTTTCAGCTAACTGGGAAATCAGGCATAATCAGACATATGTATGTCCGAATATGCACATTATCTGCCCGCAAAAAATAGAGGGGGGGACATGTTGCCACCCCGGAGCACTGTAAATTTGATTCTTCTGGTGCCCTGTCTTTTCCTCCTGTCTTTTCAAGGGCGCTGGAGGGTGGGGACATCCAAAATCACCGTCTTGCATACAATTTCTGGCGGGCATGAATGTTGCAGTATGCTTACAGACTATGTCTGATTTCCTTGGTAGCTGAAAACGAACGCCCCGAGTTTATACGGTATGGCCGACATCATAGCTGTAGTACCTTGTTGTCGGTCATTCATCCATCTTACGACGATACGCCATACTACTTCTCCATCAAGCATATACCTAACCTCTTGCTTTTCGGTCCAGTCTCGTCGAGATCATTGTGCCCATGGCATGGCAGTCATGACTGGCGGCAGCTTTCATCTCCCTCCTTATCGAGGTTGTTGCCGTTTGGGGCTCGTTTGTGTGTATGTTGTTGGTAGGTCGGCGTTCCAAAGTAGGTATGGTCATCGCCGTTGCTGGGCGGGCGGCCATCAGGTATGTCGGCGATGAGTCGGGTCGGTCCTTGAGTTGTTTCTCAGTGTGGGGAGGGTGGGTGCCTTTAGCTGGCATCATCTGTAATTCGACAGGTTGAATGCTGGCTGGGGTGAGGTATGCTTTGGTGGTCGGCGGCGCAGGTAACTCGAAACCCGGTTTCTTCTCTCCGGGGGAAATGGAGGTATCTGTTTCACTTTCAAGAACATGCATGAGCAAGGACCAGCTGGCTGATGCTAACTGGTCGGGGAGTACGAGGGAGGATGGGGAGGACAAAGGCTATAAATAAGGGGAGTGAAGGTTTCTTGAAACAGTCACGGTTGAGACTGGATGGTGGTATGGAGATGGGAATACATATACCGATAGTAGGTAGGTACCTAGGTAGAGGTAGGCGCGCGAAAATTGCCTTGTAGTCAATCTCAAATTGTCTTCTGTCGAGTGCAAAACCCTTACTGTAAGTAGAAGTATGTATTCATCAAGTGGTGATATCCCTGGGTATCCTTCCTACCATCCATCCATCCATCCTTTCCCAAATCATTTCTTCTCGCCATAATGGTATCTCGTTGCTCATAGTTATCATCAATCTTATCATCCCACACACACCCACCCCATCCCTAATACCGAACCCCCTTAATAATCTGCTCCTTAATCCTCCTAACAATCGCCTCCCTCCCCATCCTCTCCTTCCCCTCCTCATCCTCCCCATACTTCACCCCCGGACAACTCTTCTCGATAAACTTGCACTGCTTTTCAGCCAGCGCCTCCTCCTTCTGTGCATTCTGTCGCCGGATGTGCTTCGGCGGGCGACCACGACCGCTGCCGCCATGACCCTTTGTCTTGCCGCCGGCCTTGAGGTCAGCGCGGGAGGCGGCGAAGTAATCGAGGCCTTGCAGCCAGAGGACGCGGCCGGGCTGGGAGCCGGGGATGCAGCCGGGGAAGAAAACGTGGCGCGGGTTGTTCTTCTTCTCGATCTTCTTGGCGCCGACGGTCTTGGTCTTGGTCTTCTTCTTGGGAGAAGCAGCGGAGGCAGCGGCGAGCAGTGGGAGAGTGACGATGTTGCCCTCGTCGTCGCGGGGAGGGCGGATGAAATCTGCTGTGGAGGGCTTTTTGTCCCCGTTAGTTTTCTGACCAAGGAAGCGATGGAGGGATGAATGAATACTGACCTTGCTCTGCACGGGGACAAAGATGGGCTTGCCATCTGCATCCTTTGGCGGTGAGTAGCGCGGCGCGGGGATGGGGAGGCTGTTACACTACTGTAATACCGGTCGTGGTCGTGGTTGATGCCATTTTGCTGACGTTGCTGAGAGTTGGAAGAAAGAAAGTTGGGTTAGGGACTAAGTCATGTGGTGTCTGATTCTCGAGAAGAGAAGAAGTTCGAGTTCAGGTCCAAGTCTTGTATAGATGGGGAAAGACCAACCTGAATGAACCTGCCAGCTGCCATAATTTTCACTTGCAGGTTCTTGATGGGCATCTCAGTTATTCACATTCACTCGACGGGGATGGTTGATGAGAGGCACAATAGAACCACAATAGGAAGGGGGTTGGTACTTGGTTCTCAACAATTTTTTGACAAAAATGATTTCGTCCGATCTTGAGAAACTTTTGGAGACGTGTAACAAAATGTGTAACAAACTCAACCAAGATCGGGGTTACTTACGGCGCACTCAAAATACGCTCCGATCTATCTTTAGGCGGTCCAGCGAAAGTCGTGGCAAGGCACCGAATGAACACACCACTCAACTCGTCGCGATTCGGATGCGAGATACTGCCAGGCACCACCACAATTGACCAAGGACACTGCACCACCACAGCCACAACCACAACCAAGACGAAACTTCGCATCTTCTTCTCCTCTGAGAAGGTCTTGATGATACCTCCAATATCCATCACATGGTCACACAACTCGGCCAGATTGGCAGAGAAGACGTTCTGCGCTTCTGGCTGCTCCAGCTGCAAACCGTGAAATCCTTTCGCCCGAATCAACACCGCTCTCCAACCATTGCGTGCATCAAAACGCAACCAGGTGCAAAAGTCCCGAAAATTACTTTGAAAGGCTCGTGTAGTGCAATGGTGGTTGAGAAAAGTGGCATTTTAGTGGTTTTGGTCGTCCAAATGCGACCGTCGTTCCAAATGACCAAGTCCCCAAAATGACCAAGTCCTTCTTCCATGACGACGGTTGAAAGCGATAAGAGGCATTTAGACCAATAGAGAGGCATTGGGAGTCATTGAGAGCACTGGGAGGCATTGAGAGCACTGGGAGGGCATTGGGAGCAATGAGGAGGCATTGAGAATAATGAGCTTCCATGAGGCCGGCTCTGGCCGGGAAAAGTGGCCGGAAAAAGTGGGCCTCACGGAGCAAAGTGGATTCGTGGGCGCTTCACTGTCTCACCATTGTTCACTGAAATCAAAAGGAAACCATAGCTGGATGAGCTTGTCACTTGTTTTGGAGAATACTAGGTATCCAAACATTCTAAATGTACAAACTGCGTCTCTGCACTGGCTCTGACCACGTTGAAGGCCAGGTTCCCAGGCGGCACCACGTGGAGGTTGCAGAGGCCGACTTCGCCGCCCCCGAATTCCGTCCCTAGAGACGGAAAATGGACCCATGGTTGACGTGCGTGGGATTTTCACTTTCAACTACGGGAAGTTGAAAGCCGTCAACTCCTCGAGGGTTATCGTTGTGTCTGAATCTTCCAAGAGGAAGTGAAGTCGATCGAGGATCGGAGTTGGAGGTTTGTCGATACTAAAATCACGGTCCTTCCATTCCTTGAGGCCCTGTAACTCCTCCAAGATGTACGGTAACTGATGTTCCGTGTCCCCAAGGTGGCAGTACGACCAATCTACATCCTCCGTAGCAGCGAGTTCGGGGTTGTCGGTTCCAGCCCGTTGGTGCGCCTCTAGGCGCTCCTCTCGGTGGCGTTTTTGAACCTCCGTTAGAAGTAGTGGATCTTTCTTTTTCTGTTTTGGATTGGGGACATCGGCCGCTTTCTTGAAGGCCGCACTCTTGACCACGGCCGCGAATTCTCCGCTATCGTGTGTGAATCCCCTGGTGAAATCACGCGACAGACGCGCAACTTCATGGATGAGAAATTCGGCCGATAAGGCCAAACTAAAGACGTTGATGGGCTCTTTGGGGTCGAATTCCTCGACCTCTCCCAAGATCTTCCGCATATCCGCGGCTAACTGGTGCTCACCCCAGTTCGTCAACGTGTTAGTAAGTCGGCGTAACTCACCGGCAATATCGCCCGCAGGCTTGTCTCGCCAGCGATCCGCCGCTTCGTTCGACATGGTATTAGGTTGTCGGTTTAACGGTTGTTGAAATAGGTTTGTTCTGATAGCGTTGTCGTAATAGGGGAACGGGTGAAGAGAACGGGTGAAGAGTCTGAGATCGAAGGTGGGCATTGCAGGATTTTGTATGTGGCCGGGCTGTCTGAATGCGGTTGGACGACTACAACACCTTCCTAGTTTACGAAAGGGCTCTTGTGGTATTATGGAAGGTGGTCTCTTCTTTGGGAGGAAGCTTCTGCACCGGTTCCCTCTCGACTACGCATACTCGGACCGGCAACCTTCCAAGGTAAGACGAGATGTGGTCCGGTTTGATTTACATTCCGTTCTGTGACCTCTGGCTTGATGAACTAGTAAGCACGTCCCGTCAAATAAACCAAGTCAAAAGAGACTGGAGGGTAAGAGCACGTTGTAATGGTATGGTGTACGAAGCGAGTTCCCAAGGGCCTTGGCGGCAGTAGCCTTTCCCGATCGCGCATCTCAAGTCCAGTCCTCCCAACTATCTTATATGAATGGTAGTCACGGTTTTCAAACTGTTCTTCCGGCTGTCGCACGGGATGACACGGCTCAGGGCCAGGACTCCCGTCGTAAAGTGCTGCCCAGCAAGGGGTATGTCCTTCCGCGGCTTACGAAAGAGGGAAAGCCACACCGTTTCCAAAGCTCCTTCCCATCTTTGCAAGTGCCGTTACACAAAGTACCTACCTAGGTCGGTAGAGTACTGTAGAGGTAAGTACACCTCCCGCACCGATGCAAAGATGCCGTCTGCATCTCCCCGAGCGAGGAGGGATGGAGCGCTTGGGCGCCTTGCCCTTGGTTGCCTGGGTCTTTCTTTTTTTTGGCGATGTCAATCTTCTTCTCGAAGTCCAAGGGCAGTGCCGGCTTGGAATTCTTGGAGCGGTAGTCGAAGTGGTTTGCCATGTAGTCCATCATCTCCTCGTTATCTCAGCCTCCAAGCTACCACAAATGTCAGCCGTTACCAACAAACCGTCGAGGCAATTCTGTCCAGCTCTGAGGCTGTGCTCCGCTCTGCCTTATATAGTTTGTACATATGGGAAACAGGGGACAGCGTTCACAGCGATGCCCTGAAATTGCGCATCTACGAGCTTGTCGCTGAGCACTCCGCTCCCGTAGGCGCCAACGGAAACTCACTCCCCGCAAAGCGAGTGCAGGAGGAGATGCCGAACGAGGAAAACAGATCTAAGAAGCCAGAACACTGCCTTGTCTACCGAAGAAGGGTTCTACTGCGCCCGCTGTGGAGAGGCAGTTGAATCCACAGCCGTGGGATTGTCGTCGCGGTCTTGGTAGAAGTCACCAGCGGATCCAGATGCGGACGATAAGAGGCGAGCCATCTTTGGACGAGGCATCCGATTGATGACGGGGTGAAACGAGAATGGTGTTGTTGATTTAGAGTCGGACGTGGCTGGGGAATTCAGATAGTATCGCTTGAGAAGTTTCGGATGTACGAGAAGTAGAAGATGATGATGAGGAGTGCGTACTTTTCGCTGGTCGTGTGTGGACCTTTTCTTTTATTCGGACGTGATTTAACTACCTCTAGATATCGAATGGGATATCAGGTGAAATATTACAAGAGCGGCAAGCGTCACTAGAGGCAAAAGCAGCAGGCAGAGAAAGTGATTCACACAACCTGGAATACAGTAGCGGAGTTGATGTCAAGACGACTGAATTTTTCGAGGGAGATCAAGCGATGTTCTAGGTAACTATTCGTGACATTCGCCAATGTAAGAAGGCGTCACAAAACATCCTACTCCTCCTCCTTTCCAGATCCTGACACTAGCGAATCAACCCAATGCTCTTCCCCCCACCACTCCATCACACACTCTTTCCTCACTCCCGTCCCAAGTGGACTTACTCATCCCAAACACTCCCGTCTCCTCCAAATTCTCATTCCCCATGTGCACCCCCTCCTCTAGACTTACTCCTCCTCCATCGTAAGGTCAATCGGGTTCTGGACCGTTCCAATGGCACTCACGGGCATGGCAGCGGTAGGCGTGGGCGACTGGCGACGGGGCTTGTACGGCTTCTGGAATCGCGAGCTGTAGCCATGATAGCGGCGGAGAGCCATGCGGCGCATGTGTGAAATCTCGAACTTTCTGAGCATCGCTTTCCAGGCTTGGGATCTGGCGGCTTTGGAAGCCCGCGGAAATTTCTTGGGTTGGGGACGACGGACGACTTCATCTTGGAGGTTTGGGTCCGGGAGAGGGAAAGCGGGCATGACGGGCATGACGGGCATGACGGGCATGACGGGCATGGCGGGCTGAGCCAGCTGCTGGTAGAACTTGTAGTGTTGATTCTGTTAGAACTTGACTCAGTTCTGACTAAAAGATGGATGGGGATGATGTGTGAACACTCACCATGTTCATGTCCTGGATAATAACTGGCTCGAACTGGAGCTCCTCCAGATTAGACATCAGTGCCTTTACGAAATCAGGCCCATTGTTGGGGGCCTCTTCAAAGCCGATCTCTCGGAAGACAACATGATTGAAGTTCGGGGGAGGGAAGGCGAGCTCGGCGGGCGGCTGATGATCCTGGTAGAGATTCGATTAGTATATGGCTCCGTTTTGATCAAAAGAATTTGATGGAGGGGGGTGATGTGTAGGTTGTAAACACTTACTAAATCCTGTCCGGTGACAGGGTCAAAAGTGACAGTTTGAAAGCCCGAAAGGGTGATGTTCACGATGATGTTTGTGTTTTTCAAGTAGATGGATTGTTCGATTGGGGCCGACATTTTGAAGCCAATTGATGTAGGGTGAGATGGGTCGAAGGTCGAATGTCGAAGGTCGATGTTCGATGTTCGGTGTTCGAAGTATAATGTTCGAGGCAAGTTTGAAAGTTGCGAGCTCCCAGGAAGGGGGGGATTTTATATGAAGAATTGAGCTGTCGCTATTTCCACATTCACTCACTGACCTGGAGCCGTAGACCTGTTATTGCGCACCTGTTCACGGCTGTTCATCTGGTGTTCACGGACAATAGGTACCTTGTTCACAATAGTAGCCGGGTGTTCAGGTTCTTGGATCCAGGTTGACTTTCTTCCTTCGGTCACTGGCTATCGGTAGAGGTATCCTGACGTGTTCACAGTCTTCTATCCGATGTTCGAACATTATATGTACGTTTTGAACAATACGAGCGAACCTTGAAAGTGCGTACTGTTCTCTCTCGGCCTCATAAGGCTGGCTCCCGTCCTTTTCCCAAGTGAATGGACCTTCAAATCATGGCTGCCGATCGCCGAGTCTGTTCTCCCCCTCCAGCAGCACCAGCACAATGCCTCCCAACACTGCTACCCGCATTGCCCAATTCGCCATTGACGATGCGCTTGATCGTCCCGCCAAGGCCTGGGCCGCGTTGGCCGCTATGGAAAAAAGCTAGCAAGGATGCGAAGTTGGTCCGGGAGGCCGACACCATTGCGCGCCGTGCCGAAAAGCGTCGAGAGAAAATTGCTCGGTTCGAGTCCGAGAACCAGCCGGCGACGGCTGGAATGGCAGAAAGGGTGGCCGGACAAGTGGCGACGACCCCGCCGGCGTTGGTTCAGCGTTTTGGGTCTTTGGCCTGGACGCTTTCCACCACGATGGTTAAAGTCCATCATTTCATCCCGCCGCTGTTTGGCGATGCCACTCAGCTCCAGAAATTGATGGTTTGGGCCGATTTCACCTTCGCACCCGGGCTCGAAGCCATCCTTCAACGGCGGCACCAACATGAGCAACAACAGAAACAGGACCGCCGACTTCACCAAGCCCAGGAATACATCCATCTGGGCTTATATCAACAGGACCTTGGGGGGTGACGCAGCGACGTAATCCCATTTTGGGTGGGTTTCGCAGAGGAGGAATCTGATCGCTTCCAAGTAATCGTTCAAGTGTTGACCATAGTCGAAAGCTTGGATAATGAGCTCGAGACGGCGTCGATACCTCTAGTGTCCTAGGGAAATAACGTGCTGTCCTACAAGTAGAGATGAAAGTTTGCCAACTGGACCATGCAGTGCGGAGAGGAGCAGGGTGTCGTTGAGTCGCGGTGGGAAAGGTAGACGGTCGACGCGCGAGCGATGAGGTCAGGTCCTTGAGCGTCAGGGAAGTGACTCGGGCACTTCTGGACACGTTTAGTGTCCGGGAACTTGACGCTAGGTAGCACCGTAGAACATTGGAAAGCATGCACATTTCAACGTCTTGTTCGTCTTGTCCATGTCAACGAGATGGACGCCAATATGCTTAGGATACCCTTGTCGCTCGTAGCAATACACACGTTGGTAAGCAGGCTTCGTCTCGTCGTAGTAGCAAAACGGGCAAATCCGGGGTGTGAGGGTACGCCCGGTGGTCACTCCGCTATATCCGGGCATATGTGACGAACCGTTACAAACACAGGAGTATATCGCTGGGATAGGTAGAACAACGGTAGTAGTAGCCGAAAGGTACTGATTGATTGTAGAAGCTATTGCTTGCTGAAGAGCCGGTATTCAAGAGGCCTGGGGAGGCCGTCTTATATACTGGCCTTCATGGACCCGTCAATCCGGACCCGTGGACCCGAACCTCCGTATCGGGTCCCCGGGACCCGGCCTAAGGACCTGGGCCTTCGGGTCCTTCCTTCGGGTCCTACCTGATTGGTCCCGTTGGTTCTATCTGATCTAGCTTACATAAGGGATCCTTGATTGGATCGTAACAGCATATTGCCCGATGATGTGTGCTGCCGAGGTAATGTGAGTGGGCGCATGCTTACGCCATTCATATGGCTCTAAAAACCATATTTGGAGATGGTAAGGCCAGTATGTTGAAGCCCTTGTGTGGCCCATCAGGAACTGTCCGTTTTCAACTGTAGTGTGTTGAGAAAGGGTATAAGCTACCCCACGACGAAGGCAGTACCCAATAAGGCGCTTCTTGAAGCCGCGGAATCTACCAAGACGACGAATCTGGGGGTGGATATCGACCGTTTGGACTGGTTCGTTGGTGATGCGGTGAGTGGTCATACGACGAAGTACTGGAACCTTCTTCATCGATCCCTTAGTAACAATAATCACAAAACTCGACAATTGCTGTGCGCTTGGTGTACACCTGATGAACTTCCCAGACGTGTGCCAGCTGGTCTCTACGCAACCTCCCTCCTTCCGGATTGGTGGAGCAAGAGCCGAAAAACACAGCTCCGCTCCTTCCGTCCACCCGGTAGAGTGTTGGTCATAGTTCTCACATGCCCTCGATAATGCTCGCCCATTTGGTGGTTGGAGTCAAAGATGGCGCCTGGGACCGGCGGGCCGGATTATGTGGGGTTGGTGTCCTGGTAGTTGTTGGTAGAGCCAAAGGACCGGAAGGTCTAGAAGGTCCGCTAGAAGGTCTGGAGATCTGTAGGGAAGCCGAGGCGTGAGAGGTTGGAAGGGGGGTAGAAGGGGAAGAGAGAGGACAGCCCACGCCGGCGCTTGGGGAGGGTCCTCGCCAATACAATTGTGAACCATAAGATTCACCCTCTCGTCGTCATACAGAGACTGGTATGCCAGACGTGTGGGAGCGATGGCCCAGGTCCATTAGGAGGAAGCCCAGATGTTGAAGGAGAGGTTTAGGTTGGATGGTGAGGAGAGGGAGAGAGCGAGGAAGCGAAAAGGAGATGAGTTTTGAGGAGAAGAGGGCTTCGGGATTTCATTGGGGGGTTGGCGTAGGAAGAGAGGATCTTGACAATGACCAACCGTCTTGACCGAAGTCTACGTCAACATTTCTGCGCCATGTTGTACGGTCGTGATCTTGACGGGGATTGATGGCCCGCCAGCCTTCCTTCCTTTCCCCCTCGACACCTGCCTGCTCACCCTTCTCTTTCGCCCCCGTATTCAGTAACGGGTACTTCAGTTATCAACCACATTTCATCAATAGGAGTAGCCTTTCAGGGGCTGGGTCCGGGACGGGGCTTGAGTGATGACTGAAATGATCCCATCGCGGCCATGAAGATGGTCACTGGACACTGCTCAACAACTCGGGGAGGAGAAGGTATACGCCACTCGGACAGGCGTAAACAGCGAGAGACTACCATAATCTACTGTCGGAAAGAGTTGACGATAGGTGAATCCTCTTGAGAGTATTTTTTTCCGCACTCTGATGACAGCACGAGAGATATCGAGGCATGGAGTTGGCCGTGGAAGCAGCGCGCGACATCTAGCTGGCGAATGGGCAGCATGGAAACCTAGCGTGTATGGGGTCGCATTTCCCAACCGGCAGCCATGGGGGTTCAAGCATGGGGTCTGTTGAAGACAGCCGGCCGTCTCACGATGGAGGACTATGATGCCGATGCTGATGATGCCAGGATTTCGAAGCCGTCTGTTATCGGCATTAACGGCGTCGCTAAGCGGTGTGACAAGTTTTGGCCCATGAGGATGGTCATTACCAGGCAGGCAGGATGGGAAGAAGTAGATTGTATTAAGCTCTGGGACATTCAAAACCCGAGATCGGGATGATCTGGCCGATATTTTGGTGAGAGGTGACGTTGAAGTCGAGGTGCAGGTGTTCCACTCGCTAACGCACCCCGGGGTGAGGAGTTGCTCATAGCTTTTTGTTAGACGGGTACTCGGGACGAGGCCGGGACAAATCGACCTGGAGGACACACAACCCTCGGGAATGGGGTTAAAAGACCATGAAAGAACATTAGCTAGACAGACGTACTCAGGAAGAGAATTGACACATTTTCCGATTATTTAGCCATAGACCATTGGATGCGTACTGCGCCTCCGTTGTAAAAGTCACAAGTGGTTTTGCACTACCAATTTCTGCAGGGGCGCATGGGCGGGTCTGCAGGATTTTGTGCAGGGAAAGCACCCACAGCGGGAAAAGAGGCACTCCAATCGATGACACAGGCCGGCCGTGACAACCTCATTTTGAACCTCCAACATCCCCGACTTCACTCACTCACCACGACATCACGACATCACAAAACACACCACTCAAAACCTCACCCCAACACCTAGTAACTTCACATCTATCGAGTAATCAAAGATGAGCTCAACACCCCTCAAAATCGACCCCACCCGGGCCTCCGCGCTCGTCTCCCAGCTCCAAGGCGTGCAAGACCGCATCCTCGCCGTCGCCAAAGGTCGCCCCGTCCGGCTCGTCGCCGTGTCCAAGCTCAAGCCCGCCAACGACATTTTGGCCCTGCACCAGGCTCCCCAAGTCAAGCACGTCCATTTCGGCGAGAACTATGCCCAGGAGCTGCAGCAGAAGGCGGAGCTGTTGCCGCGGAGTATTAAGTGGCATTTTATCGGTGGTCTTCAGTCTAGTATGTCCATGTCCCAACTCCATACTTGGTGTACAAGAGAGTAAGTACTGACACAAGTAATGAATAGCCCACTGCAAACCCCTAGCCCGCATCCCCAACCTCTTCGCCGTCTCCTCCTTGGACTCCCTCAAAAAAGCCCAGACCCTCAACCGCGTCCGCGGCGAACTCATTGCCTCCTCCTCTTCGTCTGAAGAGCCCATCGAAAAACTCAACGTCCACGTCCAAGTCAACACCTCGGGCGAGGACTCCAAATCCGGCTGTTCGCCCGGGCAAGAAACCGCCGATCTGTGCAAGGCCATCGTTACGGAGTGTCCGCACCTGAATCTTTTGGGGCTGATGACGATTGGTGCCATTGCGAGGAGCAAGGCGACGACGCCGGAGAATGAGAATGAGGATTTTCAAGTGTTGAGGGAGCAGAGGGATTTGGTGGAGCAGGAGCTGGGGCTGGAGAATGGAAGTCTGGAGTTGAGTATGGGCATGAGTGAGGATTTTGAGGGGGCGATTGTGATGGGGAGTGGGGAGGTTAGAGTGGGCAGCACGATTTTTGGGGAGAGGGGGAGTAAGCAGGAGGCGAAGGTTGTTGTTTAGGGGGGTGGGCTGTGTGCATTTTACGGTTTACGAAAATTAAGCATGGGTTGGTTTGGCGTTGAAGAGTGGTGTGGTGTTTATGTCACGACTTGTGGCCATTGGTGTTGTGAGACTTGAGTGCCGAACGGGTCTTAAGCCATCGAGTATGTTGATGCTCACCTTGGCAACATGAGAAATGGTAGCGAACTCAATCCCTCTTCCCTCCAAGGAATCCCGAAGAAGAGATGCCGAAACGATGCACATAACAAAGTCCCGGCAAGCAAGTGTTCCCGTCTCCAGGACCGCTGAAAATCAGTGGAGCACAGGCTGGACGGGACTCGGGAGCTTGGGCCACCTCTATTGAAGCTTGGACCTGGCAGTGACGACAGCGGAAGCTTGGATAACAGTTCTTGCGGTGAGCAACACCAACATCTGATAGCAGGTATCGCATTCACGTCTCTCGGTTGTCGCAACCTCACGAGCCAAGACATGACCATGGTCCCGTCCGGTGCCTGGCTCAAAGCTCAAAGCCCTCGCTCGAGAACATGGAGGGTGACGCGCAGCTCTTCCCTTGTCCCTTTCCCAGCCTTATCGATAAGCAATTAGCCTGTGACGGCGACCTGGGCTAGGGAGTGACTAAGGGCGTGATCCGTTTGCTTTTTTTAGGGGTGCTCACCCGGGTGAGCACGTCGGTGAGAATCGTGGTCCTGTATTTTCTGGATAGGAATGTACCTTTTCTCACCTATTCTCACCCGATGTACGTCTTACTCACCCGGTACATGTAAAATCCCTACTTTTTAACCTTCCAGCTAACTAGAGTGCAAAGCCACTTATTTACTCAGTTATTGCGCTAAAGGGTTATTTAATACTCTATATATTATATAATTTTGAAAAGTTTTATACAAAAACTTGCTACCCCCTTCTAAAACCTAATATATATAGCGGTATTGGTACCCTCGATACTAGTAATTTATAATATTGTACTACTATTAGAAATACTTTAACCCGATATAATATAACGCCGTACCCACAAAGTGCGGGTATATATAGTTTTATTTCTAATTATTGTAATAGCGAGGATATAATTTAGTTCCGAACTTATTATAAATTTAAACCCCTTAAAAGAGAAGTTCGTTATTAAAAATTTATTATATAAGTATTAAGTAAATTATAATCGGTAATCCGTATATGGGTAAATATTTTTTTTATATTAGTAGTATAATTAAAGTATAATATTAAATTATTTATAGGAAAGAAGATACAAATAGACGAGAAGTTCCTATTTTTCTTAATAATTATTTTCTAGGGTATAATTCGTCGGATATCGGGATTTATTACTAATCGAAATATCACTACAATTTATAAATTAGTTTTAAAATTTTATATAAATATATTAACCTCTATTTACTATATAAAAGGACTTTTTATTAAGTATTAAAGGATTATATGAAATTTATTTGGTCGAAAATTAAATTTCTTCCCCTATATATTCCGGCTAAAATAGAAACGAACCCTAAAGCGTACTTATATTTCGAAAGTATATTAGGTACCCGTAATAATTTCTACGTTTTTATTAAGGTAGGCGCCAACGAATAATTTATATAGAAAACCCGTAAAAAAGGAGTTTTAATAAATATAATAATCGTATACGATTTCGATGGTTATATTATATATATTTTGCCTAGGTACGAAGGCTCTACTTATAACAGTCAAATCTTTAATATATTATTATTACGTAAGTTTATAGTTCTACCGAATTATTTTTATTTAGCCGACGGCGGGTATAATTATTTATATAAATTATTTATTCTATTTCGAAACGTATAATATTATTTATAAAAATCAAAAAGGGTAGATATTAAACTGGTCACGTATAAGGAATTATATAATTTAAAGTATAATCAATTCAGTGTTATTATTGAGAAGGTAATTAGTCGATTGAAGGTAATATTTAAAATTTATACTTCGAAGCTTACTTTCTTTATTAAAATTAAAATTTAAATTAATTTTATTACCGCGGGGCTACTAAATTTTATAATATAGTATAGCGATATTATTTTTAAGAACGAGGAGAATATTAACGAATTTTTATTAAAGGAGGGGGAGGACAAAGGAAATCAAGAGTTATAGGTTGGATTTTACTTTAGTAAATCGGAAATATATAGCGGGGAGAAGGGCATAATATATAAATATTATAAGAAAATTACAAAGTAAATATAGAGGGATTATTACGCGTATATTAAAAAACGAAATAAAGAAAGAGCGAAGCAATTAAGAGTTATATAGATTAGAAAGGAGAGTAGAGAGGAGAGGAGGGTAAAAGGGAGAGGGGTATACGGAGTACGCAATTTATAATAAAATTTTAGAAATATCGAAAAAAAAGTTAAAAGGGTATACCTTTACAATTATTATCGATATTAATATTAATCTATACATAAAGTATATTACAATATAGCTAATAGGTTTAAAATTAAATATTTTATTAAAATTCGAATAAAGGGAATTTAGAAGGGTAATTATATAAAATATATTATACTAAAATATTAACTCCTACTAGCCCGCCCCTATTAGAAATCTTACCCTAATATATTACTACGTTCATTTCGAAACTTTTACTAATAATAATTTAAAATTATTAATATTTACAACTTATTAAAATAATTGTAATATTCTTTTTATATTAAAATTTAAACGAATATAGATTTCATTGTATTGCGGTAAAGATTATTTAAAAAAATAAGGGTAGGGTAAGTGTGATAATTTGCGCGTTAATTTTACTAATTAAAGAAAACTGTCACAGGGTTGTAACGTCTATATAGTGTACATTCCGATGTTCGTTAGCAAGCGAACATCGTCCTATCTTTTATAGGTTTGGCAGATTGGGCATATGCACCCTAGTCCTGTCATAGTAGTGTTACAGGGCTCTGTGATGTCCTATATAGTATGCACTTCCGATGTTCGTTAGCAAGCGAACATCGTCCTATCTTTTATAGTTAGATTTGGCTATGTGGGTATGTGCATCCTACCCTGTTATATAAACGAAAGGTAATTAACTTTAATATATTAAATAACCTGCTAAAATATAGCGATTTTCAAAGCATTTGTATAGGGTATAAATTTCCCTAAATTTCTTAAATTATTAATCCCTTTCTAATTCCTCCTCAATTCCATTAAAATATCGCCTCCTCTTCTCTAACTTTAAATAATAGAATTATTTAACCTTTCTCTTAAATTCCTCCTACCTCTTTTAAACCTCTTCCACAATATCGTTTAATACGACCGAATTCTAATCTCTATTAAAAGTCTCTATCGCTTTCGTAAATTATTTCGAACCGTTATTAAGCGACCTAATAATTGTAGTGAGTATAAATATACCTTCGAATATAGTTTCGTTATAAAATAATCTTTTCTTCTTTTTTAGGTTAATATTAGAAGAAGCCGATAATTTCTTTTATATACCGCGCGCGTAGGCAGGGACGGGTAAAGCCTCTTTATTTTTATCTTCCTCTTCGTCGTTAATTTATATAACCGCCTCCTCTTCGAATTACCCTATTACTTCCTCTTCTTCATCCTCTTCGAATAAAATAGGGTCGATTAATAAATTAAATAGGGTAATTATATTCGAACCTATAGCGTTATAATTACTTTCGAAATATATTCTATAAAATCGAATTAAGAAAGGATATTATATTTAAATCAAATAGTCTTAGGATATTCTTATAATATTCTTTTATTAATAAATCCCTTATAAAAATTATATTAAATCAAATTAACTGCGATAATATTATTTTAAACGTTATTTAGCGTAGTAATCGTATTTATTACTTCGTTACGCCCGAACTCCAATTACGAACGGATAAATTCCTAGAGCCGCTATTTTACTTTAAGGGTTTTGTACTTATTATGCAATTACTTAATAATAAAGGTAATACCTTTAGTAGCGAATGAACGTATAATTTATTAATACGTAGTTTTCTTAAAATTATATTTTACTTAGTAGCGCCGTTTATAACGGCTTGAACGAGAATTTTAAGGGTAACATTTTTTTAAACCAGTAGCTATCGAACTTCTAATATATTAACTTTACCCTTCTTAGGAGGAAGTTTACATTAAGTAGAGGATAGCCTAAGTTAGTTAGTAGCTTACCTAATAATTTGGTTAGTATTAATAATACTAAATTAAATAAAGGATTGGGATTGGGAGGTATTGGAAGTATATACAATCGATTTTTGAGAATTTATATCGATTGGGTAGTAGTGGTATTAATTGGGCAGTTTAAAGAAAAAAGATAGACGAAATTAAGTAGTTACATCGATATTTTATTAACCGTTTTATACGATTTAGTAATATAGAAAATTTTCCCCTTTTTATTATAGTCGATGGATAGTTTAAATTTATAGCCAAAATAATATCGGTAAAGGTTGTTAGCTATATAAAAGTATGTATTGAATAGCTTTATTGACTATAGTAGTGGATGCATTTTGTCTAGATAGTCAATTGGTGGATTAATTTAAATAACTTTAAAAATTTCAATAAAGTAAACGGATTACGATTTTCACCAATATTTTTCACCCGGTCTGTGCGCTAAGCCGTAAATCCGGTGAGAAATAGTCTATGGAATTTGCTCACCCAATGTCCCTTTTTACACCGGTGAGTACGAAAAAAAAGCCAACGGATCACACCCTAAAACTACGCTCTGAGGTCACACAAGCCAACCCTGGTTCGCGACACTAACCGCGCGTTGCTAGGGTGTCTTTTTTGCGAAGAAAAGAGCACAAACAATCAACAGACATCTGACAATGTGATTGGCTAATTGGTCTCTTCGAATGGGGCCAGAGAGGACAAATGGAGTGGTTGATTGGCTGGGGGAAGGGAGCCAGTGATGTGATGGTTTTTGAAGGTGGGCTGCCGTCGAACCACGGCTCGACATTAGTGGACTGCTGCCCTGAAAGATCCCTGTTTGGCCCTTGACCACCCACGGACACCCACCCCAGCCTCCTGGGCGGCCCCTCGCCGAGAAGAAACGTGGGTTGGAAATTCTTGGGGACAGGTTTGGCAGGAACGGGCAAGGTTGGGTTCTCATCAAGGTTTGTCAAGAAAGAGGGCAAGAACGAGTGCATATCTGGTCATCAGGTCGCGATTTGATTTTGAAGACTGACTTTCAGGTTCAGTTGCTCGTCCCCCTCCTTCCAGTCCCAGTTTTCACTTCTGCCACACAGTCGGTTGCCTGGCCAAAGCAGAAAGGAGGTCAGCCAGCCGTTCCTTCTTCAACAAACCAAACATCAACATCAGACGAACGGCCGGCATCTTCCATTCACTGTCACTTTCAGTTCAGTCTGACTTAGCATTGCTCATTATACCCTGCTTTGCGCCATCTGCTGCAGCACACTTTGGACAACCCGAAACAAGGAAAGCTTAAGGCTGCTGTGTTAAGTTCTTTTTTTTTTCCTTTTTTTCTCTTTGGCGATTCTGCTGCTTTGCGACTTGCGACTCTTCGAAAGGATATACACCCCCAGCCATACAACAGGATACAGTCAGTCAGTCACGTCAACCGACATATTCCTTGTGTGGTTTTTTTTTTCTTTTGCTCGATTTTCCTTATCTCCGTTTTCCATATTGCAGCTTGGATTCTGGAGCCACTACTACGACCTGAGAAGTCCATCGGATATTCGCACTGCCTGCCTACCTACCTGAGGGAACAATCGAACAACAGCTGCTGTGTTGCCTTCAACAACTGGAACCGAAAAGAGGGACGGAACGTCATATTTCGCATTTCAAGACTCCGGTTCAGTTACAGACGGGAGACCAGACAACCAGGACAAGACAACAACGACAACTGAAGGAGAAGAGCACGGATCGATATCCCAGGTTGACCAAGGTACCGCCCATCAACGCCTCCTGGTTTTGACTGTCTCAGCCCCGGAAATTGTTTTTCGCATACTTGTACAGTCATACCGTACCACGGCCCATAATACATACTTGTACTTTTCGCAAATACATACAGTACCGGTCCGATATCCAAACAGCAAGGTCACCCTCACCTTGATCTCAGCTTCAGCAACTGGGGTGGTAATTACCGATCCGATTACCTGCCTCTTACTGTTCAGTACCAGAGGAAACATCGCTTCCCGTCTTAACTAAAACACACCCGACCCAGGATCCTACCGCGTTTCCGTTGTTGGGGTAACCAACCGCACAGACCGGACCCTCTCACCATCAGGACATCGCTGGCAGAAACACCCTGGTCCTTGGTCGACCACCCCGGTTATCCCCAGCTTAGGCCAGGAACAGATTGACTCTCAAACACCTCGGGTGGTAGTTCCAGTCTGTTCGCGCCCACCACGCCAGCCAGGCCGCGCCCGCGCAGCAACCCACGCTCCGCACGCACGCCCACCCGCCCTGGGCTCCCTTCCTCTCTCACTCCCTCCCTCGTTTTCCCGACACACACCTACCACACAGCTGGAGCCATGCCGCCCGCTGGCTCAGAGAGGGACCACCACCATCTCCCCCGAGATTTAAGACACTCGCATTCCGCCTCGTTTGACAATCATGGCCGTGCTATGATCCCAATGTAGGATGCTTCCCCTCTTTTATTTTTGACAGAAACCATCATGGTGTCATGTCCCTCTTGTTCAAGGAACTAATGAAAACCAGGTGGGATAGCTCAGACCCCGAGAGGGCACCACCGCCGCTCCCACTCAACCCTCAGTCTCCCGGTGTCTCTAGAGCAGGCACCTCGAGTGCGATCCAGTCTGCTCATGCCGCCTTGCAGGAAAAGGCCCGCGAGAGTGCTAACCTGGTACCACACATCCCCAAGCGCGCCGCCGGTGAGCCTTCTCCAGAGAGGACCGAGAGGCCCCCTCTGCGCAACGCGGCTACGGCTGTGTCACATCGCCGTCTGAATTCCCTGCAGAACAGCACTGTCAAGGATATTAGTTTGATGCTTGAGAGTGGTCACGTCCCCAATACATCAGCCTCACGATCACCAGAGAAACACGACTTTAAGCACGACTTCAAGTTCGACAGCAAGCTCGATACCAGGTTTGACAAGTACGACAAACAGGAAAACACCAAGCACGACAAGCACGAGAGCAAGTACGAGAGCAAATACGAGAGGCCATCCACCCCTACGAGGAGTCGCGAGAACCACGTCGAGTTCAAGGACGAAAAGGAAGACCTCCTAAAACCCGCCCCCACCATGGGTTCACCACGAACGGGTCCCAGTTTGACCCCCGGCGGCATCCTGCGCCAAACCAACAGCACCAGCGGCATGCGGCGACCACATCAGAGCATTCTTGGCGAGAACACCCCTCCCCAGTCGGCCACCATGCTCGCCCTCCAGAACATGAGCAGTGCCAGCCACCTGGGAACGTCGTCGTCGGCCAGGGACTCGGATCTCCTCGCTAACATCACTAACGGCTCCAGCGGATTGACCAAGACGACTGTAACACCCCCAGGCCTCGAGGCCCTGTCGAACCAGCTCATCACCCTCACCAACATTGCTTCGGCCCTCCAGCGTGAAATGTCAGCGCTTAGCAGGCGCAGCAGAGATAATGCTACAGACTTGCTCAGCTTGAAAGAGGCCACCAATCAGCGCGATGAGGATATTCGCAGGAGTTTGCGAGAGTTGATTACCGAGGCCAAGTCGAGGGCTGCGCAGAGGGAAGCGTACGGGGGTGGTCCACCGTCGCCTACGTCGCTAAAGTCGCGACCGTTTTCCCTGCCGCGAATACCTTCACCACATAGCTTTGGGGCGTCGCTTGATCGAGAGTCTCTATTGAGCACACCATCACTCGTGGCCGATACATCGTCCATTGCTCTCCTCGAAAAGATCCTTCGCGACATGGGAACCAAAGAGGGCCAGGAATCGCTTCTCTCGAGGCTTAACGAACTCGCTCGCCAGCTTTCCGGCTTTTCCACGTCTGAAAAGCTAGAGGAGATCATCCGTCTCGTCAAAGCCAACCAGCAGCATGCTCTTGTGCCAGCTACTGGCGGAGGAGGGAAAGGTGGTGGTGGTGGCGGCGGCGGTCGCAACCACACCTGGAGCTTCAGCGAAGACGAAGACGGCCGAAACTCACGCGTAGGCCGACTCCTCGAAGAATCCGTAAATTCGCCAGCTCAAACCCCCGGCTCCCGAGCTACCGATCCCATGAACGATGAAATCCTCTCTGCTCTGCGCACAGTCAAGGACCACCTGGCCCAAGGCGGCAGCCTCACCAGCGACGTCAAGTCTCTCGTCAAGGAATTGCGCGGCGAAGTCCTCGGCATGGGCCAAGAAATCGGTCGCCGACTAAACGAAGTCTCCTCCAAGTCTCCCCAAGCCCTCCCCGTAGACGACTCTACAAAGGAAGCCATGAACAAGATTGTCTCGGACGGATTGGAAGAGATGCGTCAGAACATGGTCAACATCGTGCACGAGCACCGCAAGAAGGCGCAAGAGACGGTAGCGGCCGCGCCTCGAATTGATTCCATGATCGACTACAGGGAGATCTATAATAGCATGCGTGCTGCCCTCAAAGACTCGCAAGCCAACAAGCCGCGCGTGCAGGAGCTTCGCAGGGAGGATGTCGTCCAGGCGGTGCAAGATGCCTTTGAAAAGTACAAGCCTGAAATCGAAATCCAGCAGATTGGATTGGAAAGGCACGAGGTGCTGGACTGTTTGAAGGAGGGGTTGGGAATGTACCTGCCAAAGGAAACAGCTTCCAAACAGGAGGTGTTCGCTGCTGTGAACGAAGGGTTTAGCAAGTTTGAGACGGCCTCTCGGGACGATGTGCTTGAGGCTGTCAGGGAGTGCCTGGATGAGTTTGACTTCCCGGTAACTCCCCAGCTTTTGAAAGACGACATTCTGAGCGCGGTCAGGGATGGTTTGAGCGACTTCCCCAAGCCCCTGAAGCGTCAAGAGGTGGTGGATGCCATGGACGAGAGCCTCAACAAGTTCGACTTCACTGTTGACATGGCCGAAGCCGTGCAAGATGGTGTACGGTCCCTGGACCTGCCAAAGGACATGCAAACCGCCGTCACCAAGGCCTTGGAAACATTCGACTTCTCTTCCACCGGCCCATCAAGTGAAGACATGATCGATGCCGTCCAGGAAGCTTTCGAAACCATGGACCTTCCCTGCGATGTCACACGCGCCGTCGTTAAAGCATTACAAACCCCCGAATTCGCACAGCATATCGCTTCTTACATCCCCCGTCCCGATCTGTCGCGTGTCGACCTTGCTGATGCCATCCGCGAAGGATTCGATGCGCTAGACATCTCAGGAGACGTCTTCCGCGCCGTCAGAGAAGGTCTCAAGGAACTGGACCTCTCGGAGTTCTCCGGCTCGCATTCCAAGGCCCTCGTCCGCCACGGCGCCACCCCCCCTTCTATCTTGAAGCCCGAAACGGAAGAAATCATCGAGCGACTCTACGAAATCCGCGATTCTTTAAGGGATGAGTTCCGCGCCTTCTCAGAAAACAGCAAACCCACCTCCCGTGGTGGTGACGCCGAGCGGGCTACGCCTGATATTACCATGGACGGTTTCGAGAAACTAAGGCATGACATCGAAGCGTACGTCGACCGCGCCCGCACCGACGGCAACTCCGACGATTTGATCCCGCACATGACTGAAACGTTGGAGAAATTTAGGGAGGAAGTGGCGGAGTTAGTGAAGAAGGCTTCTCAGAGCACCAACGATCTGCTAAGGGAGGAACTCGAATCACTCCGCGACGTCGTCAACGGCACCTTGGTTCCTATAACGCCACTGGCGCAGCCCGGCAGCAATGCCGAGATTCTCGAAGCCATTGGTGCTATTCGTAAGGAGATGAACACCAATTCTCAGCACGCCGACGGTGTGACGGAGACTCGGATCCTTGATGCTCTGCAGCAGGGACTCGGTGATTTGAAGAAGAGTATTGACAAGCTCGCTAACAAATCTGGTGACCTCTCGGCTAATGACGAGATTCTGGATGCGCTCAAGGAGGGCCTGAAGGGCGTCAGAGCTGATCTCGAAGAGCTTAGGGCAGGCGGCGGGTATGATGACGAGTTTGCGCTGACTCCTTTTAGCAAGAATGGCGATCAACCTTCGAAGCAGCTTGGTCATGGTCATGCTGAGGAGATTAGAAGTCTCCATGCTATGGTTGATAAGCTGGGGAAGAAGGTAGATGCTATGGAGAGCGGCGCTAGCTCGCCAAAGGCTGCGGCAGGTGCGAAGACTGCTACCAAGACTGAGCTAGGCGAGGTCGAAGCCTTGCTAAAGAAATTGATCGACTCCGTCGCTTCCCTCTCTGCCCGCGAACAACAGCAGCTGGAGATCAACCTCTCCCCGCTCGAAGAGACCGTTCGCTCCCTCCAGACTTCGGTTGACACCGCGATTGGGGGTCTGAGGAAGTCCATTGATGAGTGGACCAAGGCAAGATCGTCATCCACCGCGCCTAAGCAGCCCGAGCCTGAGTTACTACCCACCAGCGAACCTACCGATCCGGCTACGAAGGAGGACGTTCAAGCTATTGAGACCATTCTGAGGAATACCAAGGACAGTTTGGATGACTTCGTCAGTGCCCAAGGAGAGCAGGGGGAGAAGGCTAGGAAGGAGCATGTTGATGCGCTAGAAGTTTTGCTGGTGGAGACGAAGGCCAGTCTTGGTGATTTGTCAAAGCAAGTGGAGGGTGTGTCCAAGAAAGAGGATGTTTCCGCTCTCGAGACGCTCATCACCAAGATGACCACCGCCTTCGACGAAAGGAAGACCCGCGACGAGAAAGAAGACACTGGAAAGCTCACTAAGGCCGACCTCGAGGCCGTTGAGGCTGTTTGTCTTGAAGTCAAGTCTCTCCTCACATCAAAACCCGCCACCAATGATGCCACCACCGACTCTACAACAGCCACAGCCAGCCACCCCGACATGGACAGCAACTTCAAGACGTTGACCGAGAAGCTCGAAGCTCAGGCCGAGGCTACTACCAAGGCAAACGGAGACATCACCGACCGCGTGTCCGAAGTCAAATCTCTCCTTGAAGAGTTCCATGAAGTCATGAAAGCCAAGCTGGCTGATGGAGCGAAGGGGGTGGATTCCATTCACAAGGTCCTGACTCCCATGAGCGAGATTGTCAAGAAGAATGCGACGCTACAAGGGGAGCTGATGGAGCTGTGGGGTGGCATGAAGGAGGGGTTTGAGGAGGGGCGTACTGGTGTTACAACTGCCAAGGCCGAGTTGTTGACCAAGATGGAGGAGCTTCAGAAGGCGCAGGTCGGCGACATCAAAGAGACCGTTGCGACGAAGGGTCAAGTGGAGGAGCTCAAGGCTGTGCTGGAGCCTCTCAGCGGTACGGTCACGGAGGCTGTGGAGAAGATGGAGGTCAGCTCCAAGACTGTTTTCGAAAGGGTGGATGAGCTGGTGTGCAAGGCTGATGAGAATCATCTTGATACCAAGGCTGAGCATACCCTTACTCGAGAACAGGTGCAGGAGATGGCTGGCAAGGTGGACGGTTTGCAGTCTCTTGTTGCTGAGCATCAGCCCAAGGTTGCCGAGAACGTTCAGGAGGTGCTTGCCCTTGTTGGTCAGCATTTTGAACACTCCAAAACGACAACGGAGGGTCTACAGACCAAGCTTATTGACGCCATGCCCACTGTCAACGAGAAGCTCGATAAGCTTGTTGGTCACACCGCTCAACTTGCTGTCCTCGAGGAAGTTCATGAGCAAGTCAAGAATACCTCCGCCGAGCTTGCTGGATTTATCGCCACCCAGACTCAACGCGCCGTCGAAGAGGACGAGAACAAAAAGAAGATACTGCAAGAGACCTCCATTGCTCTTGAGCGCCAGCTTGCTGAAAAGGAGCAAATCGAGGCTCGTTTGGCTGAGCTCAAAGAGGAGGAAGCCCGCGTCAAGGAGAGCATCAATGTTACCTTGCGTGAGGAGCAGGATCAGTTGAAGTACCAGTTCTTGGAGAACTTGCAACAGGAACAAGCCCGTCTGAAGCAGATGAATGAGTCTCTCAAGCAGGAACAGGAAGAGCTCAAGTCTACGTTCTTGGCCAACTTGGCTGAGGAGGAGCATCGCCTCAAGACGCTCAATGAGTCCCTGAGAAAGGAGCACGAGGAGGCTAAGGCAGTGTTTATGGCTGGTCTCAAGGAAGAGGAGACGAGGCTGAAGGAACTCAATGCTTCTCTCAGAGAGGAGCAGGAGACCTTGAAGAAGACGTTCACCACTAATCTTGAAGAGGAACGCGACCGCCTGATGGAGATGAACGTCGCCCTCAAAGAAGAGCACGACACCATGAAGAAGACCTTCGCCGCTAACCTCCGCGATGAGCGCGACCGTCTGATCGAGCTCAACTCCGCCCTCAAAGCCGAGCACGAGTCGCTCAAGCGGAGCTTCCTTGCCGTTTTGAAGGACGAAGAAGCCCGCTTGAAGGAGTCCAACAACGCTTTGCGAGAAGAGCAGCAAGTTCTCAAGGATAAGTTCCTCAAGAACTTGCGCGAGGAGGAGTCTTTGCTCAAAGAAGTCAACGAAGGTCTGAGGCAAGAGCAGAAAGAACTTAGGAGCTCTTTCCTTGCCGCTTTCAAGGAGGAGGAGAGGCGTCTCAAGGAGATCAATGCCAGCCTGCGAGAAGAGCAGGAAGAAATGAAGGCTATCTTCCGCGAAGAGCAGGAGAAGTTGAAGGTGGATTTGCTCGCTAACCTGATGGAGGAGGAGTGTCGCCTTAAGGAACGCAACGAGGCACTGCGCAAGGAGCATGATAAACTCAAGGAACAGTTCCTCGCTGATTTGAGGGCTGAGCAGCAGGGTATCAAGCACAACCTTGTCGAGCTGCGCGGGGAGCAAGAGGAGTTGGTGAGGAAGAAGTCCAGACTTACGGCTGATTTGTCCTCTCTCGACACTGCCCTCCGGCTCAGAAGAGAAGAGCTCCACGAGATGGAAACCCGCGCCGAGACGCTCGAGCGCCGCATCCTCGAAGGCGTCATGGATCATTCTCGTCTTTTGCTCATGGCCAAGGGCAAACGGTTCACCACCGGCGTTGGCCGTGAGTCAATGAACCGCAAGCGCGTCCCCTCGCAAATGTCCACCCGCGCTCCCAGCGTCGTCTCACGACTGGATGGGGCAAGACAGCCCACGTCGGCGCTGAACATGGCTGCTATCAACGCCAAGACCAGAACCCCTAAGATGGGCTCGGGTGCATCGTCGGCGTCTAACAGGCGGATTCTCTCTCTCAGTCAAATGGTCAGCGGAGCTCTATCGGGCGGTGGCATCAAGCGCAGCAATAGCGTTAGGAACGGGGCTGGCGGTGGTGGTGTCGCGGCGGCCAAGGCGGCGGTGGCTGCTCATCATGGTGATGCTGGTACTTCTTCTTCGAGACCCAAGGCTGGAGAAAGAAAGGGCAGTTGGGCGACGACGAGTTCGAGGTCTACGGCGAAGGGGTATGGTGATTTGTCGAAAGAGGATAAAGAGCATGGTTCCTCGTTGAAGGAGACAGACGATGAAGATGAGGAGGGATATGATACCGCTACTCCGCCTGTTGATGTGCGCTCCGGGTCGGATGAGGATATGGTGCATGTCGATGATGATGCGCGCACCGAGTCCTCCTCCCGCTACGGCGGCGACGACCACAACGAAACCGAAACTGAAGCGGACGAAACAGCTACCTTGCGCAGATCTTCCCAAGGCACGACGGTCATCACCTCCTCTTCTCGCTCCGGCCGTTCTGCCCGCTCAAACGGTAGCCAAAACGACGACGGAGAAAGCCAATACAGCCAGGACCAAGATGACGACGATAACTACTCCGACTACGAAACAGGCGACGATAGTGAAGACGACTGGACCGAGAGGGGTAGTGCCGTCTCGGGCATGACTGGTACCACGGGCACGACGGGAACAAGCCGCACGGGAAGAAGTAGTGTTTCTGGCCCTCCGTCGGTTGCGCCGAGTGCGAGTGTTATGAGCGTGGCGAGTAGTAAGATGAGTAGGGCGAGCAAGATGAGCAAGGATTCGGCTATTTCGGGTATTCCTAGGGCGAAGCCTGGTGCTGGGAGTGGAAGTCCGAAGAAGGGGAAGAAGGCTGCTAAGTAAGGGTTGACGGGTGATGGTTGGAAGATGGAAGATGGACGATGATGGATGAAGGGTGATTGATTGGGTCATGATACCTGCTTGGTTTTCGTTTTCTTGTTTTATTACTTGTCCGGATAACATTTTTGTACGGTGGTTACCTACTACCTTTATGGGTGGGCTTTTTCGGTTCGGTTGTTACCTCTATTGATGCTATGGCTTGATGTTTGCTGGATGGATGTTTATGCGATTACCCACTGAGTTCTGATGATGGATGGACAGGTGATAGCAACGAATCCCACCAGTCGACCTCGGGTTCCGGGTTTGGGAGTTGGCCTTTTCGGGTTGCATCCTCCCAGAGTTTTACAGCTTCAACGTCCCACAGCCATCGTTGAATAAGAACCCTGTCGGTTGACTGGTTAGCACTCGGCAATGTCTTTTTTTTTTTTTTTTTTTTCCATAAAGGCTTCACGCAACTCACCTGTTCCTTATCCCGGAGATGGGGTTCCGATCAACGATACAAAACATCACCAGTACCGGCAACCAACCCACCAATAATCCCAACGCAAGTGAGTGCGCCGTGGTGTATTCCCCAAGAACGTCCGCAAAGGCAAGGCCAACGGAGATGGCGAACGCACCTAGAAAGACGCAGATGTTGAGACCAGCGGGATATGTACCTCGCCTTCGATACATGCGGAGTTGAAAGGCCAGTGCCTCGCGCAGCTCTCTTGTATACAGCACCGCTTGTCGACCTGTCTCCTCAGTGATTTGGCCTTGACCTCCATTTGGCTGATTTTCCAAGGGCTTGAAGAGGCCGTAAGTAAGAACTCGCACAAAGTCCTCTCTTTCCTTTACATCCGTGGGTAACTCAAATTGGTTGATGCAGCTCAAGATGTAATAGGAGGTGGCTTTTGAGTATTCAAGTCGGCGGTTGGCCTGGTTGTGGGAGCCTGCGGACGAGAAGGTGTAGTATTTGCATTGACGGATCTGGTAGACGTTCCACAGAGTGGCTGTGAGACTGGTAGGTGGTGAACCGAGCCAATTGAGGATCGCTTTAAGTGTCGTAAGTATCCGTCCGTCGTGCCATCGTGATCCTGGTGCACGCCGGTGCAGCGAGTCAAAGGGAAGACAGGCCACTAGAGCTAGGATTGGGAGGATCCAGTTCGCTGCGATGTTGAAGGACTGGGTTGGAGGGTTTTGTGTGAGATACCACTCGATGGGGGAATGGCAGAGGTTTTTGCAGCCTGGTATAAAAGATGTGGTCAGTAAGTCGTTCAACGCAAGGATTCGGCTAGTGGACATCAGGTCTTGACTGACATACCTTCAAGCGTTATGGCGATGTAGATGCTCCTGTTGTATCTGACCTCATCGTTGAGATTTCGTACGTGGCCTTCGTAAATCCACTTGTTCCGGTACAGGTCTTCTTCTGTCAGGTTACCATATGGGTCGCCGGATCCGTTGAGAATGGAGTAGACCCGGTCTCTGCACTCGACAGAGAAGTTTAGGGCGAAGGTTGTCGGGCTAAAGAGCGCTAAACACAAAAATGCGCACGACAGGTTACGCGATGTTGACTGTCTGCGCAAGATGCTCCTTGACATCAGGGTGGACGCCATCGGAGACTTCCAGGTGGCATAAATTGTGGTTTGTGTCAGTGATGCTCTATGAAAGCTGTTGTGTTTTTAACGGCGACTGAGAAGCCAAAGGGAGGAGGAGGGCTGTTGATATAGATGAAGAGAGGCAAGGCTGTGGTGCAACACGACCACACCAGCTCCGTTGCAGGCTCCGAGACAGCAACATGGACTGAGACTGTCCATATCGGTAGGAGGCATCATCCCCGGAAGCCAGGGTGATGAGGCTGGTTAGGTATCGCAGGCTCGCGGCATGGCGTCCCTCTTCATCTGGCAGAAAGCCCCGTGGAAAAGAAAAAGGGGAAAGGGGTCGGAAAGTGGTCTCCGTTCGGCGTCCGCTCCCGCTGCGACCCTCGGCGCGTGACGTCATGCATGTCCGTCCTTCCCCGGGCCGCCAAGCGAACCAAAGCCCCTCCTCCGCTTCCCGACTCCGATATCCAACGGCCCCGTTCAACGGCGTTTCCCTCACGTTGACAAACCCATCCGAAAGCCAACTCTCCATTCCGTGTAACCCAAAATGTCACCAACTGTCGACCCCGCCATCCTCCGCGCTCTGGGCCTCGACCCCAACTCCGCCTCCGCCAGCATCACCTCCCACGGCGGCTCCGGCTTCTCCTCCACTTACAAGCTCCTCACCACCACCCCTGACGGCAACAACAAAAGGGCTTACTTCATCAAAACCGGCACCGGTTCCGACGCCGCCGCTATGTTTCTCGGCGAACACCACTCCCTCAATGCAATCCAGTCCGCCATTCCCTCCTTCTGCCCACGGTCTTATGCCAACGGGAGCATATCGTCGAATCCCAGTCAACACTTTCTCGTAACCGATTTCCTCGATCTCCGCTCTAGCGGTGGTCCAACAGGATCTGGGGAATCGTTTGCAGCAAAGCTGGCCAAGATGCACACCACCCCCGCCCCCATTCCGGAGGGGTACGACAAGCCCATGTTCGGCTTCCCCGTCCCTACATACTGCGGGGCGACGGAGCAGGATAATACCTGGAAGGAGGACTGGGCGGAGTTTTATGCTGATAACCGCTTACGCCATGTCCTGAAAGAAGGCGAGAGGAAGAATGGGAAGAACAGAGAGTTGAGCGACGCGGTGGAAACAGTCGCATCAAAGGTGGTGCCCAGGCTTCTGGGGGAGCAGACGATAGGGAAAGTGACGCCGGTATTGGTGCACGGGGATTTGTGGAGTGGAAATCAGGGACGGGGTAGGTTTTCTGAGGAAGGGGGTGTTGAGGAGGTGGTCTATGACCCGGCGGCGGTCTATGGGCATTCGGAGTATGAGCTGGGGATCATGAAAATGTTTGGCGGGTTTGGCGGGGGGTTTTGGAAGGAGTATGGGGAGTTGGTGCCGAAGCAGGAACCGAAAGAGGAGTGGGAGGATCGGGTCGCTTTGTATGAGCTGTGAGTGTTGATCTGACATGCCTGCTGAGATGTTGTGAGAGGTGTGAGATGCTAATGGGGTTTGACAGGTATCACCATTTGAACCACTATGCGTTGTTTGGAGGCGGGTATCGCGGTGGCGCCATGTCCATCATGAAGAAGCTTATTGCGAAGTATACGTAGCTGGGATGTTCGACTTGGCCGGCGAATGGTCGTAATAAACCGAACACGTCACGGTCAACATATCAGACATTGGGTATATACCTTTGAACCCAACCTTTAGGCAGTTCCTGGATGGCAGAGCCGCTAATAGACCCTGACTGATATGTTTCTAGTTTATTGTAATCCCTATCATAGTTTTGTAACGGCCTTTCCCAACCATTATAAGCAGTATTGGACTGTTGATTGCTTAGCGGATGCGTGAGAGATACCAAGGGGTAATGGACACTGCTTCGTCTGTATTGAATCCTTCGATTAGGGGTTTATCATGCCAGAAAAGGTGTTGAAGAAACATCAAGATGTGTTGATATAGGATGGATATGGCATGGCACCAGTCGTTTGTTGGATGCTGGGATGTTGAAGAGGTCAAAGATATCCAAGGCCATAAACAAGCAACGTGGTCCTACACTAACAGATTCAAGAAAAGCCCACGGCAAAATCTGTTAGTGGTCTCTTGTGACAAGCTGTCCCCGTATTATAAATGGCCGTTGTTGATCGCATTTCGGAAAGAGGCCATAAAAGGTTCTAGCTGATAACGAAATGAAGAGTGATTAGTTGTCGCTAAAGTTGGGGACTACATGATGACTGACAGAAGCCAGCTGGTCTCACTCACATCCAACACGTGGAAATGTCAGGTCGAGACAATTCTTCTGCCCGTGATGTCTCTTTGTGAGTCCTCAACTGACACTTTTTGACACCCATCGATTGGATGGTGCTTGTTCACAAGGACGTCATCTCCAGCGATAATTGTTAACGATAGCTTGCCGCGCACTGACCACACTTACCACTGTCCAGGTGTTCAATGCATGTCATGCAGCCGCCAAGGGGTGTCAATCCCCTGTCAGCGAGTGACAGACCAGCAATGATCGCGACAAATGATCCACATCATCTTGTGAGAGCTCCATCTGAGAAGCGACTAGACCATGCAAGCAACCAATCCATTGTCAGCTTCCCCTTTGGACACCCTTTGGGCCTCGATTCTCTGCTTGACAGTTGGCACTCGATACCACCCCTCAGCCCGGAGTGTGGTCCACGACAGCAGCACTAGAAGCACCACCAAGTCGAACCACCCTCCCCCTCTTCTCTTCTTTGCTGTAGCCAACTTTCTAATATCATCACCTATTCCCTTCTTCTTCCCCTTCTTTCTCTTTCTCTTGGTGCTTCCCTCTTCCCGTTGCGTCGTCCTCTCCCCCGCAACCCCAGATAACCACCCACGCGCATCATACGAGAGACAAACGAAATCACCGCCATGAACGGCCACTTCGCCGCCGTCGACAACGGCAACGGCTCGTCGCCCGACAGCAACGCCCATAACTTTGAACACGGCATCCAGGTCATCAACGAGGACAAGCAGTACAATACCAACCTCAATGAGTACCTCAACGAGACACACGTCGCCGAGGCCGGCTTCAACTACCACCTCATTTCCGTTTTCGGCTCCCAGTCCACCGGCAAGTCGACCCTCCTGAACCACCTGTTCGGCACCCAGTTCAGCGTCATGTCCGAAAGGGAGCGTCGCCAGACTACAAAGGGCATCTGGATGTCCAAGAACAAGAACGAGGGAAAGATGGCCGACAACATCTTGGTCATGGACGTCGAGGGTACCGATGGTCGCGAGCGCGGCGAGGACCAGGATTTCGAGCGCAAGAGCGCTCTCTTTGCCCTTGCTACGAGTGAGGTCTTGATCGTGAACATCTGGGAACACCAGGTCGGTCTGTACCAGGGCGCAAACATGGGTTTGCTCAAGACTGTTTTTGAGGTCAACATGCAGTTGTTCTTGAGGGATAAGCAGTAGGTACCCGCCCGTTCTGCATCTAATAGGGATTCACTTGCTAACGGTTCAGAAACCAAACCCGCTCCCTCCTTTTCTTCGTCATCCGCGACCATATTGGCGTCACCCCCCTCGCCAACTTGCGCAACACCCTGATTCAAGATCTGACCCACATCTGGTCCTCCATCTCCAAGCCCGCCGGCCTCGAAAACTCCAAGATCGAGGACTACTTCGACTTCGCCTTTGCCGCCCTCCCGCACAAGATTCTGCAACCCGACAAGTTCATCTCCGAGGTCGAGAATCTGGGCTCCCGCTTTACCGCCGGCCACCGCAACAAGGACTCAGATTCCACCGACGATCAAGAATTCACCGGCGGTGTCTTCCTCCCCGAATACCACCGCCGCATCCCTGCCGACGGCCTCTCCATCTACGCCGAGGGTATCTGGGACCAGATCGTCTCCAACAAGGACCTCGACCTGCCCACTCAACAAGAACTTCTCGCGCAGTTCCGCTGTGACGAGATCGCACGCGAGGTGCAAATCGCCTTTGACGCCGCCATCTCTCCTCTCGAAGAACAACAAGCCGAGTCCACCCGCGCCGGCAAGCCCGCCGTCCTACCCGATCTCGGTCAAATCGGCGCCGAAGCCCGCGAGAAGTGCGTCAAGAACTTTGAGACTCAGGCCTCCCGCTACCACAAGGGCGTGTACACCACCAAGCGCGCCGAGCTCGAGGACAAGATCGATGCCCGCCTCAAGGCTCTTTACCAAGCCCATCTCACCGCCGCTCACAAGGCCGGTGTAACCGCCTTCTCCGAAGCCGTCACCAACGCTGTTAAGGCGGGGCAAAAAGCCGGAGGCGCTTACGAGTTCGCCGAGATTGTTGAGAAGCAAAAGACCAAGGCTCTCGAAAACTTCAAGAAGGAGGCGCAGTCCCTCGCAATCCCGGGAGTGGCCTGGTCCAACTTCAAGCCGCAGTACCTCATCTTCGAAAAGGAGCTCGACGAAGTCTCTGCGCGCTTGCGCAAGGAGGAGATGCGCCGCTTGGCGATTCGCATAGAGCGGTGGGTCAAGTCCCGCCTCGGCGACGCGATCGGGCTGGAATTCAACAAACTCGGATCCGGCCGCGGGGGTTCCGGCGCTCCGGAGTCTGACGAGAAGCCCGCTACGGAGAAGGACATCTGGGATCGCGTATGGAAGGCCTTTATCGGCATCGTGCGCGAAGCCGAGGGCAGGTTTACCGACCGCGCCAAGAGCTTCGAAGCTAGCGACGATGAAGTCCAAGTCGGCCTCTGGCGCCTCCGCCGCAAGTCCTGGGTCGCGCTGCGCGAGAAGATTGAAGAAGAAGTGATGGAGTCCAACATCCTCATGAAGCTGCGCGAGAACTTCGAGGACAAATTCCGCTACGACGAAGATGGCGTGCCACGCATCTGGCGCCCGTCGGATGACATTGAAGGAATCTACACGCGCGCGCGCGAGTCTACGCTCGGTCTCGTCCCGCTGCTATCCCGCTTCCGCCTGACATCCACCAGTGCTCCTCCGGACTTGGTCGAGTTTGTCGGTCCCCAGCCGCACGGTGTCGAGCCGGGTGATGAAGAGGACCTGACGCCGATCGGTGGCGTTGACGAGGACGAGGGTAAGTCCCTTGAGGAGGAGACGACGATTTTGAGCGAACCCAAGAGGCAGGATTTGGTGGTGAGGTTTAAGAAGATGGCCGATGGAGTCTATGTCGAAGCCAAGAGGAGCGCGATTGGAGGGATCACGCAGGTGCCGCTCTACTTTTATGCCGTGTTGCTTGTGCTGGGTTGGAATGAGTTCGTTATGGGTAAGTTTTTCTCCTCCTCCTTTTCTCCTCCTTTTTCTCTTCTCGACGCGAGTACTAACCAACCAAACAGTCCTGCGCAACCCAGTCCTCTTCATCCTCCTCCTTCTCATCAGCGGCGGCACCTACGTCGCCTACAGCCTCAACCTCCTGGGGCCAATGATGCAGATGGCCAACGCCGCTTCTACGCAAGGCATGGAGATCGGCAAGGCCAAGCTGAGGGACTTTTTGGAGAACCACGAGGGAGCCAGGGGAGCTTTGGGGATGCCTCCAAAGAACGCTCAGAGAGTTGAGAGTGGAATCAGCATGGATACGCTGGATAGCAACGGCAAGAGGAGGGAGACGGGGCTGGAGGCGGAGGATGACATCTAGGGGTTGTCTGAGAGGTGAAACCAGTAAGGAAGGGAAAAGGTGGAAAAAAAGGGAGTTAAGTGTAGCGAGTTGCAGCCAGCAAGCGGATGTTGAACCTGTTGTAGGAGTGTCGGAGTGTCTGAGTGGGTGATATAGTAAGATATAGAAAGGTATAAAGTCACTTCATGTTCGTGTTTAGATCTAGGAGTTTCAATCCTTTTTGGTTCATCATTTGGGTTCATTAACGTCTACACGTCCCTCACTAGTCGCACGAAGCCATCTCGTGCATACAAATCAACAAGACACATCACGGCTGTGCGTCAAGGCTGTTCAGTCTCTGAGACGGGGGGTTTCGGCTTGTGTTCGAACGTGTTGGTGCTCTCAACGAACCGTTGAACGTGTGATGGACATCACGGCAGACGAGTTAATGGCATGCATGTGATTGACAATGTTCGCTCCCAATTTGAATACCAATACTGCTTTTGGAACCTATGTTGCCTAGCCTGCCTTGACTTAACCACTCCGGTGATGCTACCGACAGCAGCAATCTATAAGATATAAACAAGTTTGAATGAGAAATTCCAAGCAACACAACACAAGAACAAGAAGAAAAGCGCCTCCCAATTCCCATTTTAGACTCCCAATCAGCAGGGGGCAGCAAAGAGGTAACCTGACAGTGGCTTGAACAGCGACGGGAAATAAATAGTACTCAAGCAAGAATCTTGTGTCCATCCATCTGTGTCCTTCTGTGACATATTGACTTCCCAACGAGAAATGAGACCGGGTACTCGTCGGACAAGGTAAACAAGCGAAGAATCGGGTCCCAGGAAACCACAACAACCAACCGACCGGACGATGGTCTAACCAGCAACTATCATAACAAGAAAAGAAAGCCAACAACTCCGTCATTCCCCAAAAGGGAGAACAAAAGGGGTTCAAACATCAAAAACACTCCCTGGGTACTTCAACACCATTCGACAAACCTACACATCAATCCCTCAAAACTATGGACTCCGCCCACAAAGGAACACAGAGCTTAAGCCTAAGCCTAAGCAGAAGCAGAAGCAGCAGCAGAGGTATCCATCATGGAGTTCTCCGCACCAGTCCCTTCCTCGCCCTCCTCAGATGGCCTAACCTGCACCTCGCACCCCTGCGAGAAGAAGACGCGAGCAGGTTGGTCGTAGTCGTTTTCAATGGAGTAGTAGTTGCCTGTTTCGTTCGTTAGCCCAGTGTCAGTTCCGTTTACAACACCATCAACATGTCAAAGTAGTGTATGGAGTGATGGAACATACCCCTGGGCACGAACCACATCCCCCCCCTCCCAATCCTAAACACCGTCTCATTAACCGTCACCAACACCCTCCCCGTATACACAAAAAACGTCATGAACATTTTGCGTGAGTTCTTGGGCCTCTTGACCGCGCCCGGCGGCAGATCCACCACCCCCGCGCCAAAGAAGCCTTCGTTGACCGTCTTGGCATACCTAAACGCCGCGTCCTTGACCTTTTGCGTGCGAATGGCTCGGCCCGAAATAGCCAGCTGCTTCTCCTGCACTTCGACCTCGTCGTCCAGCGCGGGCGGGTGGAATTCGTGCTGTGGGTACCAAGTGACCACGTCGCCGCCCAGAATACCGGGGTTGAGTTCCCAGGGTTCGGGCGGGGAGGGGTCTTCGTCTTTTTGGGCCCGGCGGGAACCGCCACCAGCAGCAGCATTGCCGCCGCGCTTGGTGCCCCGGCCACGGCTGCGGGAGAAATCAACGACTTCTTCTTGGACGCGCACGACTTCTTTGATGGTGGGCAGGACGAATTTCCTCTTGCGCACCTCCCCGGCACTGGATCCCTTGAAGGACTTGGGGGCGTGATCGGCGACGAATTCGTCTTCCTCGTATTCGTAGTCGACGTGCTCGTTGCGCCAGTAGGCCAGGGGCTTGAAGGAGTGCCGACCGGAGCGCGTGCGGATGATGGCGCTGCTGTCGCCGGGGACTTCGCGCCGGTTGATGACGAGGCCGCGCGACTTGGGAAGGGGAGGACCGCGGGGGATGGCAATGGAGGTATCGGCATCGGCGGCGGGTGCGGGAGAGGGTTGGCGCTTGCGACCGCCTTTCTGTTTAGTGGCCTTGGTGCCCTTGGTGGCCTTCTCGTTGACGGGTTCGGCGGCGGGGGTTGGGGCTCTACCCTTTCCTTTGGCTGCCTTGGATCGCGAGGGACCGGCTTGGACTGGTTCTGGTTCTGGTTCCTCGACTTCCTCTGGCGCTGGGGTGAGTGACTTCCTCGGCCTTCCTCTGCCCTTGGCGGGTGCTGGCGCGGTCTCGGTACGTTGGCGCTTGGATTGGCGACTGGCGGAGGAATCTTGGGCATCGGTAGCGGGTTCTTCCACGGTGCGCCGTTTCCTGCCTGGTTTGGCTGCGGGAGCTGGTTCTTCCACGGCTGCGGTCTTGCCCTCGGCTCCCCTTCCTCGCTTGCCAGCAACCTTGGGCGCGACTTCTTCTGGTTCTGCCTCTGCTTCTTCCTCTTCTTCCTGCTCCTCCTCTTCTACCACGGGCGCAGCAGGTTTCCGTCCACGCTTTGCCGGCGCGGGTGCTGGGGAGGGTTCCTTGGCTTTGGGTTTCCTTCCAGGCTTCTTCTTGGCCGCCGGCGCAGACGCAACTTGAGGACTTTCCTCTGGTCCCTCCTCTTCCTGTTCGACGGGCTCCTCCTCCTCAACCTCCCCGTCATCCTCCAACATGGCCATAGACTCCTCAATGAACGCATCAGTCTCATCCGGCACCGCAGCGTTCTCTTGTTCCTCTTCCTCCGCTTCATCGTAATACCCATTCAACCCGTTGATACCGTTCGTCGTAGTCGGTTGAGATAGGGAGCGTCCACCCGCCTTGAGAGCCTCAAAGTTCAGTCTCCGCCTAGCAGTGTTGATATCTTCTGCAGGCTGGGAAGAGGAACCGCGATCGTAGTTTTCTTTGTTGGCACCAAGCGATCCACGAGTGGGCGATGAGCTGCGCGCCATTAGACGATTCCGCGCGGGCGAGTTGACGACGACCTTGACAGGTGATCGGTTGGTGCGGTTGACGGGGAGGGGAAGTCGGCTGGCGTTGCCGTTGAGGAGAGCCGCAGGGGCAATTCCAGAGGCTATTGCACGGGATCGAGTTAGCAATTGCGCGGCGCGTTAATGTCCGTGTGACTAGGAAACGTACTTGTGGTGATGTCCATATCCTCGCTGTCTGCCCTACCATCCTCCGAGGCGCCACCGTCTTCGTCGTCCTCGCCTTCGTCTTCATCGCGGTCCTCGGTCGGCTTGTGGGGAGAGGAGAAGAGGTCTTCGAGAGGTTGCATGCCATGTTCGTCGCGGATGCCCGAGTCTTTTAGAGTGACACCGGTTTTGCTGGACAGTTTGTTAGTATTGCGTGGAGATGGAGAGATATTCGTGAGCGCATACCGGCCAGCAACTCCCAACTCGTAGACGTGCTCTGGCTCGGGGAACAGACTGCGCCGCGCTCCTGGCGGTCGTGGCGCCATCTTGTTGATTTGTCGTTGTCTGTCGTCTGTCGTCGCGATGATGCTAGCTTTCGTTCAGTCGGTCGTCGCGTGTTGTTGCACGCGGGTGTGCACTGTGAAGAAAGCAATTGAAGTTTGCGCGGGCGGCCGAAGATGGAACAGCAAGGACAATTGGAGATGGGACCAGCAATGAATGGGCACGGGAGACGGGGTTGTTGATGCTGGGCGTGTCGTGCTTCTGCAGTGCCGTTGCCCGCTGGAAAGAGACCCGTGACGGGGAGACCAGGGTGGAGACCTTGGGCTCCGTGGGAGTGGGGTATCAACTCTTTAACATGGAGCTTGTGATTGGTCGGCGCGTTACCAGACGCGTCCCCCAACGTCAACTTTCTTTTCTGTGACAACTTGATACTGATAGTCTTCTACAAACACCCAATTCTTGCCCACCCAGCATCCCGAATCTTCCCGCCATCAATCGAACGACCATTCCCAATCTCCAATCCAAAATAACACCAACCATAACCACGACAACAGTAACTAACTAACCAGCACCATGGCCGACTCCCAAGACGAAGCAGGACCCTTCCTGCCCCCGACCATCTCCCCTCCCGCCCTCCTCTCCGGCGCCTCCAACACCTACTTCTCGCCAACTCCTCCTCAACTCCTCGCCGACAACACCCCCTGCTGCCTAGGCGTTGACGAAGCCGGCCGCGGTCCCGTCCTCGGTCCCATGGTCTACTCGGCCTTCTACCTCCCGCTCACGCTCTCCGACCCGCTCCTAAAACAAAAACACAGCTTTGACGACTCCAAAGTCTTGACTCCTGCCGTCCGTCTGTCCCTAATGAAGGAACTCTGCACCAAAGATACCGAGCTGCACGACAACTGCGGGTATGCGACGTCGTCCTTGAGCCCGTTGTCGATTTCGAGCGGCATGCTCAAAGCCAGCAAAGCCCAGATCTACAACCTCAACCAGCAAGCTATGGACGCCACCATCGCTCTGATAAAGGGCATCTACGAGCGGGGCGTCAATATCACCGATATCTTCATCGACACGATTGGGCAGCCGGCGGCTTATCAGAAGAAGTTGGAACGGGTGTTCCCGACGGCGAAGATTACGGTCGCCAAGAAGGCGGATTCGCTGTACCCCGTGGTATCGGCGGCGTCGGTGGTGGCCAAGGTTACAAGGGATATTGCGCTGGAGGTGTTGTGGGCGGATCGGAGTAAGCAGATGCGGAAGAGGAAAAGGGACGATGAAGGTGGGACTGAGAAGCGCGCAAAGCTGGAGAGGGGGGACACAGCGGGCACGAATGGCACAGATGCTATGGATGTTGACGAACCATCAAAAACCCAAATCGATTCGCCAAAAGCAGCAGAGGAGGAGGACGAGGAAAAGGGCGTGGAGACAAACGAAGCAATGGCCTGGGGCTCAGGCTACCCCTCCGACAGCAAATGCGTCTCCTGGCTCAAGCAAAACATGCATCCCGTTTTCGGCTGGGGTCCCGAATGCCGATTCTCTTGGGGAACGGCAAAAGACATGTTGGAAACCAAGAGAGGGGTGAAGGTGGATTGGCCTGAAGAAGAAGAGGAAGAGACACCAAAGTTGACCGACTTCTTTATGGCCAAGAGGGACCGAGAAGAGGAGAATGTGGATGAGTTAGGGACCTGGTTCGGTGCGCCTGCTGGGGTAGAGTGTTTCCAGCTCTAAACAACTAAAAAATACAAAGAGAACAAGTTACATCAGATGGTGCCCCAAAGAAACCCATTCCCTTGTGCGGCTGTATCAAAACTTGAATCGCAACACAAAAATTCGCCCAAAGTTTCATGCCAATGTTGTAGTAATCAATCGCTCGTTTGTTGTTCTCCCTATCGTCGTGAACGTCCCCTAACCAGAAGTATAAAGCTTCATGGTCACATTTAACCACCGAAACCGTAGAGGGTACGGCCCTGGCGCTCGAGGGCGTAGACAACGTCGAGCGAGGTGACGGTCTTGCGCTTGGCGTGCTCGGTGTAGGTGACGGCGTTACGGCTCAGTCCTGGGGAGAATAGGTTAGTTAACTGATGACAGAAGAAGCCTTGATTGGAGGGTAAGGCGAGGTAACATACAGCATAACCAGAATCTTTGGAGGCATCCTTGCCCCGCTTGGGCTCATCGGCGGGGCCGGCGTCAGCGTCGGAGTCGGCGGGGTCGGCCACCATTCTCTGAATCTATGTTAGACTCTGGATGTATTTGGCGACAAATTTGATACAACGAATGTACTTGCGGCCATTTCGGCCTCCAGCTCGGCCCTGGTGGGCGCGTTGTCCCGGTCTTTTACCAGTTCCTAATCGATATTGTTAGTAAGTGTTTCTAAAGATTAGAGTATTAATGTTGAGGATAGTATAAATTTACCGCTCGGACGGCGCGCTGATTTTGGAGCTTTGCTTGCAAGTCCGCTTGCCTCTTGTCATGCTGTTTTTTGTTACACAGCATTTGGGCCGCCCATTCCTATACAAATGTACCGATTAGTAACCGACTTATGCACATTATACTAATGAATAAGATTTACTCACTGTTGCCTGCTTGTCGGAGGCTTCGATCCTGGTATTGAAGGCCTTTATCAGTGTTAGCCAAACGTGTGTCTAGGCACTCGCTGGGTTAGCGTCCTTGCATGATATTGTACATACCTCCTTGGTGGTGTCCTAGGCGTCATGTGACCTATATTAGCCAGCCTGCATATCAACGAGTCGAAATCTGAACAGCTATTTACCATGATCCTCTGCCAGATTGAAGTTAGTTACATACTGCTAGTGGGTGAGGGCTCTTCAAAGCCGAACGGACGGCGTATACGTACTTCTACAGCGGCAGGCTTCTTCTTCCCCCCCCTCTTCCCCCCCCTCTTCCCCCCTTTCTTCTCAACTCTGTTCTGGGTTGTGTCAGTGATATTCGGCAAGACAAAACATGGATACTGTTGAACCATGCGGAGGAGGTGATCACGAGAGACGACGAATGTGGTGTTGAATGTCTTGATTGAGTGAAGAGAGAGAAAGAGAGCAATGCAAGGAAAGAGGACGAAGTCCGACTTATATACACGGTAGCTATGTGTGGATCGTATCCGCCTTGTGCCAAGGAAGCTAAGACATGGTGATGGCTTCAACAGATACATGGTAGGAAATGCAAAACGAAAGCAGTGAGACGAAAATGGACCGTAGGCACTCTGCTCTTGAACATATGTTTCCGGTCATAGATACACACACAGTGATGGAAAAATTGGTTGACTCGGTGCAAGAGAGGAGAGAAGGGCGCGAAGGGGGCGGCGGCTTTGGTTACCAGTTGTGTCGAAGTGAACGGAGTAAGAAGAAGGTTTGCACCAATGATAGAGTCACAGAGACCTTTTTCCCACTGGGTTTTACTAGCCTGTGTCCAACATTGGTGTTTGGGAGTATAGAAGAATGGGGAGTCACTTGTGGATAACCTCATTACTGCCATGTTTGGCTCGAGGGGGAGTATTGAGCAACATGGTTAGGTATCTTGGCATTTTCGGTCAAGATGGGTTGATCTTGGTGTTTTCTGAAGTCTGGACGCGGTGTCGGGATCTTGTGCAAAAGTCGGGTGTTTTGGATTTGGGGGTAAGTGAACGGTCCTCCTGGGTCCGTGTGCTCGGCATTTTGACTACATGCGCGGCGGCCTCTGGTGACTGTGAGGTCCCAGTTTTGGCACAGAGCAAAGTCATCGCCAGGTGAGAAAGACGCGATGATGGGAATGAAATGGAATAATGGGAATGGAGTCAAAGGTAGGCGAAGACCATTGATAATCGACATCCAACACTTGATGGATTGCAATGACTGCTAACGTGAAGGATGCAAACGTAGTGACACAGAGCTTCCAAACGCAGAGAGTCAATAAGGAGTAAAATTGGAATATCATATACCGAGGTGCCGGCACGTGCATTCGCGGCAGAGCCGCCGCCGCCGACCGCGGGATAGCAATCATGTTGCCGTTTAAATGGTGCCATCTTGATGGTTGTTGTGGCGCTGGTTGGGATGAAAACAAACGGAAAACGAGATGAAAAAGGGAGGATACCTTGCGACCTTTATGTCTCGCAAATGTCACATGCAAGCTTTGGGTCCAATTCTTTGACGTCTCCAAAGAACAGTCAACTACCTCTGAGAAACAAAGAATGGACAAGAACGCATAGGTAATACACGCAGGGAATACCATGCGTCATCTCAACAGACATGTTTATTAGGAAGAAGGGGCGCTGGAAATCTGCTCCATCCTTACCTCTAGTACTGGATAAAACGTTATCCAGATCAGGTCCGGGTGGAGAGCAACCGTTGACGGCACCTTGACTGGCATGCCAGGCCCCATGCCATCGACAGATTCGCACTCAAGAACAGCAGGACCTCACGACAGCAACTACGCCGCGTAGTGGGAAAAAAATATCCGGTGTGTCATGATTGAGAATTTCAGCTGTGGTCAATACGGATCTCACTGCAGGATCGGAAACCCCTTGACATATCCTTCCAGATGGGACCCGTCATGATCCGGCGGCCTGCGTGGGTCCTGACTCCTCGGTGCTGCGGTGCGTCATGCGGTGGGAGGAGGTTGAGGAAAATGGCAGGTCCCATCGCAACCCTCCGCGGACACTGTTCGGCATTTCAGTTTGTCCAAGTGTCCCGTCTGCTTGCCTTTCCAGTCTTAACAGGAAAGTTTGGCAAGCCAAGAACGACATGGACCCTCAACCCCATCGCCCGACGCCCCGAGTAGGTCCCGCCGTACCGTCCAGTCCAGATTTGCGTCTTCATTTCATCCAGAGTCCGTGCACATGCAGTCCTTGAGGCATTGATTCCATCCGATGTCATTCATTCACACGGGATCTGTCTCTACCTACCAAGTAGGAATGCTGGGTTGTTGGGATGATGTCAGAAGTTGAAGGACGGGATCACGGTCGCTGCAGTGGCATCTTGGAGGCCAGGGGCAAGTCCGCTCTGCAGGTGCCGCGGCGGCAGCATTCGGCAGGGGCCAAGGCAGCTGCCTGTGTAGCGCCCCACCCGAGCTTTCCAGATCGGGTGTGTAAGTGATGGCGGCCTAACGACCTGACAGGCCAGTTTTGGCTCTTCTCCCGTCAAACCAACTTGAGGAAGCGTCAAAGATTCCCAGTTGCGAGCAGAACCATCCATGGAAACAAGTGGTAGTGACTGTGGTGAGCACATGGACGACTTGAGGTCCCCACGGTGACGCCCCGGCTTGTGACTTCCTTCACAAAGGCGGTACCACCTGCTCTCTCATGCGGAATCTTGGATCGGTGAGGATAGCACCTTGCCGTGTCACTGTCTCAGCAACCTCATGCATCTTTCAGGCCTCGGTGGACATTGATTGAAAGCACTCCCCTTTGTGTCGGGAAGGAAGCCCATGCGACAGGAAGGTGCCGCCAGACAGCGATACAGAGGAAGAAAGACATTTCCCAACATGGCTGATCAGAAGCTTGGCAGACCATGGGTCCTTAGGTATTAAACAAGGGCCTCCCCCCGCCTCTGGAGGTCTTCTCTTCTTCTCCAAAATCACACAATCAATTGGTCACAGAGCGTTTTCTTTCTTCCTCCCATCAGCTTTCCATCACATCTTCTCGGACTTGGTCGTTTCTCTTGTTTCCCTTGAGATTCTGATCATTTCCTCAATCCATGTCTCCGCGGTCGTCTTCTTCACTGAAGCTCGATCACCATTCCGGTCCACCACCAGCTTCAATGTTGCTCTCCAAGGCAGCTTGGTAGGTCACCCCTTTGGCACCATCAACTTGGCCGCTTTTCCAGGTTTGACCAACCGCGTCACCACTATGGTTGAGACCACGCTGACAAGTTCCTTCTGCCCAGCTCCGCCGAATCAGACCGCCGAACGCTTTTCGCACAGCGTTTTGACCTTGGCCTTCGTTGGGAACATGGACCGAGGTCGAGTTCAATCCAGGCTGAGCACCATGTGAACAAGGTCAGTCACAGCCCTCATCCACAACAAAGATCCAGTCTTGCATTCCTCCATCTTTGTGCGTTGCTAACAGACATCGTGGGCAGATTTCCCCTTGGCGCATTTGATTGACAGTCGCTCGCTCAATCGACATTGACGTTGGAGTGCCGGTCCACCTCTGTCAAAGCGATCACCTTTTGCTTTCGAGCTTTCTCAACTCAACGCTTCCTCTCAGACGGGGTTCCTCTGGTTCCCCAAAGGATGTCAGGCGCAGGATTGGTGCTCGGGGTCACTGGGACCATGATGGCCAATTTCGACGCCATCCGAGACGACATCAACGGGCCCCTCTCGGCATCACTCAAGACATCCCCAACTTGAACCGTCTCACATCCGCGAGGTCTTCCATCCTTTGCAGTTTGGTATCTACAACGGACACCATCCCAAGCCCCACCAAAAACATGGAAAAAACACTTTTGTCATCCTTGTTGCCGAAAATGGAAATGGACCAGATGTCAACTTTGATCATCAACGACCACACCTTCGGTCCTTCGAATTTTGACCAACCGCCCTTTTCGCTTCATCGTAGCTTTGCCGAGGTGTTTGGAGAGTTGGTGTGCAGAGCGCCGGAAACATGTCGGGTCTTGAGGCTGGCCTCGACCTTTTTGGCACGATCGTTGGTGCCTTCGGATTTCGACCAACCGCCCTTCACGCATGTCCTTTTTCAGCAACAAAATGTCGGGTTTTGAGTTTGGCCTCACCATTTTCAGCACGCTCATCGATTGACTCGAGATGATCGAAAAGGCATCCCGACGGAACTTGTCGTATCGTCTCAATGACTCTCCCCTCTGCCTCTCAGCGACTTTCACACCTCTTTATGGCCTCCTGCTATATCGCATCATTTTCGATCTTCCACGACCTCGCCTCCGGATTTCTCCTGCGGTATCCTTTTTCCCGCATTCTTTTTCGGCATCATGTCGGACGCTGAGATTGGCAATCTAGCTTCAGGCCGAGTTGGTTCTTTGTCTAGACATTTCTCCGTCACAGCTCTCAACATGGCTCCCATTTCCATTCGGCATGGCCATTTTGGCACCATCGCTGGATTACTTGATGTCTGCCATCATGTCGGGCGCTGAGATTGGCATGGTCATTTTTGGCTCGCCCACTCCCCAACGGAGGCTACAGAACGCATCGCCGCATTGTCGTCGGATCGTACGTCGGCCAACATCCCGGACTTGTCGTATCGTCTCAACAACTCTCCCCTTTTCCTCTCAGCGATTTTTCACACCTCATTACCTCCTCATTCATGGCCATTTTTGGCACCGTCGCTGGTGCCATCGATATCTCCTTCAAACTATCCCACCTTGGCCAGACACTCACAGCGTTCCCCCGCCCACATACCCAAAACCTCAAGATGGCTGCTTCGGAGACTTCTATCACCATCATGATCAACGACCTTGGAAACTTGGACAAGTTGACGCTTAAGATTCAAGTTGGGCACAAGTCCAACTGGAGCAACGAGGCCGTTCGATGCACCCTTCGCTCCAAGTTTATGTGCGATCTGGCTTTGGCGCTTAAGGCGATCCCCATCAACGGCCCTCCCTCATTCTTCTTCGGCATCATGGCGGGACCTGCGATGATCATGGCCATTGCTGGCACCATCACTCACCCGTAGACTGTGGAAACGGCAAGATACCACCAGACCACCACGGGAGAACACGGGCAATATTCACGGGCATCATTCTACCTGGCACCACCACCTCTTTCGAAGACATCGAGCTTCTCCGCCTCGAACTAGAAAAGTTCGTCCGCTTCCCCAAAAACAGCCGCGACTTCCAGCCCGATATCACCACCGCCCACAAATCAAAACCTCAAGATGGCCGCTTCGGAGACTTCTATCACCATCATGATCAACGATGTCTCATGTTGACCCTCAAAACTGACCTCAATGCGCTTTACATGGCGTATTCGACATTTCATCTCAGCAACAACATGGGGACCCGGGCGGGTGTAGGTCGTGGTTGAATATCCACCAACCCACAACATCAGGCGTTTGGTGTAGAGATACAGAACGTACACGTTTCTTCCAAGTCTCGCTAAGCCGCCGCTACAGGGTCGGTGAGCTGAGAAACGCAATCTCGCTCTCGGGGTCGGGCAATCGCACCGGCCGGTATTATGAGCTCCGGACTGGATGTCGAGCAGTCCACAAGGACGGGCATCCGTTCTGCACGAGTTACCGCCGACGAGGCCACCAATCTCTTCCCAACACAGACAGCGCAGCCCCCACCCTGCCACCTCCTTCGCCGGCATCGCCAACCCCGGCCCCCACGCAACCTGATCGATATCGAAAACAAGTACTACAATGCCAAGCAGACCAAAACATCAGATCCCGAGGAGGCTCTCCAAGAGTTTCTAAGCATACCGCCGCTCGAGCAGGAGAAGGGAGATTGGGGCTTCAAAGCACTGAAACAGGCTATTAAGCTGGAATTCAAACTCGAGCGATACTAAGAGGTAGGTGGTGATGTCGGTAACCTGACATGGACACAGCTAACGAAAGGAATAGGCAACCGAGCACTACGAGGAACTCCTGACCTATGTCAAGTCAGCCGTGACGAGGAACTACTCCGAAAAGTCCATCGACAATATGCTCAACTACATCGAGAAAGGATACGACGATCCCAAAGCTGTGCAGTGCATCGAAAAGTTCTACTCCCTAACACTCCAGTGCTTCCAGAGCACAAACAACGAGCGCCTATGGTTGAAGACGAACACGGGTTGTGCTCCCACGCAGCATTCCCAGCCCTCACGCAACCTGTGGCACAGCCAACCCCGGGCCCAACGCCACCGCCAACCCCGGCCCCCAGGCAACAAACCCCACCTGTGGCACTCACGGCACTCACGGTCCTGCCGGAGTTGTCCTTGCAACCCCTGAGTATAAGTGAGGCTGATTGGGAGGGGGGGCAACGCTAGCCTCTTGACAGGTCGTCGGTTGCATCCCGGCTTTCACCACCCCGCGTTACTTTCGTTGATCGCGGCTGTTCTTTCTTCTTACAGCGAAGCATTCACTAGCGAGCGGCTGCTGTATGGAGGGAGGTGGTGCTGGCTGTGGAGGAGCAAACCAGAACGGAGATGACCAGCCGATTAAGCGCTTTACACCCCCGGGGTTCATCGAGTACAACCCAAAGACCGAGCTTATCTTTCCTCCAGTACTCAAGAAGCAGGAGTTCAGGCCGCTTTGGTTTGGAAATAAGCGAAAACGTTGGTTCCGTCCTACCAAGCTTGAGCAGCTGCTTGAGATCAAGGAGGTGTATCCAAATTCCAAGATCATCGGTGGTAGTACGGAAACACAGATTGAGATCAAGTTCAAGGCTCTCCAATCGTTTTCTTTCTGAGAAGCGTACTGAGCATGCGGTCAACCCTACGGTACATCGCCGGTGTCGTGCGACTTCTGCATTGAAGATGGTATGTGGTTGTCTCTTCCTTCTCACTCACTGTTGGTCAAGTGCTGAGACTGACACCACCAATGTAGGCCAGATCCAGGCGCGAACATGTACAGATGATAATGAGCACGTCCCAATGACACCTGTTGCTGGTGCACCGATAAACTCTAAGGATTGGATCGGAGACATGTCTGAGCTGCCGAAGCAGACTCCAGAGCGGCAACGGCGTATACTCACCATCCGCTAGTAGCCAACTCTCTTCCCCTACTTCTTCTTTCTCTCAGTATTTCCCTCTCCTCGTTGCATCGTCTTCTCCCCGCAACCCCAGATAACCACCCACGCGCATCATACGAGAGATACGAAACCACCGCCATGATCAACGACGTTGGCAACTTGGACACGATGACGCTCAAAATCCAAGTCAAGCACAAGTCGAACTGGCACAGCGAGGCCGTTCGACGACCTCGCCTCCGGATTGCTCCTACGGTATCCTTTTTCCGTCCTTCGTTTTCGGCATCATGGCGGGACCTGAGATGGCCATGGCCATTGATTGTTGGCACCATCGCTGCTGCGATCGATATCTCCGTCAAACTATTCGACCTTGGCCAGACCTTCACAGCGTTCCCCCGTACCCTTCGCGATATCCATCTCCGCATCCCCACCTACCAGTATATTATCGACAACTTGACAAACATCGGCAAGCCACCCCGCCGAATTTTTCGAGATCCACGAACCATTACTGCTATGGTGCCCAGCCAGCAAACAGTCGACAAGTTGGATTCGCTAGTGACACCATACATGCCGAAACAGTCTAAAAAGGATACCTATGGAGATTCGACAAGTTCAAGGCCGTCAAGCCAAGAACCGAAGCCAATCTGGACGTTGACAACACAACACCTCTAGCGTCATCACAATTGGGATTGATTTTGGGACCACCTATTCCGGTGTAGCCTATACGTGGTCTAACAAGGCCGACAAGGTCAAGGTCATCACTTGCTCTTTGGCTACAGCCAAAGCAGCCCCACCCGAATTCGAACAGAATGTCAACAATGTGGCCATTGACAACAGCCAAAATACGACGTGGCAGATTGCGGTCACCGTGGCCCTAGGCTCTATCATTTTCATGCTCACTGTCTGGCAAGTTCTCAAAAAGTTCAGTGGCATGGAAAGGAGTCAAGTGGACCGGGTCAGCTGGGACAGCGACAGCTATTCGAGTTCCAACGAAGAGAAAACGCCTACAAGCCTGTCCTTCGGCTCGCAAACCAACTTCCTGGTCTATGCAGGTGAAGTCACCCGTCTTTCTGAGCTCTGCCTGAGATTCCATGACTCATTTGACTGACGTCTCATACAGGAGCGGGAGTAACACCCGAATCATCCCGCCAGTGCACCGAGTCCCTGAAGCGTCTGGTCGGATCCAATTATGCTGTTTATCAGATCATGAAGTCGAGTGGGGCCACTCCGTTCCAAAGGAAGCATAGCGGCAACATCGGATAAAAGAATGCATCTTCTGTCGTAGTGCATGGGCCATTCCACGTGGACAAAACACCACGCATTGTCGCCTCGCCTATAGGGTTTCAAGTGGACGTAATGCATATGCGACGCGACGCACTTCAATCCCATGTCATCAGATGAAACGGCCCCGACTCAGAACTCGGCGCATTCTCACCAAGTGCTTTCTTAGGAATGGTTGGTGGGAAATTCGATGCGATGGAAAGACTCATCCGTTTTGGCCGGACCTTCAAAGCCCTCCCCGGAATCACTAGCGACATCCATCCCCGAACCAAAACGTACCAGTACCTATATTATCGGGACCCTCGAAACCATCGGCCAGCGCCCGGGGCATGCCGAATTTCAACATCCAAGATTGCCAACTCCGAGACGTCGATGACCTTCTGCAAGGAAGCAGTCGGAAAAGGAAACACCGCGAGAGCGAGACAATGGACTTCAAGACCGCCATTGCCATAAATACGGCCGATAACCACCAGCGCCCAACATCCCCATCCCCGGAACCTGAGACTACGCTAGAGAGAGAATAGGTAATATACAGGGACCACTTCCGCTTCAACGAAGTGACTACCTTTCCATGCCAGCACAACTACTGCTAGGGCTGTTTGACCAAACTCTTCACCGACCTGTTGACGGATCAGACACTGTTTCCACCTCGGTGCTGTGGCGACCCGATCGCGTTGGACAAGTGCCGTTTTCTTGGGCCACAACTGGTCGGGAGGTTTCTGGCTAAGAAGTTTCGGGAGTTCGAGACTCCCGACAGAACCGCCCAAATGCTACAGCAAAACAATCGATCTCGACGAGTGCCGTTTTCTTCTTGGGCCACAACTGGTCCACCACCGCCTAGAAGAGAACATGAAGACGTCAATCATTCGGGCGCTATTTACGTTGGGGACCGTGACAGGTGGCGTTCTGACCCTAGAAATGGCCAGTATACCTATACTGGGAATCTGCACCATATGACATCGGATGCTGCGTCCAGGATTCAATGTAAACAAAACATTGGATCAGACTAAAACTTCCAATGTTGATATGACATCCAATGTTGAACGCCCTATAAGCAAAAGGAAGGCTAGGTACCTCTAAGTACCTTATCTTCTAACTTCCAGAAGGCCAAAGTTCTCTAGAAGAACCAAGTCTTAAAGCCTAAAGTACTAATTCCTTCGCTTGGACCGGTTGGGTAGCCGGGGACGAATTCAAAAAGTTGGTCACGAAGAGGAATCGAACAAGGGTCACGAGCGCGAATGAAAATAATAAAGAACTACTTCATTAACCACTTGGCCACTAGACCAATTGGTTGTTTCTGACTTCGAAGTTGGTTCCTTCTGGTTATAAAGGGGAAGTGCGATGTTTGGAAAGGAAGGTAGGAAGGAGGGACTTTGAAACTTTGAAAACTTTGAAGTTTCGGACTCGACCTAGGTCTAGTTGCAATGCCCTATATTATAACGCCTTCAACTTAATGGAAGTTTTTCCAACATTAGAAGTCATGGAGGTACAGCCTGGACTTCCGATGTTACAGATTGGATTTTCCCGCTATGGTATCGAGGACCAACTGGGAGACTTCGCGGAGATCGTAAGGGTATCCAACAAGTTTCCAAAACGTCACGGTTCCCAGCCCGTACCGGTAATACGGAATTGTACGACTCTCGGCCGACAGCTTCACGCCCTCAGGACTATAAACATACCTATCGCGAGGATAAACGTATCTATAACTCTCGGTCAGGGCACGCAACTTATCCGCGAACCGAGCGCGTAATTGGAAGGTATAAGCAACCTGCCGACTATCGCCCGGAGGAGGTTATATCAAGCATCAAACGGCATGCCGACGGATATCCAAGTGGCAGCGTAAAGCGGCAAGAAAGAGTTCTGGGTATAGAGTACGTTGCTCGGGAGGTTTCTGGCTAAGAAGTTTCGGGAGTTCGAGACTCCCGACAGAATATACTGTTCCCAACCAACCAGCTATTTCTTCATACCGCCGCAATCGAGGAGGGGGGTTCCAATGCGAAGAATGTTACGACTGGCCACCACAATTCATTTATGAGTGCCGGCAATGTCGTATGCTCGCCTGCAGGAGATGTCGTTTCAACCGTCTTTGAAGTTCCTAATTGATCTGGACTCAGACGACCTATCCTGTTCGTACACTCTCAGGTCGTTCCTAGAATCAATGGGGACGGGTTATAATACTGCGAACATCTAAGGATCCCTTCTTAAGCAGACAAAACATTTTATCCCGGTGGACAAATCAAATAAATAAACTTCTATTTAGTTATATACATTGGATGTAACACCGTTAATAATGTATAAGATGCGTTCTTCAATGAAAAATGAAAAAGATATGCGTTCCAAGGTGTATGAGGCATTAAAACCCGGCCCCATTTCTCGAATAACTTGACTCTCAACTTGACATACTGTGTTACTTCTACCCGACGTTTTTGGGCCCCCTTCCAGAGAAGTTCGACAAGTTCAATAAGAGAATCTATCATCTCTTCCCTCGGATCGTGGACACTAGAATTTTGGATCACTCTGACGACTACCTATCCTACAAGTACAAGCCTTCGACTGAGCTCCTCTCTGCCGCAGTGGAAGAGAGAGGACCTCGTGTTATAGAGCTACGGGGACTTGAATATAAGGACAAGATGGCTAAAGAACATAGCCTCTACGGCTAGTACTCCAATCTCACGTTCCTCAAAGTCGCAATAAAGCAGTTGCAGAAGGAGCCATGGCTGAACAAAACCAGACCCCAAAAGACGTACGGGAGTATGAAGACTGGATAAAGGCGAAGAAACCAAGCAAGCTTTTCTTCACTCCCGACCCTTTTGCTCCCGACAGCGTTGTCAGTCGTCGATCCAGCATTTGTTCTTCTGTCGCTTCTGGCATGACTGGAAGGATGGTTAACACAGAAGAGAGGGGCACATACCGGTTTCAAACCGCAGTTGCATCTACTGTGACTTGATGGCGGCGCTATCAGTAATCGCGCATTTATCCGGACCAGATGGGCAAGTCTGCGTCTGGCCTACCTTTAGTCACATACAGCCAGCTTCGCCTCTCTACATTTCCCCGCCTCTTTTAGCTCTACATTCTGCCTAGTACCGAACCCTTTTCGAGCAGCTTCAACTTTGGCCTTCCTTGAGGAGACAGACAACGGAATGTCATGTCGGAACTCGGAACTGGCGGGTGCACATGCAGGCCTAGGGCACCCAGCGCTCCCTGTTATAGAGCACGCCTATCTTCCTGGCGTATGACCCATACTTAGACGGGATCGACATCAAGGAGGCCCTGTGGATGAGCATGACTATGGCAATAGCAATGTAGTTACCTCTAAATAGGAAGTACTCCCCTTCTGTTGGGAAGGAAGCCATCACGACAAGGAAGGTAGATAGCGATGTAGAGGAAGCAAGAGATTCCCAAGATGGCCGATTAGAAGCCGGGTTGGCTACCTAGTATGGATTCTCATGTATATAAACCGGTCTTCCCCCCGCGATGGAGGTCTTCGCTTCTTCCCCATTGTCATTACGCTTTTTCATACAACCCATTGGTTGCTTTCCTATTTTGCTTACAGACAAATGTTCTGAGATTCACATATTATGTATTCCCAGTCACAGATATAGACCATCAATAGCGACGACTGTATACACTTTTTTCCTAGACCTGGCATTCCTAGCTGCAACACTATACCGTTCCTTTCTTCCGGATTAGGGCTACTAGCCTGCCGCTGAATGACAGACGATGCAGGCACGGCGCCGGCGACATGTCGTTCACCGAGCCAGCGTGACGCTTGCCCCACTAGAGATAGGAGGCGACGCCGCAAGCTGCGGAATTCCAGGCGTCGTGGAGCATTTTGGTCAACCAGAAATACAAGTACTGGGACGATGAAGAACGTGGTTGAGAAGCAGTCTTGATTTGGATGCTGACAGAAGCATAGGAGGAACTGGTGGTGGCTATCACACCATAATGTGGCCCGTGACTCGGGGAGAAACCCCCTCTCGCCCAGCCTTCGTCGTTTTCGAGACTGCTTGAGTGCAATGTCTAGCTACGTTTTCTTTGCAAGTCGAATCGAGGCGAAAGGGAAGGTCGACAGAGACTGCCCGTGAAATTCGGTTCTGGTTCGCCTTCAGTCAGCTCAAAGTAAAGGAGGGATATTTTGTGGACGGTACCGACCTCGTTCTGTTGGCGAAAAACCTCGATGAGGTGAGGTTTATCCTCATGTTCTGCTTTGACTCGTAGGGGTGATGCATGGCATCAGTAACATCGACATCTTCCTGTAGTGTCGCCATGGTGTCCGTGCAAGTCGGTCACCTCCCTACTGACAAGGTTCAACATATACAGTGCGTGTCGACGTCGATGTATCACGTCGAGGGCCCGTCAAGCTCGTAGAGGAATCGCCCTAAACGTCATCCTATCAAGGCGACGGATACCTTCCTTCAGAACCCATGCTTTCAGGAGTCCGAGGAGTAGTGATGGCGGTGAGCATTGCGCTTACAGGAACAGGACGGCCTTTGTACGTCCCGGCCCTCAGTGGATCCGACGAAGGCATTGTGCCGTCCTGGCAGATGAACATTGACGGGAAGCGAAGTTCGAGCTGTGTCGGACGTGGACGTTAGTCGAGAAAATTACACGGTGCAACGTGGGAGCCCAGGAAATGACCTACGTCGTTAACAATATTGGCATACTTCAGCCCAACATGATCGGCAATGAACCGAAGCCGGCCCTTCACCCAAACGCGCTGCTCGTCAGTCGCCATATCATGGTTCTTGACACAAGTCAAGGCCCAAATCAGGAACCAAGCTGGAAGAGCCTTGATGGAATCCTCGTGACCGCAAGCAAAGCCGGAGCGATCAGTACCGTTGTCGAACAGGCCCGCCTGCTTGGTGTGCCATCCAAGATGGTAAGGGACCGAGGATATGACGTCGGCAATGGTGCCTTCACATATGGCTTTCGACCTGGCATACTCGGCAGTTGTGCGGTAGTCAGCGGGCGTGCTGAGCCATGCTGTTATGCGGATGTTGAGGGAGGCTAGTACAAGGCGTACGGTGCGTGCAGTGTTCCATATGCGGGCAGTCACAAAGTCGGGGTACATGTCGACACGGCCAGGGAATACTTCGAGCTTGGAGTAGTTGTACTGCCGCCCAGGTGATAGGCCCACCTCCTCGTCGGATAGCCAGCATAGCGTCTTGAAGCGTAGGTTTGGCGGCAGAGAAAGAAGCCAAGAAGCAATCTCTTGGTCCAGCAAACGCACTCGATGGGCCATCTGTTGCATCAGTTCGATATTACCGGCGGTCCGTGTTATGCCAGCCAATAGAGCAGCTGCCTCGGCTCGCAATTCACTGACTCGGAGGGCGAAGCGGTGCATGGCGGCGCTAGGCAAGAGATGGCCATCGCCCATGCCGTCCATCCACCAGTCGACCCCTAATGGCGGGGGCGTACCAGATGTTAGTGCGCGGCCGAGCTGTGAATGCCGTCAGTATGTGGTCGTCTCCGGGGGAAATCAGCATTCGTACCACTTGATGCCTCACTGCTTGGAACAAAAGCGTTCCAGTCTTGGTGCTGCGCATTTGTTCTCGGCCTCGCAGCTTGACAATCTGGATTGCCCCGTCAACGTGTGAACGCCATGCCAGCATGCGCGACTCCTTGATCGCCGTGATGCTCTGTTAAGCCAACCGTCAGCGATGGGCCACGCAGATGGAGAAAGTCCCAGTCGACAGACCTCGTACAAACCCAGCAGAAGCACTGTAGCGAGCGTTGCATCGGAATTGGCAGTGGCGGGGTTCCCCAAGGCAGCATGAGTCTTTGCCAGAGCCAGAGTGTGTTCCCGGAGAGAAAGATTGGCGAGGTTGAGACTGTTCGCTTTTTGTCTATTCCCGAGAGCAGCTATAGCACAGGCATTGAAGGCGCTTCGGAGGGCGCTATCGGGGGGTTCGGCGTCGATTAAGGGCACGAGGTAGTCCATATGACCATGGGGCATCTGGCCCAGCGGCACGTATAGGAAGTTGGAGGCAAAATAGCAGGCCGCGCGTTGAGCGAGGGGGACTGTGAGCGTCGCGGTAGGATCGGGCGTGTGTTGTCGCGTAGGAGTCGGACGAGGGCTCGGCAAGTGCGACGGCGGTGCTTCTTTCGGCGGCGTGGAGGTGGTCGCTACCGCGGTCGAGGTCGAGGGCGTTAACCCTAACTTGTTCATTCGGCGGACGGTAGACTTTGTCTGGTCACGGTGGACAATCTCGAATTCGTTTCGGTAGCCGGCGCATTCGCGCTTCGACTTTGCGCATTGCTTGCATGTTGGTTTACCTTCATCGCACTGCGAGAGGGGAGAGGTCAGTCAGTCAGTCGTCCGAGCAAGAGAAAGGGAGGGGGCGTGCAAGAGGACGACCTCGGACGACGTACCTTGATACGGCGAGCGCGACATGTTCGACAGCCCCGCGAGGGCTTTCCGCCGTAGACCATCTCGAATCGATCGACATAAAAGGCAACTGAGCTGGAAGATGGAGGGCGAAGGAGTTGACGTTGGATGAGAGGTTGACTTGTCGTCGTAGCATGAGGTGTGGTTCAGTGTGAATTGCCAGGGAAGGGAAATGCCGGCCTGGGGTCCTGTTTGTCGCCAGTTTTAAGTGTCTCGATGTGACGCTATACTGGGATTAAGGTTGGCGGCGGGGCCTGGTGGCCAAGCTGCGGGGCTCCTTCAACGGTCGCTAGGAATAAGATCGGCTCCTGTCTTTCAGTTTCACCACAATCACGCCGAAGACAATGGATGGCTGTCTCTGGCGTTCTACACTAGGGCTGCCGAGGTGGATTCTTCAGGGGATGTTTCAGCGCCAACGTTGCTTCGGCCGCTTCCATGGTGCTTACTTATGCTTGAACGTGGTGACGGTCCGGCTTCGTCCATCCTTTTCGTTCCTACCTTAGTACCTTGGCGACACCGTTGAAGATCATTAGCTCTGACTATGTACCATTCTTTGTGATCATCATATCCGCCTTTGAAAAGACTCACTCATGACCCAAGTGTATTCCGCTCCGTCGTGCGCTGCCATAGCTGGACGTGAGACCATCGACCGGAGTTGTCGTGTGTCCACTGCAGTGCTCGGCGTCACATCTCGCATTTGGGAAAAGACAAACCGCCCAGGTAAAGATCGGCCGACTACAAGCACGTGCTGGGAGCGAATGCGCGGTACGAGTTCGTATAAGCGGTGACACCGTAACGAAAGGAAACATGGATTAAAGCCGGAGAATGGCCGGCGCACCGAGTGCTCGAAACTGTCAGATTTACTGGTGATTGATTGATTCTGTGTGTTCTGATTCGAGCGCTCTGGTATAGGGGTTCTGGGGGTATCCCATATTTATTAAGACCTATTAAATCAAGTGGCTGGGACTCTAGCATCTAGCCTACATCTGGCTAGAATACTACCCTAGAATCTAATATACTCCCTTACTTACAAACTTCTTTTACCTCTTTGAGGTTAAAAGTAAAGCTATTTATATATCATTCTCGTCGTTTTATATTTCTAATCCTAATATTTTATCTAAATTATTAAAATCTACCTCTCCTAGTACTAAATTATCTTCTCCTCTATTATCTTCCCGCAATAATACTTTAACTATCCCTAATAATTCCTTAAATTTCTTATACTCCAAAATACTTAGTGCCTTTATTAGTCTATTTGTTAGTATTAATTTTATTTCTAAATATTCGATATTAAAGGTCTTTTTTTCGAAAATCTCTCCTCTTAACTAATATTTATAAATATTTACGTACCTTATTTTTATACTAAAGGTAAACGTTTCCTCTATAAGTACCTTAATAGTTTATTAATTATTATAATATAGGGTAGGAATAGGATCCTTTAATAAATTTACTCCTAACACCGATATTAATCGGTTTATAAATAGGGTTTCCTGAATTACTTTTTCGATTATGTATAATTCTGCTTTTATTATTAACGTAGTAACCGCGGTCTATTTAATTATTTCCTAGTAAATTAAATTACTATATAGTTTAATTGTAAATCCTTAGGAACTTTTATAGTTACTCTTATTATTAATAAACGAGGCATTAAAAGTAATTGCGGATTTATTATTCTCGCTAAAATAGAGTATTTATATTTTTATTATTTTTAGATATTGTATAACCTTCTTGTTCGTTATTAAGTGAGTAAAATTGGGATTATAATTATATTTAGCTAATTCATTTGATAGGAATATAATATTTAATTGAATACTAATTACTACGTATAATAAAGAACTTATATTAATTTAGTACGTTCGTATCTCTACGTAATTGATAGTACCTTTATAAAGAAGTAATTCTTTATGCCCTATGAATATTAAAAGTTAGATAGTAATTAGATTTAAGTAATTTAGTAATCTTATCGATATATATTTTTTAAAATAATTAAATTTCTCCTTAATTTCAATTACATATAACTTTAATACCTAAAAACTATTAGAATTTATCTCCTCCTATTAAGTAGTAGTATAATTATAATTTTATCATATATTTTTTAACTTCCTCTATCTTATTTTTACGTTCGATAAAAATAATATGATTAATATAGTATAGTATAAAAATACTATCTTTCTTTATAATATATAGGTCTTCGGGGATCGCTTCAAATCCTATTGATTTAAATACCCTACTTAATTCTTATTATTATAGTAAGGGAGATCGTCGGAAACTATATAGGGTTTTAATAAATTTAAGAACTTTTTTAGGTATTTAATACCCTAGTGGTATACGTATATAGATTTCCTTATTAAAGTAAGTATTTACGAAAGCGTTAACCCCGTCGTATTAAATAAATTAAAGGTTAAGGCGAATAGTAAGAGCGATAATAGTACGAAATAATCGACCCGTGAAGGTAAATGCATACGTATTAATTCTTATCCTTTTCTACTAATTATTTCTTATGACGAGCCTCGCTTTTACCTTATTAAATGTCCTATTCTTATTAAATCTGTAAGTATAAACCGATATGTAATTGAGCATTTAGTTATATTTAGAGTAGGGGATATCTTTATTTATTTCGATTTATGATTTTATATTTTTATAGTTTTTAAAGTAAACTTCCTCTATTTCTTTAAATTATTAGCTAAGTATATAGTTATTTAGATTATAGTATTTTCTAGGTATTAGTAGGAAATTATATTAATATACCCTATTAAAATAATTATATTTTGTGATTAACCGTTCGATTTCCGCCTTAATAATTATTTTTTTCGTTTATTTTAATTATTAGTTAGATTAATTTACTAAAGTTAAAAGCGGTTTCCTATAATTTTTAATAATAATTATATTAATCGATAATTCGATCGATAGAATAGCCGGTATAGAGTACGATTAGCGGGGTAAATAGAAGCGACGGGTATAAATTTATAATATATATGAAAATATTTTATTGTTAGTAGATTATTAAATTAAAACTTTTTATAGTTAATTACTTTTATTTTAGGAGGTTTCTTAGTTCCTTTAATAATTCTGTTAATTTTAATCAAGGAGATTTAATAGAAGAAGTTTAATATTACCGTTATTAATATTATTTAATAGTATATAGCCATCGATATAAAATAGTTCGGATATTTTCGAAAGTTAATTAGTAAGTTCATTTATTCTATTAAATAAATTAGTAAGCTCTTTATTAATAATTTTAAACTCGTTTTTAAATTCTTTTAATATTTAAATAATAAGTAATTTTTTCGTCCAATATTACGTCCCTAGTTTAAACGATTTAATTTATATAGGGATTCTATATATAATAGATAGAGGTCGTTGAATAGCCGATAAAATACCTGATCTAAGCCTTTAGGTTATACTTTTGAAGGTTTTATTTCTTCCTTTAAGTAGCGTTTATTATAGTAAATACTTTATATTTATAAATTCGAAGGTAGTTTAGATTTAGTTTATATAATTTTTATTAATTGTATTAGTTTACGATATAGGTATAAAATTATTGGAAGGGGGATTTCTAATTATATAAATAATAAGGGGAACGATTAATAAAATAAACGGCCGCGCCAATAATCTCTAATTATAAATCTTCTAGTATTTTTGAATTTAATAATATTGTATAATATTTCTCTTTAATTATACCCCTTATACGTTCTACCCCTCTATTTTATATTTAAATATCAGGAATAGAAGGTTTGAAAACCGTATCATACTGGGCGAATTTATTTTCAATCTTATTATTTATAAATTCGTTATTATATTCGACGGTTTTAACGTTAATATTATATTGGTATTTAAATATTTAAATATAGTTAGGTAGGGTATTAATTATCGTAATAACCTTTCGGTTCGATAGGTAGTAATCCTAGATCAATCCTAACTATTGATAGGTAATTAGAAAGAGATAGCGTAATCCTTTAAGTCCTAATTTGAAATCGAGGAAATTAATAGCGAATCTTTCTCTTAGACTGTAGTTTTAGTCTTTCGAAACGCGGCTAATTTATCGTTTTATTTTTACTATACTATATACATCGTATTTAATTAAAAGCATATTATATAGTTGTATTTCGTTAATATTCTATAAATAGTCGAATTCTTAAAGATTTAGGTAGTCGAACTATTAATATTATATTTTTACTAGTTATTTCGAAGGTCGTTACATATATAAATTAATTTAATAATAGCGCGCTACGAATAAAGTTTTAATAAATAAAAGGTGGATTATTTTAATAATTTTTAATTATAAATAATATCCAAATAGTAAAAGAATGAATCGTTAGCCTTCTTTAAATAATTATTTAGTAGTCGATAATCCTAATAGGAACCCTATTTTCGTAGTTAGAAATAAGAAATAAAGTTAATAGTAAAGTTAGAGCAAAAGGTGACTTCTATTATTTATAATTTTAAGGGATTATTCTTATTCTTAATAACGATATCGACCATCTTAAACCTTTTACTTTCTACTTAAATGTTATTAACTTATAAAGAATTATCTAAATTAATATAATAAAAATAAAAGAAACGAATAATTTTATTAAATACGCAAAGCGAATTATTTAAATTGAATATTATTGAATTTTTAAGAGGGCAAATTTTATTTCCAATTTTCAATACTCAGTTAATTTAGAAAATTATTTTGTAAGTCCGATTTAATAATTACGCTAATACTAATTTTTTCTTCTCAATTTTCTCTTCCTTCTTAAAGAATTTAGTTACTTCTTTAATAAACTTTAGATTTTTCGTAAAATTAAGTTTAATAATGCATTTAATAGAAAGGTATAGTCTAAAATATAAAGGCTTCGTATTTAAATTAATATATTAATAATTTTTAACAGAATAATAACTTTTTTTATATATTTTATATATTTTACTATTACTCTTCTTGTATAATTAAATTTCGGATTTATCCGATAGGAGTTTTCTCTTTCTAATACTAAAGTCTTTTAATTTTTTATTCTTACTGTCGTAACGAGCGTCTTTATTTCTAATATTATAACTTTCACTATTATATTTTTGGCTATTATATTCAATATTAGTCTTATTAGCGCTAAAAGTATTACAATAAACTCCTCTTCTTTTAATAGCGACCCTACGACGAGCGCTATCAATATTATACCGTTTAAAATTCTTATAGACCTCTATATATTTAAAAATATTAGCGGCTATTTCTTCATCAAATTTCTAAACGCTATTATATTATTTAAATTAAATAATCCTAACTACGTTAATAAAGTCAAAGTACTATAAATTCGTAATAAAAATCTTGCTGATTTTTTTATTCTACCTATTATTTATAATAGTAGATTAGGTTTGTAATTAATTAATTGAATTCTCAAGTTCCTTCGTAAAAACAGCAACAGTTTTATAATATATTTTCTTTACTTTAATTTAATCGTCAACTACTTTATAATTCATTATTTATTTAAAATTTCAATATCATTCATTAGTATTCTATTCTTCCTTTATAATTTAATTTATAGTCCGTAGTTAATTATTAATTTTATTTAGGTACGTATAACCTTATTACTAACTACGATTTCCTTCTAATTTTTCTTATTATTGGGATAGCAGTTGACCTCTAATTTGTACAGTTATTTATTAATAAGGTCGTCTTTAGGAATAAAGATATCGATTATAATTTCGTTTCGGTCGTAATATTTAATAGGTTCTTTATAGCTAATCCCGTCTAGGTAGATAACGGTTTAGGAATTAATACCGCTATCGAAACGTATGAACTCTACTTTGGTATTATTAATGCGAGTTCTAACTTCCTTCATTATAGGCTAGTAATTAGGATAAGGCTATTTCGGGGCGGATAGCTTCTTAGTCTTTCTTTAAAGCTAATCCTTAAAAATATTAGAGATATATTTCGATTAGAGTATAGGTTCCTATCGCGATTAGTTGTCGCTGTCTTTGAGGTAAGCGACGTTTTTTTTCGTTTCGGTAGGTTTTGAGAGTAATATTGTGAGAGTATCGTTATTATATTATTTATTATTGATTCGTAATGCTAATTATTATATTAATATGGCGTGTATTAGATTATTAATTATTAGATTTATTAGTGATTGATTGATTCTATGTGTTCTAACTCGAGCGCTCTAATATAGGGGTTTTGGGGGTATCCTATATTTGCTAAGACCTATTAAATCAGGTGGCTAGGACTCTGGCATCTAGCCCACATCTGGCCAGAATACCACCCTAGAATCTGATAGAAACCCCCCGAAAGCTTGCATTTACTGTCCATATAGCGGTCCATTCCTGACCGGACCCAACCCCGCCAATCGGTGCAGTTCCTATAAGTGGAGCTTCCCGCCCGGATCGACCCCCGGCCTGCCGAGTGCCGAATGCCGATCGGTCACGCTCGGCCATCACTTCCGGGATCCGGGACCGGACACGTTCGAGGACTCGGTGTTACCCGCATCACCCACTGTCACTGACCATTTGGATCATGAAAACATGTTTGGCTGTGATTATCATTACTGAGAGCAAGCCAATGTGCCCCTACGCTAAAGATAGAAGTATCTACGACTAGGTATCTATGACCGTGGAATGGTGTCAAGCCCCTTTTCCTAGGCTACAGGCGCTATGATCCTGTAGTGTAGAGGTATTTTAACCAAACGCTCATGCAAGATGCCCTTCCCTGAAATACAAGGTGAGCAAAGGTTCCCGTCAAAGTGAAGACCTTTTAACATGTAGCAATATCCCACAAAAGTGGAATGCTGGTCCCTTTTCCAGCTGCTGATGTTCACGCCGTTCTCTGCAGTTGAGAGACTCTTCCGACCTAGTTCGGGTTTCCTGCTGAATATTTATTTCCTTCGCTGTGATCGGTTTCAGGTTGCTCGTTGTCAAAAATAGCACCAAGAGGTATCGCTTCGGCTCTGGCTCCAGCTTCCTCTTCACTCATACCGATACCATCTTCCGAAGGTTCAGCATTCTACTCGTCCTCTCCGGTATACCTCGTATCAAGCGCCCTGCGGTCGAATACCATGAAATTGAACACGCCCTCCAGGTCCTTCTCCACCCTTCCCAACCTGCCATGCGCCTCCGCCATTCTCTCCGCCATCCTGTCCACCGGATTGGCATCTACCAGGGCGCGCACATACAACATCCAGAAAGGGGCCACGGGTTCCATCTTGCTCATGTCAGGCACCATCCAGTTCGCTTGATCGGGAACTTGAACAAGCGGCGCGGGGGGATTCGGAAGGTCGTTGTACTGCCTCCACAGAACAAACTCGAGGTTGTTGTTGTCCCACCAGTGGTACGTCTCTTCCACGTACTCGTTGGCCACGGAGAAGCCGGAATCGGCCATGTGCTGCTCGAGCAAGGGGCCGGGCTCGCCGATGTCGATTTGTTTGCGCTGCATGACCGTCTTGGGGACTCTGGGGTTGGGAGGGTCGGGGAAGTCATCGAAGCGCAGAATCCTCTCGAATTTTTGCGTCTGCTCCGACATGGGCACCGGCTGACCAGCAGCCATGGCGGCCTCGACGTCTTGGGTTACGTCGACACGTTCAGTCAGCATGTATTGCTGCCTAGACAGCGTCGAGTGCAGGTCCTGCCATTGCGGTAGGCTGTCGGGCTTGGGGTTCGAGGACTGCAGGGACCTCAGGATGGGGATGCCCCGGATGGATTGGTCGAGGCGACGCACGTGCCGGACACGGGTGAAACGGTGCGTGACGGGACGCGTCTCGGTGTAGCCGTGGAGGACCGAGCGGGCTTTGGTGGTATCGGCCGAGGGCACGACGGTGATGAGGAAGACTTCGACGGGCATTTTGAATCAAGACCAAAGGAAGGATTCCGATTGGTAGGAGGAAGGCAAGGGTCCCTGACAGAGAGGTGCAGCTCAAGTTGGGACGGGAAGAGGAAGTGTTGGCGGAAACGGGAGCTTGGGCCCGGATGCCGTAACGGAAATGTCCACTCGTTGGTCCGGCGTGCCCCACTATGACGATCCGTGGGGGTTGTTTCTTGTTGACTTGTCGATGTCGTGTGTTACCGGTACCTAGCTCGGTGCTGGGTGTCGTACAGAGAGACAAGAAGACGGGATCTGGGCGTGGGAGGATGAGTCTAATATACTGGCGAATATGCCGAATGATGGTACAAGGTTTCGTGGGGGGGGATCGATGGCCTTGACAATCCATAAATGGGAGGGGAAGAAAAGCGACGGCAAAGAAAGGCAGAGTTGGAGCTTGAAGCTTGAGGTCCTAAAATATTCCTGGACGGGACTGACCAATCATGTGACTCAAATTGCCTTGAAGTGGGGTCTTGCCCTAAATCTGCATTGCGGCAGTGCCTGCCGGCGGAAAAATGAGCACTGAAGCATTCACCGCGGTCGGTAAACACCTGCCAAGTTTCAGGGCATCAAGCCCCTGACAAACTGCTGTCAATTCGTCCCTTTCCCTTTTTTCACTTGAGGTTCACTTCCATCCCGTCTTCCACTTTGTTGCGGTTCCCGTCTTTTTCAATCAAACACATTCGACCTGATGTTCACCTGCACCGACGCCTTTCGAACACGGCGGATGGATTTCAGATGTCTCCCGACCTTGATTGAGCAAAGATGGGCCTCACTTAATGCTCATTACTCCAAGACCCCAAGTTTCAGCACAGCATTTCCGGCGCTGGAGCTGAAGGTTGAACCTGGCGATGCCCAGGTTTTGTGCGACACGGAAGACATTAATGAGGCAGAGCTACCTTGACCAATGAAACTCGAGAGATTAGCCGCTGGACGAGCTTCTGCTGTACCCGTGGGTGTGAGGCAAGAGAGTGGGTGTAGCGAGACAAAGGCCGACCTCACACCCACGGGTACGCGGCACGGTTCGTTGGGGTCTATCAGACATGAACCAAATATCATGCGTCCATTCGCTTTCCAAGTGTAAAGCTTCCAGTTTGTTATCCTTGTGTTCCGCTCTGCTCTCTTTTCATCCAGACCTCCACTTTCTTTCTCTTTCCCGGTCTCCTTCAAACCCAGATCTCCCACGATATAATGGAGGACCCTGACTTGATCAACGCAAAATACTACAACCCGAGCCATTCTAATCTAGAAGTGGTATATCCGCAGGAGCAGGGACAGGCTCGACGCTTTGGGAATCTTCACTCTCATGCTTTATCCGGGGTAGAACGCAGACATGAGCAACAACCCCAAAGCACAAAACTGCTTGGATTGTCAGTGCCAGTATTCTGGACGGTGGTCATTGGGTTGGTCATCTTGCTCGCTGGAGCCATTGGCGGAGGCATAGGCGGCGGCCTGGCTGCAAGCCAACACGCTTCACAGTCAGTACAGGTCCGGTCGACAACTTGCTACTAACTAACCGCTATCCGACCACACCCATAGGGCATCATCATCATCATCCTTCTCCATCTCCGGGTCAAATATCTCACCGACAACAATAGCAACAAGTCAATCAGACTCAGCCTCTCCTCCACTTACGATGACATCACCGACGACCACCACTAGCACGCAGTCAACCGCCTTCGGTCCTTCTCCCGCTCCAAGCGACAACTGTCCCTCCGTTAACGGCACCAATTACACCCCCCTCGATGCCTCGGGAAATACCATGTCCGTAAAGATCAACCCGGGCGGCCCCACAAAGGTCCAATCCTTCGTTCGCATCTGTAACAGAAACTATCCGGCCGGTGCACCTTACGGCAACCCAGACACTTTGGACATTATGAAACTTTACCTGCCTACGCTGGAAGCGTGTATCGATGCTTGCGCAACGTACAACATTGTCTACCAGGCAAACAGGCCGCAAAGACCGGGAGGGGCACAGGATGAAGCAGACATGGGCCTGTGTAGGAGTGTTGCTATAGCAAAGGCTGGTGAGTGGCACCAATACATTTGTACATTTGCACACAAACTTCATTGGTCTTGATCAACGAAAGGGAACATCCGACTAACACCATATGCCATTACCGTTCGATATCGACAGAAGGCGGATATTGCTACCTCAAGAACGCAACGGGGAAGGACAACACCTTTGGGGAACCGGAGAAATGCTCGGTTGGCGTTTTGCTCCTCTAGAAACAGACGATACCTCATGCGTTCAAAGACATACCGCTCTGTTCAATGGCACTGTCATGCCTACGTGTTCCCCAACAGAACCGAGGCCTTTTGTGTTGGTTCGGCAGCATTCCAACGGTTCGTGTTGGCATCAAACTTTTGACAAAGACTCGCTATTGGGACATTAATTGCGTTCGTTGACCGCTACATTGGATTACAGAACAAGACCATTTGAGGGGCTGCAAACCATTCGAGAGATGTACATATAAGAGTGAGTTGGAAAGTAGCTGCGTCAGAGCCATACTTGATTGTTCTTGGCAAGCCTCTCCCGTTCCTCCCGCCCCTCCCGCCCTCGGCCAACATTACAAGTAGAGGCACCAATACACAGCTTTGCTATCAAGTTCGCATCTAGAACCCTGCAGACATAGCAGCAAAGGACCTCAAGTTCTGAACATTTGCGTCCGAATCCACACAGAGTTCAAAAAGATACACCCTCTCAGCACCGCCAACATGTTCTCCCAAAGAATCTTCGCCGTCATCGTCTTCCTCACCGCCACCGCCATCTTCTCGGCCTCCGCATCTCCTGTTGCCTCTCCATCCCCTGTTCCGGAAGATGTACCACCAGGTCTCGTCATCCTCAAACGGACCACGACAGCCGACAACGGCACCCTCGCCTGGTACGGCCAGGCCGCAAACGCTACCTCATACAGGAACGAGACCACCGCATACAAAGGCCTCGACTGCCGCAACGATCAACGTGAACTCACATGCCGGGACGACTTTGCCGCCAGCCGCGATGCCTGCCTCGACGTCACAAACACGCTCACGGGCGATAAGTTTAAAAAGAACACGCGATCCATTTGCAAAACGGATAACAAGGGCGACCAGTGTTGTATATCCTGGCAGGATGGAGTATCTGAGGGTGAGCACACAACATTGAAGGGCCCGGCAGAACAGCTGATTTTTCACTGCTGGTTTTTTAGGGATGGGAAATATATGGTGAGTGGGCTGACGCGGAATACCCGTGTAGGATGGGGGAAGGGAAGGGCATGTACGGTGCAGTGTTTGAGTAATAGGCCTGATGGGTGTGTGTAGAGGAAGGAAGAAGGGATGGGGTAAAGCTCTAAGAGGGATAGGAGGAACTGAAGAGGGTATGGAGAAAAAAAGACAGGAAAAATCAGGAGAGACGATAAGAGAAGGGAGAGTAATGATAGTAATGGATGAACATTGACCGAAATTGGCATGGGTTGGCGGGCCATGTTACTGACACTGGTAACACCAATGCAACATGTGCGGCTCTCAACTGTCAGCCTGCACCAAGTGATCCTTCAGCAGGCAACAGAATGAAAGCATCTCAGGATCCTTCGTGCACGATCTTGTGCGGCTATAACTGGGTCCTTGGGAGTTACCCGAGGCCAAATGATATGTCCGCTAATGGCCTTACCATAGGTGCCCGTGGCAGCTACATGGGTTGGAGCCGGGGTTGGGGGAGACTTACTCAGCACACTCACTCCAGACTCAAGCTGCCGAATGAGAAACCAAAGCGTCTCGGAGTTTAGCTACCACGGAAAAACCCATCACGGGGCATAAGAAGGATACAGGGGTCCGTTACCCAGCAATATTGGCTTGAAGGATTGAGGCTCAGTAAGCTATCCATGTCAACCAACGTTTAAGACTCTTGGGACTTCGCCTTGTGACCGATGCCCGGATGTTCAGACCATCATCATCACCAAACTGAGCTTCGCGATGACACTCGGCAGTATCTTGGCTAGGTCGAAGGGGTGTTGACTCTTTGTCATGCACCCTTGCCGAGAGGATCCCACACCAAAGTTCTGGAGCAGAGAGGATTTTTTTATGACAGGTGCAGCTCCGGCCGGGTCTCCGGTCATAGCGAGAAGATTCGTATATAAAGGTTAGAATCGCCGCTCGAGTTTGGTCTGAAGATCTCACCTTCATCACCATCCTCTACGACAAAAGCCTTAGCAGTAGCCTCAACCCACCGCTTCGAAGCCTTTCAACCGGTTAGCTCAAGACCATCTCTCGACACTCGAAGCCGGAACTAACACAAGTCAGCCAAACACCACTCAAAATGCTTTCCAAGAAGATCCTTGCCATTGGCGTATTCCTCGCCTCCATGGCCTCTGCCACTCCTGTTCCGGTTCCCGCTGAGGACGGTCTCATCATCATCGAGCAGACCGAGATCGAAGACGGGACCATCACCTGGTAAATCAACCCCTCCCCTCCTCCTCATGCCCGTACTTTCCTCACTAATCCCTCTACCACTAGGTACGGCGAGGGATCTACCCCCATCACCGCCCGCTCCCCCGTGTCACCCGAGCTCCACAAACGCTGCGGCTCCAACACCGTGACCTGCTCCGGCTCCCACAAAGCCTACCAGCCCGTGTGCATCAACTTGATCAACAGTCTTTCGAGCCAGTCCATCCCGCAGTCTCCTCGCTCGGTCTGCTTGAGCCAGGGGGGCAACCAGTGCTGCATCAGCTGGGCGAACGTCGTCCAGGATGCGCAGTTCTGGTATCTGCAGTCCGCGGCCTGGAAAGCGCTGAATGGCTGTGTTAGCAACAACCATGTCAGTGGATTGACCAGAGATACATTGATTGGAAATACTTGCACTACTCAGTGCCTGTCTGATCGCGCCAGCGGTTGCTCCTAGATCGGGGATAGAAGACTCCGCGTTTGAGAGACCGCTGAGTGACCCTGCGGATTGACATGGAACGGATGCAATTTAATCTGGGGATGTTGATGTTGGACAGAGGGGGTTCAAGGTAAATCGAAAGGGAAATGATGGAGAAGGACTGGAAATGGGCTTGTACACATGAAATGGACGTCATTCATTCATCAGATTCCTGGTCTACCTTAGGAATGATCAATTCTCGTCGATGGACGCCGCCTTCCCATTTCAACTCGTTGTACGCTGAATCCACTGTGCTGTTGGACGCCGGGGCCCGAGTGACACGCAGCGGAACCAGTTGACCTAGACCAGTCGCTCATCTAGAGCATATGTTTCCGTGGCCGTATCTGTCGTCGTGCGGCATCTTGTCTGCTCCGCGAATAGCGGAAATGGTGCTATGATCGGTTTGCGATTGGTGAAGCTGGTCGACCACATTGCAGTCTTGGCACGGAAGGCGGCTAGCACTAACAATTCAGGGCCTCCCGATGACTCACCGGAGATATACCATGGACATGGTGAAATTGCGTGGAATTGATGCTCAGACGTCTCCGGTGGAGATACAAACCGCAAAGAAAACAGTTTGAAACCTTGTTCGTATTTCCTGGTGTTGAAAGAGGCGAGTGTCCTCAGCGAGTTGGCGAGTTTGTTAGTGCACGCCACCAGGGCCACGTATCACGGAGCGGGGTCAGGAACAAAACCCGCAACCCGCTATTTCAGGGGGCCGGCGCCGACTTCCCCCGCACATCTTCCCTTGATCCCGTCTTGAATCCGAGACCGAGATCAACGTCGATCCGGATCCTGTGCACCATTGCATCACCGGCGAACTGTTGTCAATGATCAGACCAGGAGCAACACCATCAAAACCGTCGCAAACATGGGATCGCACCAAGTAAAGGCCCAAGCGTTCTACGGCGCCGTCATCCACTCGCTGTCAACGCCTGGCCATGACCTTGAGATCCTTCCTTCCGCCCTTTTGATCGTTGAGTCGCAAGGCGTAGTCACTTCATTTCACAAGGATGTGAAGCCGGGAGAGGTTGAAAGCCTCGTGTAGGTTGACCTCCTCTTCACCTGGTGCACCGCATCTCGCCCAACAACAGGTCAAAAACCGAGAGATGAGACTCATATCAGTCTCACACAAGTCAACTACTAACACGCCTCCTAGAGATACCACCGCCACAACCCTCCACCGCCTCTCGCCCTCCCAATTCCTCATTCCCGGCTTCATCGACACCCACAACCATGCCCCTCAATGGGCCCAGCGTGGCCTCGGCCAAGGCCAACACATCCTGGACTGGCTTTCCGCAATCACCTTCCCCAACGAAGGTCGCTTCCGCGATCCCTCCCACGCACAGCGTATTTACTCATCGGCCATCGACGGCTTCCTTCGACAAGGCATCACCACCGCTTCCTACTATGGCTCCATTCACCCCGAGGCAACCAACATCCTCGCCGATCTCTGCTTGGCCAAAGGCCAGCGCGCATTCGTAGGGAAATGCAACATGACGCGCAACTCCCCCGACTACTACCGCGATGCGTCCATCGAGCAGTCCCTCCAAGACACAGAATCCTGCATCGCCCACATTCGGAAGATTGACCCCGAGGGAAAGCTATTGAAACATGTCCTCACCCCGCGCTTTGCCATCTCCTGTGACGCCGAATGCCTGGCTGGCCTCGGGCAAATAGCAGCCAAGAACCCCGACCTGCCTATCCAGACGCACTTCAACGAAGCGGAGCAGGAGATCACCGCCACCCGCGAGTTCTTCCCCCAGTTTTCCTCCGAAGCAGATCTCTACGCCCACTACGGTCTTTTGACCAAACGATCCATCCTTGCGCACTGCTGTTACATGACCCCCTACGAGTTCGACAGGCTCAAAGAGTTGCAGTGCGGCGTTGCTCATTGCCCGATAAGCAACATGACGGTGGGCGGCGGGTTCATGGCCGCTCCGATTCGGGAGTTTCTCAACCGGGGGATCAAAGTCGGTCTGGGGACTGACAGTGGAGGAGGGTTTTCGAGCTCGATGCTGGATGCGATAAGGCAGGCGATGATTGCTAGTCATGCGCGGGAGGTTGAGTCGAAGGGGAGAGATAAGGGGTTGAAAATTGCGGAGGTGTTTTATTTGGCGACGCTGGGAGGGGCCGAGGTTTGTTGTCTCGAGGGGAAGGTGGGGAATTTCGAGGTGGGGAAGGAGTTCGATGCGTTGGTAGTGGACTGGGAGAGAGACGGGGTGATGACAATGGTGGAGGAGGAGGACGGGTTGGGGACGGTGTTCGAGAAGTTCGTGATGACGGGGGATGATAGGAATATCGTGAGGGTGTTTGTGAAGGGGAGGGTGGTGAGGGAGGTGGGCATATGAGGGTGGCGGATGATGAGATCCACCTGGTTGAGATGGGTCCTTCGTGGATGTTGGAAGGAATAATGTTTTTGGGGCAACAATGAGGTGAGAAGCTGGAGAAGCTTCGCCCCTGTCGATCACAGCGATGTTTGAAGGAGATGGCGAGAAAACACAACGAGAAGTACTGACCATTACACTACAACCGCTTCGATGTGGAAGCGGCGCTGTTAGGTTGTTTTTGTTCATAAGGCCTGCTCCATCCACTGGTACATTGTCTCCTTCCTCCATGCAGCCACAACTCTGTCGCCAGTTACCACCTGCGCACAGCACAGAATCTGTCTGCGCATTGCTTTCTCATCCCGTCCAAGACGACTTTTCCATGCGATCTCTGACATTTGAACGGTGATGGGGCCAAAAACCCGCGAGTACTCCAGTCTGGTAGCCCAAGGCGCCCGATGGTAGCCGAAAGTTCGGAACAATCGAGGGATGTCTCGACCAACCTCAGATAAACTGGGAAAGAGCGACCAGCAACCACATCCTGAACCCTAAGTAGCGCACACGGAAACCCAAGAAAATTGCAATTCTGGAGCTTGGTCGGTTACCTCCTACAACTTTGTCCAGGAGCCAAATCCGACGTTGCATCAGTCTCAAACCTTAACGAGTCAACGTCAACGAGACGACCGGTCTTCGGCTTCGCATAGGCCTAGGTACTCATCCCTGCTGTCGCTTCCATTCGTCCTTGGAAGATAAGTCCTTTCGCGCATCGGCTAACAACCGAGCTGTCCAACTACAGGTGTCTCGCTATTCACGCCCGGGTTCTCCATCTCTCCACGACCAAACAATGTCCGAACCTCGCCAGACCGCTATGTCTCCTTCTCCCGAAGCAAAGCTCGATCCCAACCCCGGCACCGAGTCTGATCAGGCCGGACAGGCCCCAGCCCCGCCCGGTCCGTCGCTTGGCCCCGAAGCCTCCGTGTCCAAGCCCGAAGAAGTGCCTAACTGTCCGCCGATGTCCCCGATGACCAAGACCAACAACGCAATGAGAAGGAGGAGTCCAGACTCTCCAAGGTCCGCCGAGATGCAGAAGAAAATTACAATGCGCTTACCGGCCTTTTTCTCATCTCTCAGGCCATACTGGCAAGGCCAAACCGCGAGCATCTTCCTCGCGAGCTCATCAACGCTATGCGCGACGACCACCTGCTACAGATCAAATACAGAGAAGTTTGGCTCAAGTCAATTGAACTGCAGAGGAGGAACGAAGAGTTCGACAAGGACCTGGCAAAACTCGGGGAAAGGCGTGTCGAGTTGATTAAAGACATGCGAGAACTTAAAAAGAAGAAGCAGGCTCTGAACATCGAGTCAGATGGGATTAGGGATAGGTTTGCGGCGTTAGGAACGGTGGGTAATGTGAATTTCAGCGAAAGGTTTCGGAGATAGAGATGTTGGGGATCCGTTTGGTGGATGGTAACGAGGGTTGAGATTATGACATGAGCAGAGCATATGTATCCATTATCCTATCTTGGAACATGCCTACTTCAGTTCCAGACCACGAGGATCAACAACGGCACGTAAAGAATCAGAGCACTTGATTTTGAGGAGAAGTTGACCTTATAGCTACTACCTAGGTATGTAGTCCTTCTTTGTTTCCTTCTTTATTCCCTTTCTTCCTTTCATCTTTATTCCTCCCGTACTTTTCTGTCTACCAACCTTCTTTTTTTCTTTCCCTTCCTCTTCTCCCCTTCCATTCCTTCCTTTTTAGGTAATTTGCCGGGGTGAGTGGGGTCTTCCAAAAAGAAACCTCATGATCATTCAAGCTACTGCGCAGCCTTGACCGCGGCCCGCCCCGTCCGGGAGAGCGATCCCTCAGTTGCCATGAACAAGCTGCAGATCCTTCCTCAGCGTGAAGTAATAAATACTCTCGCAGTCACGATAGGGAATAGCCAAACCCCTGGGCTTGCTATCCTTGAAACCCTGGTAGACGAAGGTGTCGGAGGTCAAAAAACTATTTCCACCAATCCATGTTAGCCATCCTTCTCAATCACACAGATTCATTCCACCCTTTATCCAACTCCCTCCAACATTCATAGCAAAAAGGTAGGGAAAAAAAAAAGAAAAAAAAAAAAAAAAAGACAACTCCCCCAACCTCGGTAAACTCCGCCTGCTTCTGCGCATCCTTGGTGATGTTCCAGCTCAACATGTTGTTGTAGTTGATAAACAGGCATCCCTGCACGCTGCCCTCCCAAACATGGAAGATGCCGTCGTCGTCGAAGCGGTCCATCAGGCAAAGGGAGTCGTCCGGAGGGAGGTAGTTGAGGTCGTGGCAGTTCTTGTCGTCTTCGCAGATCTGTTGATTTCTGTCAGTAGCTGTTACCTTAGCAAGTCACCCAGAACCAAGGCAGCAATGGGGACAGACAGGGAAGAGTTAACATACGATAACCAAGGAATCAGTTCCATGACCCCAGTTGGGTCTCTTCTGGCAGTTGAAGAAGTGAATGACCTCGTTGTTGCCGCCCGTCCATTTGGGCGGGTCCTTCCTCGCGTTCAAGGCCAAGCCCTCGGCCTCACGCTTGTTCAACGGACGGGTGTACGCAGCCAAAGCGTCTTCCGGGCTGAGAGGGACATTGGGGCTGGTGCTAGCGGGATCAGCCGGGCTGGGAGCGGCCAGGACGAAAGCGGCCGGGTTGAGAAGGCTGATGAGGAGGGTGCCGCTGACGACGAGGGACTTTAGGGCTGAGGTAAACATTCTGAGAATCCTAGGAGATTGAGGATGCGGGCTAGGGATGTGTGTCGAAAGAATGTTCTCGGCCGAGGGACTAAGACTATAATGAGAAGATAAGCGAAAAATGCCGTAGGTTGAAGCGGTTGCCGAGTCCTTTGGCTGGGTTGTCTGACGGGACCTGGAAGGGATAGCCGGTTGGGACTCAGCTGAAAGGGAGAGGATTCCATTTCTTATACTGCTGGAAGTGGAAAGAGCAGCCAAGGAATACTGGAAGAAAGTGCCGGTGAAGGGACGACCAGTGAATGGTGGTGCCGGTGAAGGGAACTGTAGTGAATGGGAGTGCTTGTGAAGGAAAGACCAGTGAATGTGAGTGCCGGTGAGGGGAACCTCCAGTGTAGTGAACCTAATGGGCGCCAAGGCCAAGGGTATGGACTTCCAAGTTCCAACATATCTGTATCGATGCTGACCCTTTTCTGTATCAGATGATCGGGAGAGCCCTGTACCTAGATGTGTAAAAACCCCAGCCCAGCTGGATTCCCCATTCCCACTGCATGCAAACCAGAGTGTGGACTCACGAGTGGTCGTAAGACATGGAATAAACCCAACATGGACAGTCCAATGCCGCTCGCCTTGGCTAAGAAAGTCCGTTGCAAAACTGTAATATGCCTCATAATAAGTTGGAAGCACATCGGCTAGAGTCAATTAGGGATTGTTTGATCCAGGAAATGTTTTGAATTTCGATAAAAAGGTGTAATAAAGACCTATGGATGCCTGTAAGGGGGATGCCAAACGTGTAATGTATTAGACCGTGATGTGTTCGGTTTCCATATTTTTACGACCCTTCGACTCACTGATGCAAAATTGTAAAGAGCAACTGTAGAGGTATCCGTTCAAAAGAAACGGCCAAACCGTGCTTCTGGTAAGCACAAGGAAGGACAATGTACTTGAGCCACTCCTTTGTGACATTAAGCCACTATGGCCCGTCCCTTATCTGGTGCCGCACCCGCTCAAAATATGATGATCCCGAGGGTACAAGGGTAACAGTTGTGGCTGGTACTTGGGACCCTGGATGTTGGGAAACTGTTGGAATGGAGGGTTTAAAGGACAATCAATACATGACCGGATGTATATGGGACAAAGACCACGAGGGCTGGAGAGTCAGTTATCCTTAGGGATATGCCTTATATTGCTTGGCTCCATTGGTCGTTGCAGGAGAAGGGACGGCTTTCTAGGATGTTGATCATATGATGGGGTTGCAGGAATGCGCTAGGAGGTCACTAATCACTATGATGCATTTGTGCTGGTTGATAGAGCGAGAAGTAAAACGGAGGCCGGATAGGCGGTATTTGAGTAGGGTACCTAGGTCCCGAGCAGTTTATCGTCAACCATAAGACGTGTCCGAGGCCCGAGATGCGACGGCTCGAGAGCCTGTTTCGCAGAGAATAATTTTCCTTCAATTTCCGTTCCTTCTGCATTGTGTTAGTAACGAAGTTGCAGTGGTCTTGGACACCTCGGTCACCAATGCTCCCATCAGCGCTGAGTGGGTCAAATATGAGGTCGTATTTGATTTGATTTGATTTATTGGTATTTATTTGACGATTTGCCAAAACAAGTAGGCCTACGGCCAACCCTAACCCTGACTTCGATCCGTCTTCCGAAGTCCGGTACGTGGCCAAAATGGACACTTTTTGTCACTAAAAAAGTTCTGTTAGGGGTGCCAAGAAGGCGGACAAATACGCAAATAAATATGAGGTCGTATTTGATTTGACCCACTCAAATATAAATCTGTATTTATTTGCATATTTATTTGTATTTATTTACGGCTGGACGGGGTCGGTGATGGTAGGATGCCGGAGATCGGTCTTGTAACGTATTATTCTGGGATAAAGAGTACATCGACCCCATGTTCTCCCAGCCCTGGGGCGACGCCTACATAAGTTTGATCCGCTCAATTTTTATTCCGCGACATCCCAGTGCTTTTACTGTCATTCTTGGATCGCAGATGGTTTCCTCGCCTGTCACTTTGTTGCGATACACGTGGTCGTTGGCATTGATATCAGCGGAACCCCGGACGATTTCCCATTCAGAAGGAAGCTTTGCCATTCGAGGATCTCGTTGGATTTCTTCTCCGGTAATCGTGTTTTGGAATCGAACGCCGTAACCATTAATCTCATCATCTTCGGCTAGACGGAGTACGACTTTCCAGGGAGCGGGCACCGGACCGAGAATGGCCTCACCGTCGGAGAATCCGTGAATGTAACAGCTCCCAACCACCTGGAACACGTTTTCCGCGGGCAGTGGCCGCAAAATAATGGGAGAAAGACAGCCGAAGATGACGCAGATAACATCACCGACTTGGGTGTCTGTGTGCGCTATGCCAAAGTACCCAAGGTCAGTGGTGATCAATGTATGATTTCGAAAGTGGTTGTTTTCTGCCAATTCCATAATGGGCCTTTGCAAGGTCTGACTTGAGGGATCTCTAACGAAGTTGGTGAAATCGGTTTTCCAAGTAAGGAATACCGTCGACAGAGCGTCAAGTGTCAACTGGCAACCGGGTATCGACCATGTTTTGACACAGGGTCAAGCAAAGTGCGTCCACCATAGGTTCACCAGTTGGGTAGCACCCTTCCGTGCCGTGCCGTCGGGTATCTGCAATCCCGAATCTCTTCACGGGGGTCGCTTTCCAGAGCAAATGAACCATCGACACTCAAACAAAACGATCATCTCAGCTCCGGACGGTATGTACTACCTCCTGAGCGGTACGCGAACCGCTTGTACAATAAGCACCAATATTACAACGTAACATAGGTGATAGGAACTGCAGTGCCTGCTGACCATTGGACAGGCTACGACGGTAACATTCCCGTCTTCTCGCTTCCAACTTCTTGCAGGTAACGTTACTCCAAGCCCAACCTCTGCGTCCATATTGCTCAAAAGCAACGATAAGTGATCCGTCAGAATCCCAGCCACTCAATACCATCAACCACTGTCCCTCGCTAACAGTTTCTCAGCCCGAGACGAGATCACCAACCGCATATCAGCCCATTAGACCCGGGACGTATACCTCCTATCTACAGCTATAAAGAGGTGCCTGAACGCAACCAACAATTCGACTGCCTACCGCCTCACTTTGTGTGACTCGTCACAACCACCACCCTCCCGGGTTCCAGACCTCACTGACGCGCAATCACCGGAAAGCCACTCTGTCCTCATGGACACGGATATAGGCTAGTGTCGGGCCCTTCAAGGCTCGTTTGCCTTGGATTCATGCCCTTACACCTATCTTCATGTCGATGCAAGTCACAGTTGCAATGACGTCGGACTCAGACCCAGGCTTCGTCACCTCCACTGTTATGCTCATGATCTGGGTGTCCTGAGATTACGGACGCCTTAGCATTATGCGATGCAGGCCGGTGATATGAGTCAACGACGCGAGGTATCGCAGCATTGACTGATTGACGCCCTACGGTTTGATGCCTGCCTGATGGTCTGCCTGGCATCACGGCCACGACATCCCCCTCGGTTCCTTAGGCAGCAGGCCGACAACTCAAACACCACCGAGTCCAGACTGATGAACACTCTGGCCAACGAAGAGAGGGGGCTGGTGAGGGGCCGATGATGAAGGAAAATGTCCGCTCAGGGAAGACGGGGGTCTTATCCCGAAAGGGATCGAGTCGGCAATGACATTTTACTCGTGTCACGGATCGATCTCAGCTCTGTTGCTGTCTTGAAATTTTTGAAAAAGTATTTCAAGAGCGATCCGCCGCCGCGCTCTCTCTTCTCGATGGGTAGGCTTCTTTGCTCCGTTCTCATCGTTCTCGCACACCCTTCTCTCGACGGGATCAGCTCCAGCTCTCTCAAACTCCCCAGCGCTCCCAACTTCTCGCAAGCTTGTTTGGCAGCGAACACCAGACGCGCAACTCCTCCTTGCGGTTCCTTTCGCTCTTGAGCTCCCAGCAGCAGGAATCGCACGTTCTCTGCTCCTCGAGACACGAGCTCCTCAGACGGGACAACAGCCTTTCTTGCGCTCTTCGCCCGCCCACAATCTTAGCCACATCCTGCTCCCGCCAGATTTCCCAAAACGGCAGAAGAAGAGGTTCTCACCATCCTCATTACCACCAAGATGTCTTCCTCCTCGTCCCACAACAAGCCTTCCAACGCGGTCTACGCCAACTCCGACCAAAACTCCCTGTCTTCCACCACCTCTCTGCTCTACGAGCAAAAGAAGAAGGACTCTCAGATGTCTCAATCATCCTCGAGCAACTCCAAGTTTTCGAGCACCTCTGGTGGCGATGGCATCAGCGGTGGCAATGCCAGACCGTCGGCGGAGGAGCAAAAGATGATCAAGGATGCCCAAGTGATTGGTCAGATCATTGAGAAGTATCCTGGGTTGGGAATGTGAATGCACGGGAAGAAGTTCATGGTGAAGATCACGATGGCTTGGGGACTATTTGGGGATGTCGCTTTGGTTTTGGGCTTTGGCTGCTTTTGTTGTTGCTCTGGTTATTCTGGCCCGCTTACTCGCTCAGGCTTGGTTGGCTCCTGAGCGTAGAGTCGTTCTGGTAACTCAACTTGAGGATTGCCGCCATTGCTTGGGTTTTCAGTACTTTGGGGGCTGTTCTGTCGAGGGACGCATTCGTTTGGTTGATTTTACTTGAGTACACGGACGATACGCGCTAGGAGGCACATACCTTAGGGTAGTTGACGCTTCCTTCAGCGAAGAAACCAATAAAGACCAAGACCGCAAGCTTTTGGAATGAACATGAAATGAATGAAAAAGCAGATATCATCTCGTTGTATCCATTTCCTCCCATACCATACTCCCCCCTTCAGACGCCCCAAATTCTCCACCTCTCCTGCCTCCTCCTCGACGCCTCATCCGCCTCCCTCTGATACCTCCTCCACCTCCCTCTGATACCTCCTCCACCACGCCATAATGCTTTCAACAATCGCATGCAACTGGAAATCTGTTGGAGGTGTTCCGTGTCACGTGCGGCTAGCCATGGCTCCCTTCACCAGGCCATAGCCCCACCGCACAGGGTCCATCCTTTCCCTCATTTCTAGACCTCCAGACTGCTCGAGTTTTCCCCCTCTACAACTCAATACATCACCATCATTATTGATTATTTCGTTGTAGTTGTTCAGCCTGTTCACAGGTTATGAGCCCTCTCGACGTAACCGTCATTTGATAACCATCGCGCAAGCGATACCCTCATTTCTTCGACGTCGCGCGCGACCGACAAAAAACCCCCCCCATCAACCCAGTCTTCGACGTCGACTCGACCGACAAGGCACCCCAGACAATCAACCTCGGCGTTGCATCGCGACCGACAGGCCAACCCCTCCCAGCAACTCGGCGAAAGCAAATCAATCCATCTGCAGTACCAGCAACCTCGCTACACGACTGCGATCGACCCTCCCCCTCGTCACCGTCGTCAAACCAGTACGACCGACACGCGACGTCGCCATTCAACCGCGACCGACCAACCTTCATGAAAATCATTCACGGCCCGTCAAGCACACCGGCCACTACCCCCTACCTCTTCTTTTATCAGTCCCGACTACCAGCGACTACACGATGGGCGAAATCTCTTCACTTATCGTCGTCAAGGGCGAGTCCAACGTCGACAACTAGAATCGCGTATTGCGCTACGAGTTTAACTACACTAATATTCTTAAGTATATCACTACTATTATTCTTAAGCCCGCTAAAGCCACTAAGCCGGATGAATATAAAGTCTGGCGTACTAATAGGGCTAAGGCTATAAAGATTATTTAAACTACTCTTAAGGATAATAAGGTCACTACTACCTTCAATATTAACAGTTAGGACTAGGAGAGTACCGACCCTAAGTATTTCTACGATTTTATCTGCAAGACTATTAGCAAAATTACCAACGAAGCTCGCGCGGACATTCTAGAATAGTATACTAATTTCCGCCGTGGTAATTTCGATTTAATATTCTCTTTATTTATTTATTATAACCTCTTACGTAAGCGCGTTGCTGAATATAGCCTTAAGATCGACGAGAAGGTTAAAATTTTCAACCTTTATAATATAGTTAAACGTTAATACGGTATTAACGCTAAGTTTTAGGCTGCAGAGATAGTTAAAAATAAGTTCACTACCCTTTAATTATTTATTTACTTTTCTACTCTTATTAATATTAAAGTTCGTATAATTAATTTGATTGTTCAAATTAAAAAGACGACTATGACTACTACTAAACTGGATAATAAGAAGGAGTCTAATACTAGTAATAAGGACTATAAAGGTCTTAAGTAGACTATTTATAACGATTGTAGTTAGACTATACGTAAAGACTTTAAGTACTTCCTATACGGTTATTATCGTAACCCTCGTATAGTTGATTGTTAGTAGTACGATCCTAACAAGGCTCCAACTAACTAGTTTAAAAAGAAGGAAGCTACTAAGAAGAAAGCTAATACCAATACTAGTACTACTACTGCTACTAGAACTACTAATATAATTCTAACTACTCCTAGCGCTATTAGTTCTACTTTACTCTTTAGTAACTTTGGCTTTAGAGGTTATACTAATACCTACTTCAAATATTAGGGTTTTTACTAGAGTCTATAACGAAATTAAAATACGCTAATTCCTTATATTAATTATAGTATTCAACGTATAATATCATTAAAATCTAACAAGCTCCTAAAGTAAACCCTATAAAAGATTTAATAGTTTACAATTCTAATTGTAACCCTAATATCTTCAATTATATTAAATAGTTTATAAACCTTCAACCTTATTAAAACTAACTAAATATACTATCGGCGACGGTATAGTTACCTTATTTTACTATATTAATATAATCGAATTAATAATACTAATAATAACAAATATTAACGTTCGAATTCGAATTAAAGACGTTATTTACTCCCTTTCAATACTAGCTAACTTACTATTAACTAGAGCTCTCCTAGAAAGTAGCTTAATTTAGAATATAAAAACTAACTAAATTAACCTATAGAAGTATATTATTTAAAATAATTATATTGACGAACTAGTAGTTCTTCTAATTATATAGCCTTATAACTTTAATTAATCTAAGATTGAAATAAAGAACGTTATATTAGCTTCTATTAACTATTTAATAATATACAAAAGAATAATATACGCTAGAAAAATTAAGTTATAAAGGCCTATTAAAAAATAGGTATTATATTTAATAATACTTAAAATCATTTTTATAACGCCTATATAAGAATAAAGGCTATTAATACTATACCTAAACACGCCTATATAATTACTATTACCTTAATTTAATTTATACGAGCTAATATTATTCAATATAACTACCCAAATTATTTAAGTTAACGATACTACGTCTATTTAATATATAAAGCGTCTAATTATTATTAAGTAGATTTGTATAAAACTAAGGCCGAGGCTTTTATTAAATTAAAATAATTTAAGAAATAGATTAGTTATAAATTGGCTTCAAAGTTAAAATTATTAGTCTAGATAGTAGCATAGAATAGGGCTTACTAACTAAAGAATTCCAGAATAGTCAATTATATTAGTAAGTTAGAGAGGAAAGTATTTAAATCTACAAGACCACAGCACATACCTTATAAATAAATAGTAAATCAAAAGGAGCGGGCGCTATTATTATAGAACTGTACTAAAGCTCTTATAATCGACCTCAAGATACTATCCTATCTTTAATCCTTTGTAACGTAAAGTATAATTACAATTATAAATCTAATACCTTCAAAGGCTAACTTAGAAGGTAAAAGTCCTTACGAATTTCTTACTAGAACTATACCCGGTTACCCTAAAGACGAAATTAAGCTATAGATTAAGTACTTACACAATTATTTCTACACTGCCTACTATTATATTAAACTTTAGAAGCGTACTAAAGGTAATAAGTTCGAGGAACGAAGCCGTCCCGGCTGTCTAATCAATTATAATAATACCTATAGCCGTATTCATAAGATTTGGGACCCTAAAATTAGTTAAATCATTTAAATTAGCGCTATAAAATTCGTCAAGAAAAATAATCAACCAAAATCCTTTGAAGAGGAAGCTATTTAATACGCTATTATGTTTAGCAACCAGACTAATTTAAGAAATTAAAGATATTATTAAAAGTAGTATCTAGTACTAAATTAATATTATTAGTACTAATATACCGGTAGACTCCCTAACTCTATCTCAATAAATTACTAATAAGTTTAATCTTATAGAGAAGAAAAACGTAGTTCTCGAACTCCCCCTAATTTACTACCTCACTCTAGAAGCTACGAAGTCTCCAGAACTAGCACCGGAATTATTATTTCTAACCCCTGAACCATCGTCTTAAGAACTCTAACCAACATCTCATCCCCTACCTAAATCTTACAACGAGCCGATACAATCAATAAAGTAAAAAGAGGAAGATTTCATTAATCTCGATAATCTTAACGAGGAAGATCCTATTCTAAGCGACGCATTTAACGATTCTTTTAATAGATTTGAGAGCGCAGTCGAAGAACTTAAAGAGACTATACCTCAGCCCCAGTCTACCCCTTAATATCAAACTCAACAGGAAATTCCCTAAACTGTTATCCCTATTAAGAAGCCTCCCAACTTGTCTCTCGAAATCGCCGGACTTTAATTCGATACTCCTACGTCAATACAAAGGCAGCCGCCCCGCCAGCCAGAATCCCAGCCAGGAACCCAGCCAGAATCCCCAAACCCACTTTCGATAGAACAATCCTAATAGTCAAAAATACCAGCAAACGAATCAAATCAACTAGAGCAGATATAAAGTAACTAACCCTTTAAAATAGAGCCCTCAAAAGTAAATAAAAGCAGACCTCGTCACTTAAAGGCTAAATTATGTAAGTACAAATACGAAGTTTAGTAAGCCGTTAATAATAATAATAACGTTGTTAATCCTAACCCAACTCTTCCTACTTTTTATTATAATATCGCGGAAATTAACCGTATAATTTACATCCCCAAATACTACCTTATAGCTATAAAAGTCCTTTATAACCTCGCTCAAGCCTCAAACTATAATATCCCTAAGAATTACAACCAAGCCAAGAAGCTACCTAACTTCAAAAAGTACTAGCTGCCAGCAATAGAAAAACAAATTAAGGCACAAGAGAAGGGAAGAATATATTACCTAATCGAACGTAGTCTTAATATAAATATTCTCCTTAGTCAATAAGTATATAACGAAAAATATAATATCGATTTAAAGGAATATATAGCCCACGCTAGATACGTAGTTTATGGTAACTTCGAATATAATAAATAGGACTTGTAAAATATCTACACTACAATTACTGATTTAATTAATATAAAATTATTTCTCTATATTATAGCTATTAACGACTTCGAATATAAATAATACAATTTCAACACAACATTTCTAAATGCCCTAGTCCCCAAGGACGGCAAGAAATATTATATCGAATAATCGACTAATTTTAAAAAGAAAGATCGCAAATAAATATACCAATTAATTCGAGCCCTATATAGGCTAAAACGTAACCCTCTTTTCTAATTTAAAACCTTATTACTAGTCCTAAAAACATTGGGTTTTATACCTATTAGTACAAATCTATACCTTTTAACTAATAATAAACTAACTACTATTATAATTCTTTATATTAATAATCTCCGTATAATTATAGCTAATTAGAAGATCATTAACTACATTAAATAAATTCTAAAGAGCAAGTTCAAACTCAAATACCTAAATCCAATAAGGACCTTCCTTAGCTTTAACATCGTAAAAAACCGAATTAAACATACCGTCTTTATATTATAAGAACGATACACTAAAATAATCATTAAAAAGTTTACTAAAGGTTTCGCCAACGGACAAGACCTTTACCCAATAAAGACAGCCTAACCTCCGGATTATAAAATCCATAAAGGTAAAAAAATTCCCAACTAATTAAGAGCTTACATTAAGAGTACTAGTTTACTAAACTATCTTTTAACTAACTCCCGCCCTAATATTACGTTTACTATTAATAAACTATACGAGGACAATACCAAACCAACTAACCGTCATATCACTATAATAAAACACCTCTATCAATACCTTAATAACTATTCAAACTTGGGCATTATTCTTAGAGAACACTTATCACCGATTGACGGCTATATTAATTTATAATTCAAAGCATACGCGGATGCCTCTTTTATAAACAATATTCTAAATAAAAAGAGTACCGCTAGGCACGTTATATTCCTTACCTACGGTCCTATCTATTAAAAATCGAAAAAGTAGAACCTTATTATAACCAATACAATAGAGGCGGAATTTATAAATCTAATTCTAATAGTAAAGTCTTTAGAATGGATCGGTTCAATATTGAAAGACTTGGGTCTTAGAATCAATACCAACCAGATCCTATATACGGATAGCGAGAATACTAGGAACCGGGTATTCAACGTGAACATCCCAGCTTGTAACTGCTACATCAATATTTAATATAAGTAGTTAATTAAGCAGGCAGAAAAGAAGGCGATCAACGTAATCCATTTGGCCGGAGAGGATATGCCAGCAGACGGGCTGACGAAGGCATTAAAAGCGGATAAGTACGCAAAGTTCGTAAAATTAATTAGCCTTGTCCAGAAGAAGGTTCCCTGGGGTTGAAAACACCAGACAGAACCATCACCATGTAAATAGTATACTGCTTAGATTAGCTCCCTTTGACTCATGTTGAGAGTCTTTCGGTCTACGGGGGTGTGTTGGAGGTGTTCCGTGTTACGTGCGGCTAGCCATGGCTCCCTTCACCAGGCCATGGCCCCACCGCACAGGGTCCATCCTTTCCCTCATTTCTAGACCTCCAGACTGCTCGAGTCTTCCCCCTCTACAACTCAATACATCACCATCATCATTGATTCTTTCGTTGTAGTTGTTCAGCCTGTTCACAAAATCATACGGAAACAACCCACCTCTCACATCTCGTTGTTGAATTGTTCTGGCAACCTCCGTCATTTGTCTGATTAACTCGTTCCACGTCAATTCTAAAAGTCGACGTTGTAACTGAAGCTCCTCGATCCGTGTCTCGTTTTCGGCGTGAACATGCTCGTTCCTAGCCTGCCAAGACTCCAACATTCGCTGGCTGACGGCACGAGAGTGTGAGTTAGGCTCTTGTGGGTATTGATGGAGGTGTCCGGGCTGGTGACGGGGCTCAGGCTGGCGACGGGGCTCGGGCTGGTAACAGGGCTCCGGCTGGCGACGGGGTTCGGACTGGTGATGTAGTCTGGGCCGATGAAGGAGCTGCGCGGACTGGAAAGGGGCCCGAGGTTGAGGGCAAGCTAGCGGTAGGCTCTCTTCCGTACGGGTCTGCCCAGGGCGGTGGGCTGTGTTGTACGGGGCAGCACCAACGTAGCTTTGGTTTCGCCGATGCCGAACCGGACCAAACCCAGATGGCCCGGGGGTGGAACGGGAGCGGGAGCCATGACCAAATTGGTGGTTTGCATTGCCCTTATTAGACATTGTGATTGTTGTCTTGCTGCTACGGGCCATTGAGTTCCAGGTTGTTAGCCGACCTGTCCACGCCTCCATTGTCTTCTTATGGCATCAGACGCAGACTGGGAAGTCGCATTACAGAAGCTCCTCCACACCTTCCACGATCCCGTTTATGACCTTCTTGACATGAAGTGACTGAGAACGTATCCCAACAATAAGGTACCTCTACACAGGATGCTTGTCGTCCAACTCTCACGCGTCATACATCTCCCAGTTACCTACTAGCCAGAAAGCAGAGCAGGCCTCTTCCGACCTCTCAGTCGTCCATCAAGCTCAGCATCGAGCAACTTGGAAGCAAGCTCGTTTCTCTGGTCTTGAAGAGCCTTTTGTCTGTCCTCCAAATCCTCTTGAGCAGCCTTGATCTCCTCGTTCTCGAGTCTGAGCTGTTCAAGTTCTCTGCCCAGGCACTCTTTCTTTGTCTCGAACTGCTGCTTCTCCCTTTGGAGATGCTCCTTCTCCATCTCGAACTGCTGCTTCTCCCGCTTGAGGTGTTGTTTCTCCGTCTCGACTTTCTCCTTCGTCAGGACCAGCTCTTTGCCAGAAAGAAGCTGCTGTTTCACTTCGGCCAACTCCATCTTGGCATTTGCAAGTTCGGAAATCCTCGTGTCCAGTTCGCGGTTCTTGTTCGCCAGCTCCTCCTCGCTCGCTTTGGCCTGTCCACCCAAAGAAGCATTTTTTTGCGCTAGTTCTGCGATTTCCTTCTCGTACTGCTTCTTCGCTTTCGTCAGGGTCTTGTCACTGGCCTTCAAAGAGTCCTTTAGAACTTTCATGTTCTCGTTGCCCTTGACGGCGCGTTCCCGGACGTTGAGATCTTGTTCCTTGGCCGTCAGCGCCTCTTGCTGCTTGGCAACGGACTGTTGGTCCTTGGCCAGATCGCTGATCTGCTTCTCTACAAGGTTCCTCTGCTTGATGATTTCCGACTTGAGGCGTGATGCCGTGGAGATGCCGGTTTGAACCATAATCTCGATGCCTTCGATACGTCGGGAATTCTCTTGACCAGTGGCGCGATTGCTAGCGATCCAATCTCTGTGAGCCGTCATGGCGTCCAACATGAACTGCAGTTCGCCGTGGAGGTCATCGGCGGTCTTTTCGATAGTTGACAGGTCCATGTCGACAATGACGTCCAGTAGGTAGCTAGCAATTCGTCAGTGCGTTTATTTTGGTACGAACTTCCTTCGAAGCTGTGGATGCGCTTACCTGACTGTCTCAGTGTGTGCAAGTGGTAAAAGGGGAAGGTGGTTTCCAGTCCTGACTGCAGTTGTGGATTTGTGCGTATCAAAACTTTTGCTGGTGTCATAAAATACCTGATCGAAAATGCACATGTGTAGGAAACGGATCGAATGGAAGGTAGAGTGAATGGGAGGTCGCGTGCCAAGCGGGACAAACACAGCGACACGGCAGGAGGGCAGTCTCCAGAGGCTTCAGTTTGATCGTGTCCACATTCACTTCATGTATTTCCCTTTCGTTACTCTGTCGCAAGCCTTCGCATGGTTCCTATCCTTGACTCCATGGTGCTAGATCTTCCAAGCCCTGCTGCCGTCCTGTTACCTTCTTTCTGGTTGATTTTTCGTCCAGCTCGTTTCCACTGTATCGCTTTTGTCTAGAGCAGTCAGGAATTGACAATGAAAAGACGTAAGGGGCAACAGAGAGACGCTCCGTAAAAGGCCTCTATCTTTGGCAAAGAGAGCCCCCGTCTCGTTCTCAGGACCCTTCACCTCCCTCTTCAACTACAATTTTGCCGGCAGGTCAGACACGTATGAGGGATATAGGAAGCGAGAAATCGAAGAAGGTGGGGGATTCGCTGAGGGAGGGCCAGGCGTCGAAGATAACCACAGGAAAGGGGTCGATGCGGGAGCAGCACAAACGTTGTTGGTTCCAAAACTCGAAGAAGATGACGACTTTCATTCCTAGGACGTTTGGCTGGCACGCCTTGGAGGGGTAAGGCTGAAGGGTTGGGAACCTGCTTCGCGCCTTCCCGGGGTTGGAGGACTGTGGCCTTAATCGTGTTTTGCAATTTTCCTTGACCCCGCGCTTCCGAACTCCCATTCCTCGTGTCTCTTCACCCATTGCAATCTGCTCCCTCCTGAACACTTTCGCATTGTCGTCTATTGTCCTGGCTGCCTCTATCCGTTGACCCAAACAAGGGCATGTAAGTTGTGACAGACAACCTTCTTGCCGGCTCTAGAATGAGATGTAACCTAACCACGACTGCAATTTTTAGCTACCGGTAACTACGACCGCAATGCCTCCCCGCGACAACACCGATACCTTGGCCCCGGCCTCAGACCTCCAGCGCGCTCTCGGTGCGGCTCGCAAAACCCGCGAGTCCCAAGAACAAGCCTATGCCGCTTTGGAGGAGTCTGTTGCCATTGCTGCTGAAGAGCAGGCCCGGGAACTGCGTAAGGAGAAGGAAAGGGCAGACGGATGGAAACAAAGGTCAGATCTGTGGAAGGAGAGATCGGATACGTGGAAGAAGAGGGCCAAAGATGCGGAAGCAAGAGAAACGGCAGTGGGGGAGCGGGAGAAGCAAATCGAGGACCGCGAGAAAGAAGTCGAGAGGCGTGAAAAGGAGGCTGAGGAGAGAGAGAAAGCGATTGAAGAGAGGGACAAGAGAACGGAGGCTCGAGAAGCGAGGATGGAATTGCGGGAAAAGAGGATGGAACTGCGAGAAAAGACGATGGAGGAGAGCCTTAATAGCCTCCTCCGTACAATGAAGGATGTTCGTGTCAAGGACAAGCAGATGGCCAAGGAGGAGGACAGCAAGGTCGGAGCGGAGCTGCGTGGCCTGCGCCGGTCGGTGACGGACCAAATGACGGCCATGAAGAGGGATCTGGGAAGCAAGTTGGACAATACCATACATCAGACTCTGGCTTTGCTTGATGAGGATCGCAAGCGGGCTAGAGAAGCTGAAGTTGGTCACGGCTGTGGGCATCCGAGCAAGCGTGTGAGGCAGGAAGAAGACTTGGGGAGTAATCTTGAGCAGGCTGTGTGGGCGGTGATGAAGAAAGTGGACAACCGCAAAGGTGGTGAGGAGTACGGAAAGATAAGTTTGGACCGCGCGTTGAGCCTTCTAGCATTCATCTACACTGAGTGCAATGAGGCGAAGTTGGGTTTGTGGCTGGACTTTCAGCATAACGCCCCAGCTGGGAAGGTCTTCTGTTTGTTTGGGGTCTTGAATTTTGGGTATAGGGACTTTATGGTTTCCCAAGGATGTTGTTGTTGTAGTCAGCCTGATGCGACTGATATGATCATAGACCCGGAATTGGTTTGGAATGATGATGGCCACTGTGTAGTAGTGTCGGTAATGGATGATGGTAGGCTATTCTTTGATTGGGCACCTCAGAACGACGAGGAATACGACGAAGAGGCAATGGAGATTATGGAGGCTGGGGTGGACCGGTATACAGGGACTTCGTCCTTGTTGCCTTTGACAGATAGAGGTATGGATGATTATTGAAGTAAGCCATGTCAGTTGGTTCCAAGTTAAAGAAGATGATGGCAATGGATGCCCGGAATACCCTACCTCTGTCCTTCTTAGGCAATTGCAGAATAATCCACCACCATGCCGAACCAAACTTCGACGAGCTTCGGCACTCGTTGTATCCAATATCCGCACCGAGCCTCGGGTTTGTCCGAGTCCAGCTCGTTTCTTTCTAAAGGCAGCTTTCTCCAAAACTGACTCCAATCTTCTCCTGATTCTGTTCTCTCAGCAGCAGCATAGTCACCGCCCACATACCTATCAAACACATCCTTCTCAAGTACCAACGAGGACTCCCTCAACTGGCCGCGATACGCCATAACAGTATCGTCCATGTACCCCAGAAGTTTCTCCTTAACCGCCTCATTCGCCGTCCTATCCTCGGGGGGCGCCTCGATGATGTCAGGTATATTATTCGTCTGGCGCATCCAATCAACCCCCGCTCGCCTCGCCGCCAGGGCAATAATCTGCAACTTCCTCAAGCCCGGAAACGCTACCGGAATCCTTCCCATTATCGTCTCGTATGCCTCCCACCCCGCTTTCAGCTTCAACTGTTCCTGCGCAAAGACCGAGACAGTGTTGGTAGTAATTGTAAAGACCAAGCTCGTCACCATTGCTGCGCTCTCAGGCACAAGCAGCCGTTCGGTATAAAGCACCGTCGCGCCCGTATTCATATAGAAGGTGTTCCGACCATACAACACCTCCACTGCCTCCCGATATACCTGCCGACAAGTCAACAGTAGACCCATAACGTCGGCACCAATGGAGCAGGTGGTTTCGGGGTGCAAGTGGCAAGCTGTCGGTGGAGGGCGGCTGAGCCCGCATTGGTCAAAAGCAGGGTGGACATCGGGGTCGCGGTGGCAGGTACTCGAGCGCCAGGCCCACCGCTCCTCGTGGAAGTAGGCCCCCTCAGTCGTGTGAGGACGGCCACTGGCGTGACTGGCCTGGGCGTAGCGCATGTCGACGTGTAGACCCTGACGGTCAGCGAGGACGAGGAGGTAGATCTGGTAGCGGAGCTCGTAGGGAAGGGTCAGGAAGGTAGTCGCATCGGGTCGTCGGTCGGGCGAGGTAACGTGGGAGGCGGAGGGGACGGCGGTTATGGGACGGCGGTGGGGAGGGAGCGTCGGAAGGAGGTCGAGGGCGTGTGGTTTTGGGTCATCGTGTATGTCGGTGTTGTCGTTGTCATCATTGTCCAGGTTTAGTTGCTGTCTTAAGCGTCGCCGCGAGATTCGGGAGACCATTCGCCGGAGTCTGTCCATGTTGATTGCCGGTCTGTTGCGTGACGCGATGCCACATTGATTGCTGGCCGAATGCCTCTGAGCGACTGCGGGGTTGACGCGGGGCTGAAAGGATGCCGCTGTAGCACGCGTGTAGATACAGGGGGCTTGGCGGCTGATTCAGGGGCAGCCTGTACTCCAACCAATCATGTCATTGCCAGTTCCTAAAAGGGAAGTCGAAAGCGGAGCACTACTGTTTGTAACCCCGCAATGGCGTCCCGTCCATGTCACTGACTGAACGTTGCCCGGCGGCAGCCGTCACCCTTCCCTTACCGACGTAAGGTGAGTCTGAACGGTTGTACTTGGAGGACGATCGATTACCGAAAGACCCATTGAGCCGGAACCGCAGTGTTTCTGCATAAAAATGCGGGGTGCATGGGACAATGGTGAAGAACCGCTGTCCGACTGGCCCATAGGGAGATTTAGCCGAGTGAATAACAGCTGCGTCTATATCCAAATTATTTGACTTGAGTAGCGTCCCGAATGGTCGAAAGAATAAACCAAACACGTTACGGTCAGTACATTACACATCAGGTTTAGTATTATCACTCATCCGAGTGAATTGGATATACCTTTGAACTTAAATTCTAGGCAGTTCATAAACCAAAGAACCCCCAAGTGACTTATGCCGATGTGTTTTCAAGTTATTCTGATCCCTATCACAGTTTTGTAACGGCCTTTGCTAGGTAACCACCAAAGCGGGCCGTATTGGACTGTCTATATTCGGTTTATCATTACAACCACTTCGGGTCCATACAAGTAAGTTGGTGGATTATAGGGCAGTGTAGACTGGGTCGTACATGACGGCAGAGCAGAAGCAGAACTCAGTGAGCGGCCAACAGTCAGGCTTTAATCGGCGTTCACATCTAACGCGGGACGTGTACATCGGAGTCCTGCCATCGTTGTCAGTGCAAGACGGACATCACATCAACGGGAGAAACCGAGATAGGACAACAAATCAGAAGGGTTTCCATTAAACAACGTTCTAATCCATACCTCTATCGGTCAGGCAACACCCGAGTTCAATCCAAACGCACAGTCCCAAACAACCGGTTACCCGTGTCTGTCCCTCCCCTCCCGGTAAACTTATTCTCCGACACCCTCAACGCCACCAAATGGAGCTTGCCATCTCTCCTCAAGAGCCGTCCCAATTCATGCTCTACACCCGTAGCCTCCACCTGCACGACCCCGGCAACCACCACAACGTGGATATCCTTCCCTTCGTCCATCCCACGTATCCGCTCACGAAACTCCAAAACCGTCTTCCCGTTGTTCACTACCGAGTCCACCAAGATGATCGTGTGTTGGTTGGAAAGGTGGTGAGGCTTGACATCCTCCGGTGTCTTGGCGTGCAAGAACATAGCGAGGGAGAAAGCTTCGTTGACGCCAAAAGCCATGGGCTCTCCGCCCCTCATCAAGGCAACGATGGTCGTATCTTGTTCGCGGAGGAGGCGATGGCCGGTGGTAGCGTGTCCTTGGACGTGAGGGATAGAGTACTCTTCCAGACCTATAAGGGACGTAATGAACTCCGTGGCTAGGTACCAGCCAATGCGACGATGTGCTTCCCTCAGCGCAGGGCCGGAGATGTTGGCGTCGCGGGTCGGGGTCATCAGGAGCTTGGCGGAGGGGCGGTTGCTAGCATGTAAGAGGCTGGAGGGCAGACTGCCGAAAAGGGATTGGTTGAAGGGGTTAGTTGGGTCGGAGAGGTCTACCACGGGAAGCTGGGCATTGTCGAGACGTGGAGCGACATTGTGCGGGATGAGGGCTTGACAGAGGTTGTGGGGTGAGCCGTTGGTGTTGAGTTGCTCAATAGCGATGGAGAGGGCGTCTTCCATTGACTTGCTCCTGCTCAGTTCCTCGCCCACGACTATCACCCCTTCGTCAGCAGCCTGGAGCATCGGCAAATCCAGCGGGCTGTCTCCAAAAGCCACAACATGAAGATTATAAGGAGGGCCTCGCAGACGGTTGACAACGGCTTCTCTGGACTTGGCAGTGATGATATGCTTCTCGCAGATGTCCCCGTTGCCAATGACCCTGACGTGTCTTCCCAAGTCTTGCTTCTCCATCACAAGCTCCCACACTCGGCGTAGTCCGCAGGTTACCACCACAGCCATGACGTGCCCGTGCTTTTTGACACGCCGGAGTAGGGATAGAAACTCGGGGTAGAGAGTAACCTTCTCCGCAACATTATTGCAAAGTTCCTCAAAACCTTCCACGTTACTGTATGACATGGCCACTTGGCGGAACGCCTCATAGGTGTAGCCGTGCTCACGGAATATCTCTTCGGCTGGGGTTGGCGCCTGCTGGCCAATCCGTCTCGTTCGACTGGATTCACGTTTCCAAAACTCCCTGCCAGTATCCTTGGCGGTGAGAGTCTTGTCTGCGTCAAACACCAGAGCCGTGGTGACTTTGGTATCGCCACAAGCCGTGACACTGGCTACCATCCCATCCACTGTGGCTAGCAATCGTACGTGGTTGCAGTGTTCCGATTCCGTGCGGGACTCGTGAAGCCTCTTTGATATCTCGGAAACCAGACTGGAGATACCGACAAACTTGGCACCATCCAGACCAACGAAGCGAATTCCCGAGTCCTTTGCCAGGGCGTCCAGCTGTCGCATTTCCTCCTCTTGCCACTTGTGGAGATGTCCAGGTGTCACTGCCTCGCGCTTCCTGACCTGGTCGCGCTGTCGACGACAGCAAAGCGTTTCTGCGGCCAACTGAAGGTAGAAGATGTGTGTAAACGTATCTTGGTCGGCTTTTGTCCAGACCACCGTTCCGTGCTCGCTGCCCCTGGGCCAAAACATGTAATGTCCGGCAACAACACCGACCAGGCCCGACTTCTGGCACTCGTCACGTATCTGGGTGATGGCGAGCTTGCGGTACCGAGTTTTCTCTTCGTCACTCAAGGCATGGAAGTCGTCCAGGCCACGGTCAGGGCCCATCAAAGAGGCAATGACCGCAGAGCCTTCATAGACGGCAAACATGTCGCTCGGAAGTGACTTTTTAAGGTGTTCGAGGACGGTCGATTTGCCGGAGCCGGGGAGGCCATAGATGCCAACGACGATAGGTTTGGGAGTAGTGGGGATCTCGACTGTGGCTGTCGTCAGAGACTGGTCAGCTTCGGAGGACATGGTGATAAGAGTTGTGTGTATGGTGTGGTGAAGGACAAGGTGAGAAGCTTTCTGGTGGATGGTGGGTGTTGTAGAGAGGACGACAGCAAGGCGCAGAGCGTGGTGGTGTTAAATACCTGTCCAGAAATCTCCATGGACGCATCATGGCAACCATATCCCTGTGTCTCTTTTCCTCAGATTACCCCGTACTGCTTCAATGACATTGAGAGGGTCATGGTGGGCAAAGAGCATCCGGTGTTTGCTCTTGGTGGTGCTGTCCGTGGGCCTCCAGCAGGGAGCATTGACTGGGAGTTGTGCCGTATGCTGTATGCGCGGAGGCCTACTGTTTGGGCATCGCAGTGCTTTATAGCTGTTTCATTCATGTAAACATGTGCGCTGTCGGCGGCATGCTTGATGATTGTTGAGGTAGTTGTCCGGCGTGGGTGTCCGTCGGTGTACCATGCCTGTTTTCGTTGAACGTTCCAATTGCGACGGACGGGGCGGCTGCCGGAGGCGGAATGCCAGTACACGTCCCCAACTCCGCCGGCAAAACGGCGGCACTATCAAGGTTCCCGTGCCGTGTCGTTGCCTGCCCGCTGGAAGACTTTCGACTCCCGATTCTTTACAAAAACAAGGCCATACTGCCACTCTCTTCTTCAACTCTACCACCAACAGCGTGCCGGGGGACAGTCGGTCATAAGCTCACAATGCAAGTGCCCTCTTCTTCCCAACCCTTTCTCCCCTTGTGCACCAAGATAACCGTCCAGTAAAGTATAAACAGTCCTGTCTTGGACCCGGACACTCTCAAGAAGTTCGACAAACCGTCCCCACGATCCCCGCGACGCCGACAAACACTTCGGCCATCCGCCGAAGACCCGACAAACAATGCGCCAGCCCACTCGTACAGCCCTAGACTCCCTCCTCCACCGCCTCCTCAACAGATGGCACGCCGTCCTCTCTCTTCCCCGCCAATCCCCACCGTCTTGGTACCGCGCCCGACTCTTCGAAGAGCTCCGTGAGCTGCGCTCTGCCACCACCACTCTCAGCCGACTTAGCGAGACTGCCGACGTCTTCTTCTCCATAAGCCGTGCTCGGTACGACGGCTTCCCCGTACGCATACTTCCTCCTTTTTCATTGGCGCGTCATACTGCGCCCATGCTCTACATGGTCGCCAAGTACACATTGAGGTGGGGGTTCTATAGGACAGCGGCGAGGTTGTGTGGAGCGAAGGAATGGAAAAGGCTGAGCGAAGTGATCAACCCGGCGAAGGATCATAAGTTGGGGGAGGTTTCGGCACGTCACAGCATTGATCCAGACAAGTTCCGTAACACCGGGAGGATGCTGCGGAGGGTGTGGCCATTGCTGCCCTAGACTCCTAGAGTCCGCAACAAAGCAACTCTCTCTGTCTGGACGAGCGACATTCAACGTTCGACAAAAAGCTGACGCTGTGCCGTCGACTATTTCACAAACATCTTCTAAAGCCCTACCTTCTCCCACTTCCACCCGTTTGTATCAAGCGTCACATTCGTCCCCACCGTCTTACCTCCCTTCAAACTCCCCGCCTCAACTCTTCCACCCCCAACAGGTCTCTGCAAGTGATTGTCCCCAGCGAGCACGGTGAAATTTGCCAGGGACAGGTCCCAACCGTTGCGGGTGGCTACGCTGGGCGAACCGAAGAACTGGGCATCGATCTTGGACTTCTTGATCGAGAGGTGGAAGTACCCGCGGTAGTACCCTTCTTGCCATTGCAGTTCTGGGTTGCTGTCGACCTTGGTCTTGGTCGCCTTTTGTACGGTGGCGATGATACCGCTGTGGCCGGAAGAGGTGACGGCTGTTCCGGCGAACTCGACGCCGATGGCTCCCAAGCCGGTGGCGGCATCATAGGGCTTGGTGCCGAGCCAGGCGAGGTCAGAAACCTGCAAAAGGCTGTTAGTATGGGAGGAAGAGAAGCAAGGGGAGAATACAACTTACCCAGTTCTGGTGGCTGTCGCCGGACAGGAAGACGTTGTCTGAGATGTTGTTGTCGTACAAATACTGAAGGGTGCGGTTCCTGCTGGCGACGTATCCCTGAAACCCCATGTTAGCAGCAGGTCAAGTTCGTTAGAGAACAGAACAAGCCTACACTACGGTGGCCCAAGTGTTGGTTACGATCAATTGAACAAGTTTGGTCAGAAAATGGCCCGTGTCAGCTGCAAGCACTAGGTACGCGCCCAGGCGCGTCAGCGTAGATTCAGTTTAGCAATCAAGTCCATCTCACATTGCACATAACCCCGCTTCTTCGTACCCATCGAACTAATGAAGCAAAATATTGGAGCAAAGCAATGAAGCAATGAAGCAATGAAGTAATAACCAAAGGCAACGAAAAAACCAAAAGTAATGAAAGTCAACTAGAATCAATAGAAGTTTGAAAATCAATAAAACTTGGGAGCCTCGAGGTTTACCAAGATTTAGGATAGCAGTGCAAATAGATCCCTCGGTTCTTCTCCAAATTTTGAAGTTTGCCAAGATTTTTTTAGGGTAGTAGTGCAAATAGATGGTTATTCTCCAAATTTTGGACTTTGGGGTAGGGTATCAATGCAAATGGATTCCTCTCCTCCTCTTCCTCTCCCGGGTACCCGTGCCTCGCCCCTACTTTTTTGGGACTCGCCAGATTCGCACCCCCTAAAGTGGGTGCTCACCAATAATACAACCAAACTAGTCAAACAATTAGATCTTCCCTTTATAATACTCTAACCTTACAACTATCATTACCACCACCCCCTATATGGTATCGTTATTAAGTTATAGAGTCGCGATTGCTTCGAGCTATAGAATACTATAAGAAATATCCGGAATACTTAATCGTAGCGCTGTGCAGGGATTTTAACGTTCTCCGATAACGTCTCCGCAGCCGTATTTAGGGTATCCCTCCTAAAATAAGTACGCTATCCCAAAAAACTAAGTTCACCCTATATAAGGAGGAGGCTCTATATAATTATATCGACCGTTTTAATAAATCAATTTCGTTGTAAAGCCTAATTATATTATTAAAGCAATGAATTTAAAACTTTAAAGCCGTACTTCTAAAACGGAGTTAGCCGACCCTAATAGCCCGGTCCGAATTAATTAGAATTAAGTATTATAGTTTATTAAACGCTACGAATATTCTAAAGTAAAATAGAAAAAGATAAATAACACCTAGAAAAACAATAAGGATATAAATAGAGTAAGTCCGGTTTATAAATATCGTTTATATAGTAAAGTATTAACGATTAGTATAATAGGTAGCGGCCTACTTCAAAAAGTTCTACAATATCCTTTAAAAAGAAGGTTTCCTACCCTTAAAGATATAGAATATAAATGAAACGAGTTTCCGTATTAGTATAGGAAAAAATTAAATAGTAATTATAAAACGGAAACGTATATACTACTTTACTATCCCTAAAAACCGTAAATTAATAACGTATATCGAAGCTGTCTCTACAGCGGGCCAATACTACCAACCTTTATAATTCTTACCGGTTAGCTTCATATAATTAATTAATATCAAATTAATAAATTAGACCCTCGTATAATTATCGCCACTACTTCAATAGAATATTCAAATAATTAATTATCTTTTAAATAATTAAAGTATTAGAATGAAGATTCAAAGAAACTTTAATAAGGTAAAAAGCGGTTACTTATATTCGATAGCTATAATTTACACTATTCTAAGTAAGAACGTTACTATACTCTCTAAGGATAATAGTTACAATTAATAGTAATTTAAAGAATTTATTTAGTATTATAACGACTATAGCATTATAGTATTTAGCTTGCTTCCCTATTTTATATATCTATTACAACTTTTAAATGTAATAGTTTTTTAACTTCTAAAGTACTACTATTTTAAAGTATTCGATATTATAGTTCGTAACGGTTGTACTAAAATTATTAAGCTAGAATTCTTATTAGTAATCGAAGGTATAAGAAAAGAAGTATTCAAACTACTAATAATACAATTAGTATTTAAGAAGATTAGGATTTATTCCTTTAAACCCTATATAAGTAAGAGATCATAAGTAAAAGATATAAATTTCTAATATTTTTGGCATTTTTAGTATAATAGTTAATAATTTATATAATAATAAGTTGTATTTAAATTGTTGTAAGACTAATTAGCCCGCTATACGCCTACCCCTCCTCCTTAAGTATTAATAATTTTAATACCCATTTAAATACTTAAGAATTTTTGTTAAGTTAAGAAGGTTGCTAATACTTTATATAATACGATAAATAAAAGGGATAACTTATTACTATCTTTAAAAAAAATTGTATTAAATTTCGTAAAGGGTAGTAAAATTATTACAACCGAATTGGTATAGGTTAAGCGGGATTTGGGTAGAACTTAATATGCCGAAATTATAAAAAGACGATATAAAATATATAAGAACCGCTTTATATAAATTGGGGGGGTTTTGAAAGTTTTTAATAGGCGAACTATAGTATTGAAACGAATTAATAATGACCTTCGAGCTGTATATAAGAAAGTAGATAAAGCGAATTAATAAATCTAGAATAGGGTAAAAAAGAAGGTGAGGAGGCGGTAAAGCTAGCTAGAAAGTAGCGCCGTAAAGGGAAGCTCGAACTATACGAAGTATATAAATTAGCGCGTAAAAAGGTAAGGATTTTATGTATTGGTTGAATATACCCTTATTTCTAACCAGATCTGGTTATTTAACTAGTTTGGTTGTATTATTAGTAAGCACTCACTTTAGGGGGTGCGAGTCTGGCGAGTTCCAAAAAAGTGGGGGCGAGGCACGGGTAATGGGAAGGGAATTGGGAATCAATGGGAGTTAATAAGAATCAATGGGAGTTGATAGGAATCAATAGGAGTTAATAGGATTCAATGGGAGTCAATGGGGCTTAATGGGACTAAATAGGAGTTAATAGGAATTAATAAGAATTATAATAATTCTAATGCCTTTGGATAGGTATGAGTATTTGAGTGTGTAAGTAATTTGGAGGCGTTAATATAAAAGGGCTAGTAGTTGCCTACAGCTAAGAGCTCGGATGTTATAAGATTACTTGTAACTACCTTGTACATACACAGCTCCCACTATAGGCAATCGAGCCTCGTGCCATGCTATTGCCACTATTAGCCAATAGTATATTACGTGCATGTGTACGTACAGGTCTGGCTCTAAGCATGGCTTAGCCCTACCTTATATCGCTAGACCTCTATACATCTCTTTTTTTTCTCTTCGTATAACTACGTATTTTTAACCTACCTTTTAACCGTCGCCTTGCCCTATAATAGTTAATTGTATTTATTATTACGCTGTGAGTGTATAATTTTATTCAATCCTATTGCCGCCGTCGTAAAATTTTCCGATGTGCTTGCGATTCCTCGTCGTATTACGATAGAGCTTCGTTATATTATAATAGTATAAATACTAAGATCGTATTGTAATCCTCCTATGAAGTATTTATAAAATAGTGTATTTCCTACTCCCTAAATTATAAAGTAGCGTTTTATTTTATTTAAATTAATCGAATTAATTAATATTGTTTGTTATTAATACTGATATTATAATTTTTATTATTAGTTTAAGAGAAGCTCTATTTGTACGTGGATAAAAGTCTATTTATACGTGGACCAAAATATAAAAAGGAGTTTAACTTAGTCAAATCTAAGGATATTATGCTAATAGTAGTATTAGACTACTTGTAGAGTTTCAGCGGATTTTACGTAATAAGTACTGTTTTCTACAGAGTAGGCGCTACCCAAATTTTATTTATTTTAAAATTCCCATTAGTTTTGGAGGCTACTAAGTACGTAAGTGTACAAGCTGGGGTTCATAAAATGCGCAAATAAATAATGAAAATTTATAACCCTTATACAGGCCTAAAATCCCCACTCTCGTAGCGAGATATTAGATTCTAAGTTTTCGTCCATGTACAAATAGAGTTTTATCCACGTACAAATAGAGTTTCTCTAGTTTAATTATCGATTCCGCTTACGAATAATTATTTAATAATATTATTGACGCCTTCAACGGTCATTTAAACCAGGGTAATTTAATTGAATAGTTTATTTTCAACTTCGCTTTATAGTTTACTAGTTACGCTGCCTTCCTTTTTGTAATTATTACACTTATTCGATTCATTTATAAGCATATAATTAAAGCTAATACTTTCGCTACCGTTATAAAGGACGCCCTTACTAATAAGGATATTATAATTACTTAAAATAATTTCGTTAATACTAATACTTCCTTTAATAATATTAATAATACGTATAATAAATTTTTAAAAAAAGCTACTTTTAAAATTAAGGAAAAAAATAATATTATTAAGGACTTTAAAAAAGCTATCCGCTTGAAAGTTATCCCCCTTAAATTTATCCCCCTACTAAATAATAATAACGCTACTATATTTATTATTACTATCCTTAAATTAATAATTAGTAAAGACTTTAAAGCCTTTACTAGCGAAGGTAATATTAAATTAAGCGTATTAAATCCTACGATATTTAGCGGACTAAAATAGCATTCTATTAATTCTAGAATTCGTAGTATTTTAATTCCGATAAGTATTTTAGATTCGCTTAAATTATATAATATTTTAGTAGCGCCGCTTTCTACGCTTTATCCTCCTATATTATATTACTATTAAAGGAGGCCGATACGGATAAGAGAAAGTAGAAAACTAGCGAAGATCTCCTCACCTATTTAAATACTAAGTACGATTATATAAATTTAACTTTAAAATTGCGTTATAAGTGTCACGCGTGGCCAGGGATGGGTACGGGTGCAAGGACTGTACTACCCTAATGGCTAACTTGGACTAAAGACAAGAAGTTGAGGAAAGAAGAAAACTCCAAAAGGGAAGGCTAGATGGAAAGGACTGGGTTTTATACCCTGAACTCTGGGAGGGAGCCAGGCCAAGCCCAGAACCTGAACCATCTAAACCAAACCCGTAAATGGAAGCCACCGTGAATGGAATCCATGACGACTGGTGGTGCCAGCCGTTACAATAAGTTCGAAAATTTAAAAATACATAAAAGATAAAAGTAATTTAATTTCGAAGATAAATTTATTACCCTAATCGATTAA